TTATTATTGATAATAACAAATGCTGTCAATTATGAAGTGACTTTTAAGGTCATTTCTTTCTACTTTTACTTTTAGTTGTTGGTATCCTTGCACATGCAAGGATATTTTTTGCTGTGATCAGAATAGTGATTTTAATTGAGTTGCTGAATGAATATATAATCAGGTCATCCAAATATTTATTGTTAAGTTCATGGTTAGATACTGGATATTAGACATCTAGATAATGAGATCGTCCTTTCAGCTTCTATTTTGTATCATATAACAATAAATAAAATAACCCTAAGCTTGGCAAAAACAAAAATATGAAGAAAGTTTTCATGTTTTCCACTACAAATAGCATTAAAGCATGTGACATAGGCATGTTGTCTGTTTGAGGATGTTTTTGTGGTATTTTTATCTACTTTAAGCAAGTCAGGAACATTGCTGTATATGCAGGATGAGAGAGCTTTCAGAAACATCTTCATTTGTGTTCAGAAGATGAAAGAAGGTCTCAGGGGTTTGGAGTGACGTGAGGGTGAGTAATTAATTACAGAATTTGCATTTTTGGGTGAACGAACCCTTTTATCTTGAAGCAGAGAAAAGGATTTTGACTTCACAGATTACAAATGCATAATGGAAAAACTTTATGCAAAGCAAAAATACTTTACTTATTTTTTGACTTGTTTCTAGTCCAAATATCAAAACATTACAATTTTTCTCAGTGGCTTTTGTGCATTTCTCACAACACTATTTACATTTGCACAAAAATTAATGCATTTCTCTAAACCATTGGTTGTCAAACTGTGGTATGTAGGCTTTCTTCTAGTGGTAGGTGGAGGAATCAAATATGTCATATGTACATGCTTCATATATTAAAAAAATTATCAAAAATGATTTATATATCAGTGTGATGACTGTTGACATATAGTCTATATTTATGAGGTCTAAGCAACATCTCCAGGTTTTGATGAATAGGCTACTATATGTTAATACTTTACATTTAAGTACAGGAGTTTTTTTTTTTTTTTTTACTTTTTAAGAACAGTAGCCTAACGTTTTTAACTTTTAAAAGCAGATTTCAATTTAAACGTTGACATTTTATTATTAATATTTTATTTTATTTTTTACATATAAGCACAGTACAAAAGTTTGAGAACCACTGCTCTAAACAATTTGTCATTTGTGCACATCACAGTAGCAGTATCTCATTACTTCCAACAAATTGCAAATGCTTTTGGACGTGGATCAATTGCTTTTATGCAGCTCTGCTGTTTTATAACATCGTTTGCTTATGTCATGTTAATCAAAATTAGCTAAACTTGTAAATGAATAAAACTAATAGTCCTCATTTCATTACTTGAGTCATTACATACAAAAATGTTGAATTAGTTGTCAAAATCTGTCAAACTAATTTTATAAAAATCTTTAAATCCTTATTTTTCCTGAAAATGTCTTCTAAATTGAACAATTTGATGAATGATTTACAGACCTGTGTATGTTGTAGGTTCAGTTTAAATATGTTCTGCACTATTGTTTAAAGTTGTGCACAGCTTTACCCAAAGGAAGTATATGTTTGTTGTAAATAAGGGTGTTATTCTTTTGCACAATGCTGTAAATAAATGTGATTTTCAGGAAGTGTCACCAAAATCTGACTTTTTTTTTGCATTGAAATAAATGTATAGAGTAAACTGTCCTAATGAAAATATGACAAGCCATTTGACTATCTTGTTCATAAACAATGGTGTCAGGACTTTTTATCTTGATGACACTGACACATTCATTGACACGAATTCTTGCTTTTGAAGAATGAGCTATTCATTTTGAGCAAGAGACACGCTTTTGCAGGTAATCAACTAGGTTTTTGCAGTTTGCATTGCGAAAAACTAAATCTAGCAGCGCTTTCCTGACAAGTAAAAATATTCTCTTGTGTTCAGAAATATTTCAAATTGAACTGTTTTCCTTAAAACAAGCTAAATAATCTGCTGGGGGTGGGGGATTGATATCTGAACTAGACGAAAAACTAAAGCTATTATTTTATATTATTGTTGGCACCATATTAGACACGTTTGTGTGACGTGTGTTTGACACCACATGTGTTTAGTTTTCATTAGGCCTATATTATTACCAAAACCCTTATTCACTTTTGTAAATATTTACAGTAAAGTCAAATAAGTGTAGAGCCCTACACAGACTCCAGTATACAAAATGAGCAACATGTAATTATAACACAAAACATTATTTACCATCACTGTTGGCCACAGGGGGTTCTGTGACCAATCCTTCTTGACGGTCGAAGCTTTCATCTTGACCTGAGACGGTGGAACTGATGTTTCTTTCTCTCAGGAAGAGAGCAACTACTCCGAGTACGGTAAATAACATGAGGGGTTAATTTCCGTACACTTAAATATGAGAAATGTTATATAAACTTACAATAAATACTGAAATTTACTGTACGTAAAGCTCGTTTGTCAGAGTAAGCCTTAATAAATCGTATGCTATCACTTGACGATACAAGAAAAGCAAATTATTCAAAGCAAACTTTGTACAACTCAACTAAACACTTGTCAAGTAAGAGTAATGGCGAAATGAGGAATGTAAGAGGTGTCTCTCGTAAGAATTCGAATGTGTTCCAGCGTTTCCCAGCCAACTGATACGTGATTGGTCAGTTTTGCGCTGTGTATCTTTAATTTTCTCCGAGTTGAAAAATACACTAGTTTTAGCGGTTGTTTTTGTCCTTCACGGGTGTTTTTGGAGTAAAATAAACGGATTTTTTTCATAAAATCTTTGACTCGTAAATATTTCCTGTTTGACGAATCAATACTGGTCATTTGGTGAACTTGAGATTCGTTTTTTTTTATCAGGGTCGTTTTAAACACATTTACAAGCTGTCTTTGCGTTTATTTCGTAACTTTAATTCAAATGTAAGATATGGCCGCTGTGATGTAACATAAGCGCGTGTATACTTATTGAACATGACATATCATAGTGTATATCAATTTAAATAACTAGATCTGCCTTATCAAACTCCATATACTCTGCAAATACAAAAGTATGGTAACTTAAATTTAATGCTGAAATTAATAAAATGGCGCCATGTCATACTGATATTGCTTTAAAAGTCCATCCATTCACCTTTACCACCAGCAAAAACCTTTTAACATGTAATAATAATAGTCTTATTAATATTAATAGTCTTAGTAATATTCTGTTCTCCCTGCAGATTTTCTCCAAGCAGTCTCCTGTCACAACACACACATTTAGCCAACCTAAAGGCACTTTTTAGAGCCAACATCTATCTATCTATCTATCTATCTATCTATCTATCTATCTATCTATCTATCTATCTATCTATCTATCTATCTATCTATCTATCTATCTATCTATCTATCTATTTTCAAAACTCGTGTCCATATATGTTACTGTCTCTGTTATGTGTCTCTAAATCATAATATCTGTTGTCTTTATTTTGTTAACTTTACTCTCTCTCTCTCTCTCTCTCTCTCTCTCTCTCTCTCTCTCTCTCTCTCTCTCTCTCTCTCTCTCTCTCTCTCTATCTGACTACTTGTCTGTCAAAAATCAATTCACATTGTAAAAGGAAGCAGCCTGTGAAGCAGAGGCTGAAGAAAAAAGCTTCAGCAGTTGGAAGCAGGAGGAATGGGTGGTCGGTTGAAAGAAGAGCCACAACAATGCATCCAAAGATGAAGCAGTTGTTATAGTATGTACTTTTTAAAACTGTTTTTTTTTTTTTTTTTTTTTCAGAAAAAAAAGTCAAACATTGAATGCACAGTGCATCCAGAAAGTCTTAGCGCCTCACTTTTTCTACATTTTTTTTGTTACAGCCTCATTCTTAAATGGATTAAATTCATTTATTTCCTCAAAATTCTAAACATAATACCCCATAATGACAATGTGAAAAAGATTTTTTTGTAATTGTTGTTAATTTATTAAAAATTTTAAATCCTGAAAAATCACACGTGCATAAGTATTCACAGCCTTTGCTGAAAACTTTGTTGATGCACCTTCGGCAGCGATTACAGCCTCAAGTCTTTTTTAAGATAATGCCACAAGCTTGGCACACCTGTCTTTAGGAATTTTTGCCCAATCCTCTTTGCAGTATTTCTCAAGCTCTATCAGAAATGCCAACTCGTCCAGCTGGGACTCGAACCAGTGACCTTCTTGCTGTAAGGTGATAGTGCTATCCACTGAGCCACCGTGCCACCCTTCTACGTTAATAATGTGTAAAATTGTAAAACATCTTTACAATGTGGAGCGTTCACCCTTTTGGCTGTATAATCAGTAGGTTCTGCCTTTATTTTGAGTTAATCTGTAGATTGTCACTGTCCAGTTGTACAGTAGTCACACAGTTTTGCCAATATTTGAGCTAATCCTGAGCTAATGTTTAGAGGCCCTCATGGTTTCATCCTTTTGTTTAGTTTTTTCAATGTAGAAGAGTTGGTTTTGTTGTATCAGCCTTTCTTATTTCCTAATTTTACCACAAAGTTAAACATCCTGTGTGGTATTGCAGTTTTTCTCAGTCACTTTAGTAGGTTTCTCAGATCAAAATTGAAATGAGCAAAACAGGAAGTTCATTTCTCAAAACAATACGTACAAATAGCAAAACACCATGGATTATCTGCATAAGCCAGTCTCTTGTATCCTTAGTTCATCTCTCAAAACTAAATTTCTGTGTCAATGAATGTGTCAGTGCCATCATAAAGACAAGTCCTTGTGTCATTGTGTACGGATAAGACAGTCAGATCATTTAGTCTTGTTGTCCATAAAACATTGTACTCTGGAGGGGTCTCCTGGTGTAAACGATTGCAATATTTTTGTTTGCAGTTTGTACTGTAATTTGATGACAGATCATGTCATTGTGATACAGAAAGACAAATGCAGCACCGCATAGCACAAAAAAACAAAAACAAAAGTAGAAATGTGAACATAGGACAATCTCAGATGCCATTTCATCAGAAAAAGTCAAGATTAACCTGGGAAAATGTACAAACTGTAGACCAGGGGTCACCAACCTTTATGAAACTGAGAGCTACTTCTTGGGTACCGATAATGTGGAGGGCTACTAGTTTAATAAACACCTCTCAAATCACAAATTTGCTCAATTTACTTTTAATTATACTTTATGTTTTTGGTAATAATTAATGATATTCATCCATGTGAAGACACTGATCATGTTAATGATTCTCACAAAAGTTATCAGCAATGATTTAACAGGGTAGGAAATACCCTGTATTTAATGTATCAATGTGCAACACTTTATTTTTATATATCTCTGCAAATATTTACATTTTTAAATGATTACTTCTATATTAGATGAAGCTTACTGGTAAGTGGTGCTATGGTGAGCTATTTTTAGAACAGGCCTGCAGGCAACACATGTGATCCTCGCGGGCACCATGTTGGTGACCCCTGCTGTAGACAGATTTAGAAAGAAAAGTCTAATGGAAATGTATAGATAAATGCATTATGACAACATATGACAACTTGGATGTAAAGACTTATGCAATGAACAAACGATTAAATGTTGTGGGGGTGGATTAATTCAACAGAAACTAAAATAATAAATTAATAAAAATAATAATTTTGATCAACATGACATAAGCAGCTGATATTGTAGTAAACATCAGAGAATTGCACATAATCATTTGCATGGTTGTGCAAAAGCATTTGCGACTTGTTCAAAGGAGTCAGAAGCTGCTTTTCTGATGTGCACAAGTGACACGATGATGTGGAGGTTGAACAGGTAGTTTCGAGAATTTAATTCTGATCTGAGACATGGACCAACGCCACTGAGAAAAACTGTAATTGGTATGCGGTCATCAGAGATGCTTGACTGAATGTTGTCAATAATTAATAATATACACATATTTTTTCTTTTTTGCTTTTCTGTTGCTTTAAACATTAAATACCCAATCTTGTCATTGCAGGTTAAGAAACTCCTCGCCGATGAGTACTAGCCTGTTCTGCTTCTCAGCAAGGAGACTAAGAACAAAGAACACAAATGTGAAATATTGACCCCTCGGTGCACACTTTCCACTTATGCCCAAGACTACCTTCAGAAGATTGGCTCATTTTCACTTTTGTGAAGGTGAGATGCATGCGCGATATTTTTAAAGTCACTGTAAAAGACACTGGGTTCCACACAACTCCTCCAAGTTTACTTAATTGTTTTTTTTTTCTTTTTACAAATTTATGCGAATGAAACATTAAAAAGTAAGTAATAAACTAATTTGCAACAAGTAGTTTAAACAAGCACATTTTTTGAGTGTATAGTTAACATCTTGTCTTGATGTTTGTCTTGATGTTTACCTTTATGAAGGAGCAGGTGGAGGAGGCGACTATGATGGAGAGCCAAGTGCAGCAGGTGAACATTTAAGGAGCAGCTGGAGGAGGTGACCTTGGGCATGACCATTTCTCCTATGACCAAACGTCTTGTGCAGAGCTGCAGTTTAGGCGCCTGAGGCTGGAGAACGCTAGACGTCCATCGTGGAGAAGCTGAAGGTGGGAGTGATCACCAGCTGGTGTACAGGCTGGCCCTTCAGGATCAATGCGAGGACTCGTCTGTCACTGGAGTCTTACAGGAATCAATCTCATGCTCTCCACTCCTCCATGACCACCACAGCAGCTGCTCTGGATACGGCCTGGCTCAGGATTTTAGAAACCTTGTGATTAATAAAAAAAAAAAGACTAACATACAGTAAGTGCAGATGCCGTTCAAATTATAATGTCTTTTAGGAAGTGTTCCTGGCTCCAGTTGCTCTAAATAATGCAGCATAACAATCCTTTAGAGGATTTGCATTTCAACAGCATTTGGGTTTTATCTGCATGCTAATGCAAAGAGATGTATCTTTAATCGAGTTTTATTTTATTTTATTGCCATTATGGAGGACCAGGTGGAAGAGGATGGAGGGATGGAGGGATAAGTGCTGCAGGTGATCATTATTCATGACCAGGTGGAGGAGGCGACCCTGATGGAGGAACAAGTGCAGCAGGCATCTATTATGGAGGACCAGGTAAAGGAACTGAAGTAATTAAGTTCACTCTCTGTGAACGACGCACAGAAATGAACAAATAACAGGCAGTTTTAGTAGTGAAGTTCGTGCAAAGTGCAAATTACAGAATTTAAACGTGTGTCCAAAGCACTTTGTGTCAAAAATATCGATGCATATCCACACTGAGATATACAAAACTATACAATCTCACATTTGTTTTGATCTCGCGCTCTCTCTTGAGCTGACGTGCTGCATCGTGACGTAGCTAAACAATTCCGAGAGGTTAGTAGCTGCTCTCCTTCCAATATCACTGATTTGATTACAGTTTTTGTTTTTCAATTCTTTTGCCACAAATTTCAGAACTCTGATGCCAATTTTCAACTCAAAACAGTCACTACTTTTAACAGACTCTCCAGTGTTTAAAACTTTGCATGTTGCGTTCATTTCTTTAGACAAGCCATGCATTTGCAGGATCATTCGTTTACATAATCCTTTTATCTTACAAGTTCTACAAGAACAAAATTTAGGTCACCCATAAACAAGATACACTTATTTCAATAAACTATCATTAACAATAATTAAATATTGCTGTTTAAAATATATGATACAGGTCTCATTATGGTTTATACATAAGGGAACAGTACAGACAGTGGTATCACTCAACCAAAGTTTTATTCATTCAATCATTATGTAGGTTTACATTCAACAATAGTATAGTTAACCAGTGTTATCACTACACGTCCCCATAAAGAAAGCTGATATATGGCACAATAAATACATGTAGCAACATATGCAAACTACATCAGGATCTTACATACTGTATATAAAATGCTGTATTTGTCAAAATATTGCAAAAATCACTGTGTACATTTTTTCAAACATATCATGTATACATGTGTGTGTGTGTGTGTGTTCATACACAGCTATATATGGACACCTATATAACTCGTAGGTGAAATATTTACTTAACATATGTACATATTTGTAATTCTAACTGTTAAAAAAAATGGCAATTTTTTGACATGACATACACCCACCGGCCATTTTATTAGGTACACCTTACTAATACAAGATTGAATCCCGTTTTTGACTACAGAACTGCCTTAATACTTTTTGGCATAGATTCAACAAGGCACTGGAAATATTCCTGAGAGATTCTGGTCCATATTGACACTATAGCATCACACAGTTGCAGCAGTTTTGTCAGCTGCACATCCATGATGCGAATCTCCTATTTCATCACATCCCAAAGGTGCTCTACTGGATTGAGATCTGGTGAGTGTGGAGACCATTTGAATACAGTGAACTCATTGTCATTGTCAGTCTGAGATGACATGGCACATTATCCTGCTTGAAGTAGTCATCAGAAGATGAAGACACTGTGGTCATAAAGGTGATAGACATGGTGAGCAGCAATACTCAGGTAGGCTGTGGTGTTGATACAATGCTCAATTGGTACTAATGGGCCCAAAGTGTGGCAAGAAAATATCCCCCACACCATTACACTACCACCACCAGCCTGAACTGTTGATACGAGGCAGGATGGATCCATGCTTTCATATTGTTGATGCCAAATTCTGACCTTACCATCTGAATGTTGCAGCAGAGACTCTTCAGAGCAGGCAACATTTCTCCAATCTTCTATTGTCCAATTTTGGTGAGCCTGTGTGAATTGTAGCCTCAGTTTCCTGTTCTTAGCTGACAGGAGTGGCACCTGGTGTGGTCTTCTGCTGCTGTAGTCCATCTGCCTCAAGGCTGAGCATGTTGTGTGTTCAGAGCTGCTCTTCTCCATACATCAGTTGTAACGAGTAGTTAATTGAGTTACTGTTGTCTTTCTATCAGCTTAAACCAGTCTGGCCATTCTCCTCTGACCTCTGGCATCAACAAGGCACTTGCACCCACAGAACTGCCGCTCACTGGATCTTTTCTCTTTTTCAGACCATTCATTGTAAACCCTAAAAATGGTTGTGCAGGAAAATCACAGTAGATCAGCAGTTTCTGAAATACTCCGTCTAGCCTGTCTGGCTCAACAATCATGCCACATTCAGTCACTTAAATCACCTTTCTTCCCCATTCTGATGTTCAGTTTGAACTGCAGCAGATTGTCTTGACCTTGTCTACATGCCTAAATGCATTGAGTTGCTGCCATGGGATTGGCTGATTAGAAATTTGAGTTAACGAACAGTTGGCCGGTGAGTGCATATGTTATATGTGTGAAATCTATATGAACTAGTATGCCACGTATGTAGTTTGCATATATTTCTATATATCAGATTTCTATTTGGGATCTGTGTTTTCATCAGTCTGGTCTTGATTTGGCCACAGATTCTCCTCATCACAGTGGGGTTTTCATAAGTCAAACATCCTGGAAAGAACCTTGTCAATGCGAATCCTGGCCTGACGTTGGTCTGCTATGATTGGACTTTCTTGCATACAGTAACGAAAAATATGAAAGCACTGTCTGTAAGTGCTACAAGGAACCATATATATGGAATAAGGATGAAATCTATAGATAATGTTGTCCAGTTGGGTCATCTTCTGTGGTAAATGGTGTCATTTGATCTGTCCTGAAACTTTCATCATCTACCATGTAATATTGTACTTCAGTTTCCATAAAGCCATGCATCAAGAGCAACGCAACAGTTATTTATCATTTTGAGTGCTTGTATGAGTTCATCTTACATCATGTTAATTAAATAAATACTCAAGTTATTTCAAATGCAATATGTTGAGTTGAATTTTGAAATGGAATCAATTTGATTATTAATTTGTTCAGTAAACACAGTGTCTGAATTGGTGTGTGTTGTATACAAGCATTTGAAAAAAAAAAAAAGAGTTTTGTAAAAATTTAGCAATTTTGGCACTGGTTGTGTATTTTGGGTTTAAAGTTTAGAAAATTCACACCAGGGTTCTATAATTTGTGGCAAAATGATTTAAACTAATTCAATAAGACAGCCGTGTGAAGTGCTGTCGATTGTAACAGCCTGGTATTTTGTTTTAAGGTTTATTTAGATCTCCAGCTGATGGCAGTGTTTTCATGCTTATTATTTTCTGATTGAGCACGCTGTCCTCCTGATGGAGAGAAAAGGAGACGTCTGTATTGCAAAAATGTACTTAACATCAATTGTAAAAAATAATATGTTGTAAAATTCATATAAAAATAAGAATAATAACAATTATTTATATAAGTTATTTGTAAAATGTAAATACGGTTTAAACCATGCTTTGTTTCATGTAAAGTATGGGAACATATTTAGGCAAATAAATAAATAAATATTTGGGTTTTTTTTTACATAAAGAAAATATTTTAACGTTTAGCGCCGATTCACACTCATTGACGTCACCTGCTGTGAACGCGCACCGCAACACTGTAGCTTGACTGGGTAAAAAGTCTAGATAGGATACAGCTGCGGATATGAAATACGCATAGCATCATTTTTATAACACTATAACAATTAATATTTTACAGTACTGTGACGGATGGATTTAGTGTTAGTGTAGGAATAAACGTTACAATTGAGTAATATAAATGACATAAATAATACGCGGTACAACTACTGTCTACGTTATGAGGGTTGGGGTGGGATAGACGTTAATAAAATACAATTAATGGCAAATTTAATGAATAATATAAATAATTCTCGTTAACTTCCGACCGAAACCATATCTGATCTAACAATCCTTTGGTAGTCAGCCGCAGCAGCTCATATGGCGGGCATTTATTCAAAGGTGTCCTGGCAACGAAAGATGACCAGAGCAGAGGATACAAAAGCGGACAAACCCGACTGACAGGAACTAGAATCGCCAGGTAACAGAGATCGGCCAGGTAAGACTGATTTATGTAGATATGCGCTGTAGATCTATAAACCTTCATGGACGCGGTATAAGGAAATTTAAAAATGCTAATAACATATGGTTGTGCCGTTTATTTTGGTCTAAATTTTACCATTTAAAATGATCACTACTTAACGTTATCTCCACCAGTAAACACCTAACGTGTTTACTTGTGTAATCATTCATAATTCACATAGCCTATGGTTACTGTGAGTCTCAGCATGTTTTAATAAGTCCTATATAAATGAACCCTTATGAAAAATGACCAGTTTTACTGTAAATAAAATAAACAAACAAAAGAACATGCTAATGTCAAATGAACCATGGTTTGATTTGAATGTATTTAACAGGGACATCCACAAAATTACATTAACCTCGAAAGGAAACAATGCCGTCACCTTAGAATTAAACGGTTCTATCTGACATTTTTGTTAAAATTGAATTGTTGACATTCTTATTTACATTATGGGCTGTTTTTTATACGTTGTTTACATTTTAAGAATTTTTTATTTAAAAAACAAATGTTACACACATACTGTTTGCAATGGAATGCAAAAACATTGACGCTCATTATCTTAGCCATTCAGAACGCAGATAGAAGAACCTTATAAATCCAAGGTGACGATGCGTTGTGCCATGTTTTAGCAAGGTTGCTATGTTCCACCTACAGTCCCTGAACATTCATTCATTAATTTTCTTTTTGGCTTAGTCCCTTTATTAACCTGGAGTTGCCACAGCGTAATGAACCGCCAACTTATCCAGCATATGTTTTATGCAGCAGATACCCTTCCAGCTGCAACCCATCTCTGGGAAACATCCACACACACATTCACACACACACACACACTCATACCCATACACTATGGACAATTTTAGCCTACCCAATTCACCCTCTACCACATGTCTTTGGACAGTGGGGGAAACCGGAGCACCCAGAGGAAACCCACGCAAAGGCAGAGAGAACATGCAAACTCCACACAGGAATGCCAACTGAGCCAGCCGGGGCTTGAACCAGTGACCTTCTTGCTTGTGAGGCGACGGCACTACCTACTGCGCCACTGCCTCGCCAACTCAAAAGTCACTGAAAGTTTAACTCAAAATGGCTTCTAGCAATCAGCTTCCTCAAACGGTTTGGGTTGCCTTAACTTACTGGGTTTTACAGTACTTTTACTATTTACTGTGCTCAAATTGTTTAGTTAACTCAAATGGATTTAGTTCACAGTACTCATTAGGATTCATTTTTGAACTTAAATGCTTTGCTGCAATCATTTTTTTTCAAATGGTTTGAGTTATTGTAAGGTTTTGGGCTTTACAGTGTATGGATGTCAATGTTACAGGTTTTGAGCTTTCTTTAAAATATTTTCTTTCATTTTCAACTCATAAACGTTTAGAACCACTTGACGTTGAGTAAATAGTGAGTACATTTGAACTTTTAGGGAAACTATATCTTTAAAACAATCTTAAATTGGGTGACACAGTGGCGCATAAGTAGTGCTATCACCTCACAGCAAGAAGGTTGCTGTTTCGAGCCTCGGCTGGGTCAGTAGGCGTTTCTTTGTACATTTAGCATGTTCTCCCTGCGTTCGCGTCGGTTTCCTCCAGGTGCTCCATTTCCCCCACAGTCTAAAGACATGTGGTACAGGTGAATTGGGTAGGCTAAATTGTCCGTAGTGTATGAGTGTGTGTGGATGTTTCCCAGAGATGGGTTGTGAATGAATGAATGAACAATCTTAAATTGGCTTTCATAAGATCTGTAGATTTCATTATCCAAGAATCACATGACACATATTAAACAAGCTGTTCAAATTATTATCCACAATTACTAAAATGCAGCAAAAGAAGACATTTCGTCACCTTGGACTTATAAGGTTCTGTCTGCATTATAAATGATTTAGATTTTTTTTTTGTGTTCCATATAGCGATCAATGTGTGTAAAAGTTCTCTTTCATACATTACTGTACATTAACATGAGCCTAAATCGTAGACCCTAAATGTAAATGATCAAAATTCTCTTCAATTTGCAAATTGGTGTAAAAATGGGCAAATGCAGATTCAACCTTCTAATTCTGAAAAGTCATTTCCGCTTGCAGTTACTGTAGGTTCTATCAAAGGTTCTATCTGGCAGATCATTAATTGAAGCATTAATTTTTTCAAGAAATACAAGCAGTTTGCTTATTAATTTAATTAAAAAATAAATAAATGGGTGTTGTAACAATATGTTGATGTTTGAGAAAGTACAATTTTTTGCTTTCTATAACATTTCTTAAATGTTTTAGGATGAATATTTTTTCTTGTTTAAATTAAGCATACAATGCCGTGCTAAATATTTTATGCAGTGAAGATGTTCATTTCATGAAATTAATGTGGTCATATTTATTAAATTATATGCTTTATATGATATCTAATGAATTATATGCCCCATGAATAAAATTAAGCATTTACCCTTCAAGGCCTACATCAAATTTAAATACTTTAAAAGAAAACAGACAATGAGCAAATAAGTTATTAAAGTCTAATAAACACCAAAAATGTTTCACTGACTATATATACACTATATAAATAAATCAAATAAAATATAAATAAAAAATATTTCACATTTAATATATTGCATGTTTTAATAACTGTTTCTTTTTCAACAATGTAAAATTAAACGTTTCATCTCAATGTCAAGAAATGCTTCTAAATCATCACATTTACACAGTTTCAGTTGTCTTCTCAATTTTATGTGGTGCGGCGTTATTTAGTCAACTCTGGTTTTGTGTGTCCTTCTGGTCTTTCCTGCTGTCAATGGAGCAGACTGGCAAAATGACAAAGAAAGCTGATCCTGATTGGTCCTCGTGCGTGCATTTGAAATGCTGATGCTCACAGAAAGAACCTTATAGAGCCAAGATAGAGCTGGTTTGTTTGTTTTTTTAAATAAAAAGTCTTAAAATGTAAACAGCTTATAAAAAGATTACATAATGTAAATAAGTTGTCATTTAATAGGAATATGTGAATAACTCAATTTTGGCAAAAAATTTCAGAACCTTATAATTCTCAGGTGACAGTTTGTAAGGTAGCAGGATATAGTAGTTGTGTAATTAAATGGATACCTAAAGCAGTGTTACTTACCCTATTTTCCAACATTTACAGAACAGTTTGACCTCTTGGAGTGATTGGGATGCTCCCTAATGGCCGAACAGGGATATGGTTTTCCTCCGCTGGTGTTTAGACTGCATGGAGGAGCTCCACAAGTGGTGCGGGAGGTTCTGCTAGAGCGAGGATGGGAGGAATTTGATGAAGAGGTGCAACAGGAAGGAGACTGGAACCTCTACTGGAGAACCTCAGGCTTCCGAAACTCTGACTATGAAAACATCCTGCCCTGGCAGAGACTGAACCACCACCCCAAAGTGACCCACGTCACACGGAAGGACTATCTGGTGCGCCACTTGCGGAGAATGAAGTGCGCTTTCGGCGCAACCCTGTATGGCTTCAGCCCTTCCACTTTCATACTGCCAAACGAATACACCAAATTTCTAGGAGTGTACACTAAGAATCACTCGTCACGCTACTGGATTTGTAAACCCGTGGACCTGTCGAGAGGTAGAGGGATATTTCTGTTCGAAGATATCAAGGATTTGGTTTACGACTCTTCGGTGATTGTACAGAGATACATCAGCAACCCACTTCTCATTTCAGGCTACAAATTCGATCTACGCATCTACGTTTGTGTTAAAAGCTTCTCTCCTCTTGTCATTTACATGCACCAGGAAGGCCTAGTGCGTTTCGCCACGGAGAAGTACACCCTTGCTTCCTTACACAACCTATACTCGCACTTGACCAACACCAGCATCAACAGATTTGGATTGTGCTATGCCATGGACAAAGAGCGAGTGGGTAAAGGATGCAAGTGGACCTTGAGCCAATTCCGCTGCTTTCTTCACAAACAAGATGTAAATGAGCTACTCCTGTGGCACAAAATCAGTAATATCGTCACGTTGACTCTTCTCAAAGCGGTTCCTTGCATTCCCTCTAGCCCGAATTGCCTGGAACTGTTAGGGTTTGATATTCTCATCGATTCCAGCTATAAACCGTGGCTTCTTGAGGTCAACCACAGTCCGGCACTTTCAGTGGACTGCGCTGCTGATGTAACAGTCAAGAAAGGGCTGATTGGTGATTTCATTGACCTGTTGAACTACAGGACGATTGATAGCTTCAGACAGAAGGGACACCTCAGGAAGAAGTATACACGATCGGGGAGCAAGGATTTACAGCCCAAAGTCTTTCAAGGGATTCTGCTGTCCAAGACTTTACATGCAACTCCTATACGAAAAAGAAGCTGGACTCGGCCTATCTCAACTTCTTTAGGTTCTCGAGACATTGGGTTGTGTTCGGTTAATGCTAGTGCTAGAAATTCCACAGTGTATGCAAACCGCCCTGTTTCCAAATCTAAAAGTTATGATAAGTCAACTGAGAAGGTAATTGCAGTTGAGGTGGAATCGGATGATCTGAATCTAAGACCAAAAAACAGCACAAGAAACACCCCATCTTCAGTGTGTAAGCTACCTTCTCTTTATGAAAACAAACTCAAGTCTCCAACCTTCGCTTGGGACTGCAGGACTCCGGATAGAGGGGTCCCTGCTTGTCGTGTTGGAGACTTCATACTGACGTTTCCATTTAATGAGGCAACTTGGAAAGCATCTCGAGAGAAGGTGGATGTTAAGGTGGTTGTGAACGAGGTCCAGAAACTCACCAATCGACTGGCATCTTCTTTTAATGCAAACGAAAGGATGAAGACGGGCAGCAGTCGCACTGGAGGAGCAGTCAGGGACAAATTTGAGGCTCTGCTTTGGGGGCCAAAAGATCCACCTCTTCTTAGCGAATGCTGCTTCTCTGGTTCAGAATTGAAAAGTAAAGGCATTTAGGTAGGTTAAACACAAAACAAGAGGAACTGAACCACCACCACCAGGTTGGCTCCGCCTTGCCTTCATCTTCAGGCAGTATTTGCCAACTCTTCACGAGACCTGCATCATCGACGGGGCTTAGGCCAAAGGACTATACACAAAGGACAGTAGCTGAAATTACACAAAGGACAGTAGCTGAAATTGCAATGTTTTATGCTTCCTCAATAAATGATAAAACATTTATCTGCCTCCTGAGTCTTTCTGGTAGAACCAAATAATATTGAGACAAAATAAAATAAAAACATAAAAATAATACAAATGAAGGAACTTTAAATATTGCTTTTGTTGAAAGGTTCTATTTAGGTTCTATGTTAGGTGTGCAATCTGACACAATGACAATGCCACAAATCATGAAAATAAAGCTTCTTTATTTTGGTCTCTTGTCAATACAAGATCTAAAACAGAAATAAACGGTATGGATTACGCCAAGGGAAAGTTGTATAACTCAAATTTTTTTCAACAATCTTACTTTCCCTATTTCAGATATCACTCCCTGGAGCATCTGACATCATGTGCCTCACCCAGGACATGCGTTAGGGCTTCCCCTACTGTAATACACCTAAAACACAGATTGCTGTAAAACTCGTAAATGGCAGGGAAGCGTTTTTTCTCGTTAACTGGAGGGGAAGAGTTAAGCGAAATCATTTATCGATTTCATGATGAACCCCATAATACCAGCCATACATATAAAGCAAATAATGTCCTTCAATTCGGTCACGACCAGCGACTGTCATCCTATCTCCATCATTGAAAGCTGCTTGTATTTCTGTCTGTTCCATTGCTCCGTTTATTAGATGTTTGCTCATGCTTTATTTCACAGTCTAAAGCGAGTCAAACGCACAAAATGCATTTGTGCATCATCTTTGCATTAACTTCCCATGTACATCTCTCGCACTTCTTCTGCGTCTGCTTACTGCACAGGCTGCAAACCGCGATCACGGAATTGCGAGAAACCAGGGTGTCTAAAATACATGTTTTTGGGTGATAGTTGAGATGCCCTATTTTTATGTCTGCTTTAAATTAATATTTAATAATAAAATCCCATAAAATAAAGTAAAAAGAATAAAAAGATCAAAAATTGGGTGAAATAATTTTGCATTACTATTCAGCATAACAGACATACGTTACATACTGTATGTTAAACTAAAACTATATTTTTATTCAGACCTGAGCTAATTAAAATGCATAAGGAATAAGTAATCATCAAAACTTTATTGCATCGTATTTTAAATGATGAAAATGTCCTTGCTGACAAAAACAGCTTTGAAGGATAGTGAGCAAGTATAACGATTTACAATGATAATAAGTATTCTGGTGCTAGGATTGAGCGATGTCGACCAATTTGGCATCGTACAATGTCTAATGTGAAACATCAAGATGAACGATGGCATGGTTGTTGTAGGCGGTAGTGAACTAATTTATGAATTATTAATCAATTCATAACAAATTGATTATTTGTAGCCTGCCGTTTTTAACCACCTGACACGCATGGTCTGTTTTACTCATAACCAAATCATAAAATAAATAAATATAAGTAACACACAAATTACCACCTGTCAATCACTTTTTTCGTACATAGGGTGATCTGTGTCGTTATAATGGCGTCGACAAACTTTGTTGGTAAAAAAGGTGCACAACCAACAGCAACCAACCAACAGTACCTGAGGTTTTCACTAAAATTACAAGGGTGAAAGTGAAAGACGGAAACAGTGTACTGACACTGTGACACATTACCTGATAGATTTAAGACAACGAAGAGTCGTTAGATAGAGAAAAGATTAATTCAATTATAGTGAGACACGATCAGTGCTTAATTTGTGAATTGCGAGGTCCCAGAACAGATCGGGGTAATGGATCTGCCATGCTACCCGAGAATGGAGAGATGTTACGCACGAAAAAGGATAGCGAGGCGTTGGATAGCGGAGGGGTGTCGCAGACAAAAGTTATTAGTTGTGGAGCAAAGTAAAAAGTGAACAGCGGAGGGAGGAGGAGAGCGGGTGAGGAGGCGGATCGGTAAAATGAGGTGCCAGATCAGATTTCAGAGGTGCCGAATCCAGATCCGGCATATTCTGCCACTTATTAGGCCCTGGACACGATCCAGCGGTACAATCTTGATAAACTGTCTGACGTGCACTGCTATCTGGGCTTTTGTGCTCAAAGCACCCGCTGGCTGCCTGGCGCTCAGACGTCCACATATGCTGCAGAGCGTGCCTGTGTGTGGTCACGTGATGTGCGTTTTCAGTGGTATAGATGGAGAGCTGTTCAGAAATGCTAGATGAAACACCAGTGTGAACGTGAATCGTTTTCATCCTAAAATGGCATTTTAAACTAAGACGTGTTCGTGTAAACAGGGCCTAAGTGTGTATTTTTCACAAGCAGGTTGCTGCTGCGACGGGGGCAGGGTGGAGGATCGCAATGCCGGCTCAGCATTGTGATGTCTATCGGTCATTGGCAATGGACAGTGGCATGGTCTTTCGACCTAACCCTATTTGGTGCTGCACTGTGATCCCTAAATAATCTGTCACAAAATGATTCTTGTTCATATACAGTACTTGTTCATATACTGTTGCTCCAAAAATAAAGTTACACAACAAAATATGCACAAAATGTGACCGTATTACACTTCTCTTGTTTTGATGCTGGAAAAGCCCCTTTAACTACATGTATACAAGGTAGGTAGTAATGTTTCTGTGTTGACATGAGATTCTCGATGCAGTACAGTTTCAGCAGAAGGTCGCACATGTTCACCTGCATACTGTATCAGATGTGCTCATGCTGAGAGAAGCTGTTAGCAACATGAGACGCATGCTGACAGCGCATGCAAAAATAAACAGCCATAGTTCATCCAGTTGACAATACGGTACAGTTTATTGGCATCTTTAGAGAAACGATTTAAATCAGCTGAAATAATGAATATAGGAATTTTTTTTTTTTTTTACACTTCCAACTCATTTTAGTGCACACTTTATAATCAGGGTTCATATACAATTTTGCCAAAAATATTCCAGGACTTGACTCAATTTTTATGACCTAATGTTTCATGTAATGTCTACATATTTGTGGCAAATCATAAGAAAAACAGTGAATGTTTAAATTTATTACAGCATATCATAAAAAAAAGCAACAATCTCTTCGGTTTCAATTTATTTTTATGTCTATTTAAAACAGATGATGCTTCACAGCACTAATGATGTGAGCATGTTTTTGGCCAAGAAAAGAAGTAAAAACAACTAACCTCCATTTCAGTATACAGATATTTGTCAAACTCATTTTAGATGATGTTAATAGTTTGTTAAACTAGTAATAGTAGGTAAAACTACTTCTATTGTAAAGCTGTGATCACACTGTACTTTTCGCTCTACAGACTTACATTCATAGTCATGCGAATGGGGCAGACCAGAAACGCAAGCACATGCAGGCCCGGATTAGCAATTTAGAGGCCCCTGGGCACATTGTCTTGTAGGGCCCCCTACCCGGCCACACCCCTATAGTTGTATAAAAAAAAATAAGTATATTATATTCTTTAATAAAATGAATCTATAATGTACTGCCCGCATTTTAAAAATAAATGATATATAGTACATATATTGATAGTCTACACAGATTTGACTTATTCTTAAAGCATTTAAAGCACACTTTGATAAATAAATATAGTAATAAAATTAGTAAAAGTTAATGGTTTTAGTATTCTTGTTCAAGTTCACTGAAGCAGTACTACAATATATATTTTAAAAGGTATTAATTATAAATACAAACTAGTTCTATTAAGATGTCACCAACATTTAACACCAGGTGGAAAATAACTTTATGAAATATTTAAAAATTACTATTTAGATGCTGTTTATACACATGAAATAAGCTAAACCTTATTAAATACCCACGAGCCACTTGTGACTTTATGTCACATTCTCATTATTTTCACTTTTAAACAAAAATATTTCCTTTCTATTAAAAATAACTATATTTCCACTCTGATATGTTATGGGGAAAAAAAGAAAAAAAAGAAAGAGTTCATAAGACGCTGGATTTGAACCTGTTGATGATCAATCGCATCAAAACATGTTACCACGTGCTTTACAAGCTACGCCACTCACGCTGCTGTCAGTTGCGCTCTAGTTATTTTGTGTCTGTCAATCAAACAGTGATGGGTGGAAAATCACTCAAATAGTTTATTCCAATGAGGTTTGTACTTAGCTTAAATAGACACTCCAAAATTTGGATTTTTCACCCCTCATGCCCATAATGCCCATTGGTTAATCCGGCCCTGAGCATGTGCGACAAGTTTCGTATTTCGCTGCATTCGAAAGTTTAAGCTTGGTGAATTCTTACCTGCGAAATAACACCAGGTGATTGCGTTAGACCAATAGAAGATCATTTAAAATGAGAAATTTGAAATCTGGAGCAATCGCTCACTTTTATTAACGCCTAATCATATTGTTTAACCCTGCCCCTTTTCACAGTGTTGTACGACAGAATTTTGCAAGCAAAAGCTCTAGTGTTACCGCAGCTTAAGTCACTTTAGACAAAAACGTCTGCAAAATGACTAATATGTAATTTCATGACTTTTTCAAAACTTTGTGGGTTTTTAGTTTTTCCAAATCTTTTCCAGGCCTGGATAACACCATGTCAAAATTCCATGACTTTTCCAAGTTTTCCATGACCGTATAACCCGCATAATATACAACATTCACTCCAAAGCATGTTATTCTCTATATCAGTAAAGACACTGTTTCTAAACTCTCTAAAACTTCTTAATTGCAGTCCTCAGTTTGATTTTATCATCATACTGTCATGGGCCAGGTTTGATTTCATTTATTATCTTCTAGTAGTCTTAGAATTTAAATATTTTGCTAATATATGAATGAAAAATTGACTTTTATTTCAAAAAGAAAAATCTCTCTCTCTCTTTCTCTTCTTAAACATGCTTAAATACTTGTGCTACATGACAGTATAAAAGCTTTTTTTTACCCTAGTATATAAGATTTAAGGTTTGGGACTCTGCTGAAGTCTGTTCTGAAATAAAAGCGTCAGAGTTGATGTAATTCACAACAGACATGTGACATATCTGGTGTTCACATATCTGTACTGCACTTCAATAATGCGACTTTCAGCGCATATAAAGTGTCCTTCCATCGTGTGATAGTGTCCATGGTTAATTTGTTTGGCTGCAGAATACAGCGTGAGAATGAGAGATGAGCTGCCTTATTTACTTTTCACTCTTGTGGATAGAGAAACGTGTTGTACGCACAGACATCTATTATCCTACATAATTCATTTTGCTTGTTAACGCAAAGATTTGCTTCAAAACTATTTCTAAATTCAGTTCTAATTTCCAGCAACGAATAAATGAACAATAATAACCAAGTGTGTTCAAAAACCTGAGTTATATCCTAATACACATGCTGTGCCCCATATGGTCTGAAACCTGACAGGTGGGCAAATCTAAGCTTGTTTTTAATAAAACAAATATAAATATGCATATAATAAATGATACTGCTAATAATAATAACATTGCGCCAGGTGTATGATAGGGCCCTTAATGCGTTTGCGCCCTGAGCTTTGCACTTTGTGCATAGATCATTAAAATAGAGCCCCACGACTGTGACTTGGAAAACCATTTATCTAGAGCTTTAATTGACAAGGCTTTAATTAAAATGCATGTAAATGTTTCAGTTGTTGCTAATAAACAATGTGAAAATTCTGGGTTCCACATAATTCCTGCATATTGTTCCAACACTAATCAATAAAGATAACTCGATTTTTTTTTTGAGTAGATTGAACATAAACAATTAGGTTGCCTCCCCAAAAAACTTAAGAATTGTGTTTCAACTCATTTTAAATACATAGTTTGAACAAGCACAAAAGTCATTTTTTAAATGAAGTAACCAAGCTGTAAGTGCTCTGCTCACTTGTGTAAAACTCATTTGCATAAGAAATACAATTATGTTTGCATTTAAGAGACACAAAGCTTTCATCTAAAAAAACAAACAGCATTTACAGTACTGAATAATAAAATATTTATGAGGCATTTTATGGCAACATCTGTGAGTCAGATTACATCAAAAAGCATTTGCCTGCTTAAAAATAGTGCCTGAAGCTCCTAAAAACGTTTTTCTTCTTCAACATGATGACTATACGTTTCCTAATAGTTTCTAAGTGCTTTTTTGTGGAATATAAAAAACAATAAATAGAGGATTTAGTGTCTAAGTAGATTTTTTGTCCATTATAATGACCCCTTCATTGTTTTTAATGCGAACCCTACCAGATGAGAACTTTGTTTCTTGTCTCCCGTTTGTGTAGACTGTTTTAATGGTTCCATCCGGGAATATTCTGCGCTTGTACTGTGTCGTGTGGATCTCTCTCTGACCATTAGTGAACTCCACCACCTTTTCACCATGTCTGTGGAAACAGTGTGTGAATAAAATTAAAGCAAGAAAAGCAAACAGACAGGACAAGCAGATGTTTTACCTACTGTGAAATCTTGACAACAGTTCCATCTGGGAAAATGCTTTCTTCTTGACCATCAGAATGGAGAATCTTAACCGTGCCGTCTGGGAAGGAAATTTCCCTTGTACCATCCGGATGGTGTTTTTCTAGGAAATGTAAGATTTCAACAGACATTTAAAATTGCTTATTTGCTGTCAAATTAGAATAAAACATAAAGGGTAAGTTCAACCAATAATATAAATTACGTAATTAATAACTCATCTTCATGTTCATACAATCCCCTGAGATCTTTGTTCATCTTCATAAAATAAATTAACATATTTTAAATGAAACCGAAGAGCTCCCTCATCCTCCTTAGACAGCAAGGTATCTCAAGACGGTCAAAGTTTAGAAAAGGAACCAAAAACATTCAGTGTAATTTCACTGGTTTAAATGTGATCATATGAAGCTCCAAGAACACTTATATCCGGCTAACTCATTTGTTTCCAAATATGTTGATGTTGCGAGTAGTTGTACATTTTGTGGTAAGGATGATATAATACATTTATTTTGTATGTGTGAATTTGTTCAGAAATTTTGGTTTGACCTGTATCATTATTTAAACACTTCTCTTACCTTTGCACAATCTTTTAGTTTAAAATAAATTATTTGTTATTACTTAGAATCTTCACATAAATATAAAGAATTTATTAATTTTCATCTTGTTTGAAATTTTTTTTCGACATTTTCTGATTGAAGTTGACTCACTGCTCAAATCTTTTCGTATGTGTAACAACAAAAAAATTGTCAGATTCTTGGTTTCATGTGAAGAACTGTTGTCTACTGACTCTGAGTTAGACAACTTTCCTGTAATGCTCTTAATTAACTAATTTATTTTTTATACAATTGCAACTTATTTACCCTTTTCTTTGTTTTGTTAAGTCTTTTTTCTTTCTGCAGCTAATGTAGTTTGTATTTTCCCTCTGTTGTATCTCTTTTAGATTGATCTCCTGATTGTGGTTGTATATTTTCATCCTTTAATAAAATCGCGAAGCACTGAAGTCACAGAATGTTTTGACAATGTTTTTGGTTACGTTTCTGGACTTCGTACATAACTGGACCATTGCTGTCTATAGAGGATTAGAGAGCCCAGATTTGATCTAAAATACCTTAATTTGGGTTCTGAAGTAAAACTCAGTGGATTGGAATGACATGGAACAAATGCACTAATCCTGTAAAATCGATTTTTACTGGTGGTAAAATGTTTATAAATAACTACAGATAAACTCTCAGTGATGCATTAAATTAAACACAGAACATTGAAGAGTGAAAACTGAAACAGTGTCCATGCTTTTGTTTTTTTCTAACCTCTTTGGTTGTTTGGAAACTGTACAACTTCCAATCCAGATGGGTATGTTGAGTGTGTTGTTTGAGCATCACAATAGTAGTATATCTAAACAAAAAGGAGGTAAAATGGCTAATTAATACATCTGAAATTGTTTAGTTGTTAATAATGGCTGTAAACACACAAAAAATTGGTTAATGAACAAATCATTGCTTGTTTAAGACAACCAACTGTAGGAGACACTTTCTGTCCGTCTTCATATGCACCAGACACTTTACACCAGACAGTTTGTAATGAACATGTTTAATTTAAAAGTCTATATTTAATCATAAGTTATATTTTATTACATTATTATTGAAGGCACTTTTAACCTTTCTCCACTATAGAGAAATGTTTGTGAGTTAAAAATGTTCTTTATGGAGCCATTGCCTTTTTTAATTAACCTTTAAGGGTATACTGTAGTTTTATTTTTTAATAGTGTGAATTCGATTTGTTTTATCATTTCTGTTTTCTTTTTGGGCACTAGAAATTTAGTTTGCAGTTTTTTTAATAGCTTTTGTTACGTCAACAGTTTTAATAAAATGTTGTTTGAGTTAATTAGTACGAATTAAAATTTCAAAATTACTTATGAAACCTACTGGAAGTTTCAGAATTAAAATGACTTCAATTTAATTCAATGAAGTTTTCTTTCCATTATTGAACACTCACCTTTATTAGGTACACCTGAGCAACTGCTCGGTAATTTCTAATCAGCCAATCACATGGCAGCAATTCAATACATTTAGGCATGTAGACATGGCCAAGACGATCTACTGTAGTTCAAAACGAGCATCAGAATGGGGAAGAAAGGTGATTTAAGTGACTTGTGGCATGACTGTTGGTGTCAGATGGACTGGCCTGAGTATTTCAGAAACTGCTGATCTACTGGGATTTTCACGCACAACTATCTCTAGGGTTTGCAGAGAATAGTTAGAAAAAGACAAAATATCCAGTGAGTGGCAGTTTAGTTGGCACAAATGCCTTATTAATGTTAGAACTCAGAAGAGAATGGCCAGACTGGTTCCAGCTGATAGAAAGGCAACAGTAACTCAAATAACCACTCGTTGCGACCGAGGTCTGCAGAAGAGCAGCTCTGAAAACACTTGAACATTGAGGCGGATGGGCTACAGCAGCAGAAGACCACACCAGGTGCCACTCTTGTCAGTTAAGAACAGGAAACTGAGGCTACAATTCACACAGGTTCACCAAAATTGGACAATAGAAGATTGGTAAAACATTGCTTGGTCTGACGAGTCTCGATTTCAGCTGCAAATTCAGATGGTAGGGTCGGAATTTGGTGTCAACAACAACATGGATCCATCCTGCCTTGTATCAACGAATCAGGCTGGTGGTGGTGGTGGTGTTATAGTTTGGGTGATATATTTTGGCATTTATATTTACTTTGGGCCCATTAGTACCAATTGAGCATCGTGTCAATCTGAGTAACAATGCTACAGTCTACTTCATTTATTATTGCTGACCATGTCTATCTCTTTATGACCACGGTGTACTCATCTTCTGATGGCTATTTCCAGCAGGATAACGCACCATGTCATAAAGTGCAAATTATCTCAAACTGGTTTCTTGAACTTAACAAAAAGTTCACTGTACTCAAATGGTCTCCACAGTCACCAGATCTCAATCCAATAGAGCACATTTGGGATGTGGTGGAATGGGAGATTCGCTTCATAGATGTCCAGCCAACAAATCTGCAGCAACTGCGTGATGCTATCATGTCAATATAAATCAAAATCTCAGAGGAATATTTCCAGTACATTGTTGAATCTATACCATTAAGGATTAAGGCAGTTCTGAAAGCAAAAATGGGTCCAAACCAGTCCCAGTAATGTGTACCCAATAAAGTTGCCGGTGAGTGTATATGTGTGAGTAACTTAAGATTTAAACAAAATTATGCATGGAAATGGCTCAAGGGCACGTTTCTGTTGCAATACATCAAAACCTGTGATAACTCCCTTTTTTATGATGTCATCAAGCACTCCAGGTTATTGGTAAAAGACTTTGGATGGATGCAGTTTTTTAGGTTTTTTTAACAAAAAAGCAGAAAAACTAGATGGAAACTTGGCTTTTGTAAACATGATAGATTTGACAACTGTCATCTGTGCGAAAGAGATCAGAAAGAAGAAAGAATGTTGCCATTTTTAGTGCTTTAGTCATGTAAACGTACCTCTAATTTGTACGTTATCAATAGACCGCTTAGTTTTATCGTCTCACTGGCAGTTTTATGTAATTGCGCTTTCATACTAGTTTCCCGTCTTTAATAAATCAGGCCTTAAAGGCACTGTGTGGAGTTTTCATGTTCTCCCTGTGTTCGTGATGGTTTCCTCCTGGTGCTCCAGTTTCCCCCACAGTCCATAGACATGCGGTATAGGAAAACTGGATGATCAAAAATTGGTATATGCCTGTGTGTATAGTGAATGAGAGAGTATGGATGTTTCCCAGTACTGGGTTGTGGCTGGAATAGTTGGCGGTTCATTTCACCGTGGCAACCCTTGATAAATAAGGGACAAAGCCAAAGGAAAATGAATAAATAAATCAAACTAAACCATAAAAAAACCAAAAGAGAATAAAACGTGATGTTTTAAAAACAGTAAATACTCTGATCTGTGGAGAACGCAGACACGCCTGCAGAGTAGCTCAATGCCTGTAGGAACATGTTAACGTTCTGGCTGATGACCACAAAATCATTAGTGAACCTTAAAATGTTGCAACACAGCAGCAGAATCTGTGAGAACAGACTTTATAAGACATCAATGATACACACCACCGTCCCATCAGCCAGTGTGCGTTTAACATCTCCGTTGAAGAAGGTGACAGTGACCGACTTGTCAAGACTGATCTCTTTCTTTGTCCCATTGCGGAATATAATCACGCGACTTCCGCTCCAAAACAGACGTTCAACCTACAAAAAGCAGAGGATTTGGAAAAAGGTTGAAAGATTTCGTGCAATTTCCTATATGGGCCATTTCAATGTGTTGATGTAATAAGCCCATGAACATTTCCTGCTTGTTATCAAACTATTTCATAACTGTAACTAGAGGCAAATCAATCAAATCTTAATGTTAAAACAGCCGTCATAACATTATATATTAATATGTGGCTCTTTTTGGATTCTCGGAAGCTGTAGAAATTAAATATTTAAAACAGGAAATACGTTAGGAACATTGTTTTTGTTTACATCCCTCAAAATATATATAAGTCAAATCTCTCTTTTAATGTCAGATTTTTAATAGAAAGCTCTACAATATTATATTTGTGCATTTACATTAGATAAGTCAGTACTGAAGCCAAATCTGGAGCTTATCTAACAAAATAACTTACAATAACGGTCCAAAAACTACAGTAGTACACCCAAATTTATATGTTATAAAAAAATATTTGATACAAAAAAGAGGCGGAGTCAGTTGGCATTTCTGTGTGGAGTTTGCATGTTGCCCCACAGTCTAAAGACATGTGGTACAGGTGAATTGGGTAGGGGTAAATTGTCCGTATTGTATGAGTGTGTGTGTGTGAGTGAATGTGTGTGTGAATGTTTCCCAGAGATGGGTTGCGGCTGGAAGGGCATCCACTGCGTAAAAATGTGCTGGATAAGTTGGCGGTTCATTCCTCTGTGGTGACCCCGGATTAATAAAGGGACTAAGCCGACAAGAAAATGAATGAATGAAAAAATTAAAACAACTTAGTTGAAATTTTAAAAGGTTGTACTTTTTTTTTTGCAATATTTTGCTTGAATTTAATTGTATTATCTTTTCATTTCTAAAGCTGTTAGGTGACTAAAGTATTATTTTAATAAATATATCTGTTTAATAAATTTGTTTTGTTGAAATACATTGTCTATATTCACTGAGAAATTGATTAAAATACTCATTTTCAATATGGGGTGTACTCAATTATGCTGAACACTGTATATAATTTTAAATATTGCCATATATCACTTTCTATGTGGGTTATGTTAACAAAAAAAATCATTCTCACCCTTCCATCTGGATAGCGTGTTTCCTCTCGCACGTTGTCTTTTCTGGTTTGGGATGTTAATTGTGCATCATTGTGGTCAGGATGGTGATAAAACGAACTTCCCTTTGAACAAAAATGTCATTACAATACTATGATGCACTGTATATTTCATAAGAGCAGTTGAGTAAAGGAGGTGAAATACTGTGCGTCAGTATTATGTTGTGTTTTACTGATACTGTACAACAATGATGGCGAACTGTCTCTTTAAGGGCAAATTAAATACCTTTCCGCCTTGTGTAATCAGGTCTTTGTTCTGAAGGTTGTCAAAGGAAAGTACAGAATTCCTTCCTTTTGCAAAACACACAAGACATGGCAAGTTCATGTAACGAGTGATGACAGTCTGTATGTTAGTTTATGTGAAATGAAGCACAAAACTCACTCGAAGAGCTGCCTGTTGTCCCAATAGAGCCTCCGTTTGCCTGTTCAGGAAGTAAAGAGAAAGTTTGGGTTACAAAAACAAAATTTATTTCAATAATTTGCAACAGTATAATTGCATAAGACGGCATGGTGGCTCAGTGGTTAGCACTGTCGCCTCACAGCAAGAAGGTTGCTGGTTTGAGTCCCAGCTGAGCCAGCTGGCATTTCCGACTGGAGTTAGCATGTTCTCCCTATGTCCATGTGGGATTCCTTCAGGAGCTCCGATTTCCCCCACAGTGCAAAGACATGCGCTATAGATGAATTGTATGAACTAAAATGTCCGCAGTGTATGAGTGTGTGTATATGAATGAGTGTGTATGGTTGTTTCCCAATACTGGGTTGCAGCTGTAAGAGCATTTGCTGTGTAAAACATGGAATAGTTGCTGGAATTGCTAGAATAGTTGGCGGTTAATTTCGCTGTGGCGATCTCTGAAATAGAGACCAAGCCAAAGTAAAACTAATGAACCTATTTAGTGAAAGTAATGCAGTATTTGCTCACTCTGTGCCTTTTATATCGACTAGCTCTTTGTGTTGATTAATAATGAACAGGGCAAACAATTACAATATCAAATCAGGATTTAACACTTCCACTGTATGACATGGAGACGGGTAGATGCATTACACATGCATGAATTAATTATAAAGAGCTGAGTCAATTATCTGACACTGGTCTTTGAGATCCAGCATCAATTATTAGTGAAGAGCTTGAAGGGGCCCTTGAGAATGTATTACACACCTCAGCGGCTTTACAGAAGTTCAGTTTATCAAGGTTTCATCCAGTCAAGTTCTTATTAAGACCCTTTTAAGACCATTAAAAACTAAATTTTAGACTTATACAGGATTTTTTATCGGTTTATTACCGGTATTATCATAAGGAATCATATTATTTATTTTTTTTAATGGGGAATTTGCTGTAAACATGTTTAACAGCTGTTGTGAATTGTATTTCCTTGCAATAAAAAAACTTAAATATAAAAAAAAGGTTTTATTGAGATGTATCGTTGGTTATTGGATGGATGTCAGCCAGATTGAGTAGCATTACTTGGACAAAAGAAAATTAAGACCTGTTTAAAATGATTTAAGACCTACAACACAACATTTCAGTAAATTTAAGACTTTTTAAGGCCTGACATTTAGTTTTGTAATTTAAGACATTTTAAGACTTTCCCCCTGGTTTATAGCTCAACTGAATGTAGGGTTCTTTACCTACAGTAGCAAACTACTAAAATAAGAAAGACATATGCATATTTGCATTAAAGCTACACAACTATGAAAAAAAAAAATAAATAAATAAAGAAACAAGAGACCTCATGAAAATTCAGTTTCTCAGAATTTTATGATTTGTTGTTTTGAGTAAAACTTAATTTTTGATTTATTCTGTGAAACACTGAAAGATAAGTTTTTATCAAATTAAATTTTTTAGTTTAAAGTTATTTAGCATACAATATCAAAAGGGCACTGTGTTTTCAAACATGGTGTATTCATTTTTTAGACGACATGAAATCACTTTTTTTTACTTAAAAAGTAAATCAAAATTCACTCAAAATTAAAGTATTTTGGTCTCACTTTACATTAAGGTTTCATTAGTTAAGTATTTACTAATATCAACTGATAATGAACAATATTTGTACAACATTTATTATTCATGATTCATCATTTACCAATGCATATTTATAGAAATACAAAATCATGCTTGATAACATTAGTTAGCGCACTGTGAGTTAACATGCATTATTAAACGGCTGTCTAAAATACTAATTTCTGAATGGTCAGTCACAACATTCCAAGGTATGTTGTTCCCGGAAAACAACCTTTAAATAACACTATGATAATAACTTCATATCACTTTGAACGACTGCGAATATGTTCAAATCCATATACTTACATCCAGATTCATATCTATGTGCTTGTTTGTCATGCTGCATTTTTGATTGTTTGGCACCATCTTATGAATGAATAATACGTAGGTTATGCCGAGTTCAGACTGCATGATTTTCAAAGTAGTCGTGTCACAGATGTTTTCAAACTGCATTACTATCTGGGTTATCGTTCCGTCGATGCTTTGTTTACATGCAAGACGTATCGGCGACATGGGGTTTCACAGTGCATGACTTTAAAAGAGGAAGAATCGACAACAATTTTGTCTACGTTTCACAACCAAACACACATAAGAAGACATGGAAAAATTGCGAGGACATGTAATATATATCTTGCTATAAACTACATAATGAGAAAGAAGCTTTTAGTGGGGTAGAAAATGTACTTATTTTGCTCACCTGGCTTTAAATGGAGCAATTTCTCTTAAACTTTTTTCTTTTTAGTTGTGCGTATTGCTCAGATGACACATTAACCAGACACGATGCTCCTGTCAAATTTACAGTAGTTTTTCCTCCATTTCTTGGGTCCATATAAACAGAAAAGGAGCGCTTTTAACTTCTCCCCCAACCTCCCGCTGCCTGCAGGTACCCACAGTAGGGAATGCTGCTCTCTTATTGGCTGTAGGTGATCGCCGATGTTATTTTCAATCAGAATTAATTTCACACAGCATGATTTTAGCATGCCAAATACCTCTTGGATGCCAACAACTCATCTGCGATTCTTTCAGATGGTGTCTTCGATAGTTCATACTGTGTGATTATTACTCGTATGAACGAGCACCGATTTGCTTGTGATTTCAGGTATTTTTCAGCTATTTCTCAAAACCTGTTGCCGAGTCAAAATTGGGGCTAAATCATGCAGTCTGAACTCTGCATTGCTCTATACTTTATTCATCCAGTTTTGTTTCTGTAAGCTTTACATTTTTGACTGTTTGGCGCCTTCTTGTAACTGAATAATGTGCAGGTTAGTGTATACTCCATCAGCTGTTTTTGTTTCGGTCAGCTTTGCATTTAATTAAAAAATTAACAAACTATTACAGCTCAGAGCAATGTTTTGTGACAAGTAGCCATGAAATAAGCTGGATAAAGTACCTAAAAGATGGTTGTTTAAGCAGAATAAAGCCCTTCAGTCTCCGTGTCAGGCTTTATTCTGCAACAACAACATCCTGGATGCCCTTTATCTCCAACTTAACAATGAACAACTATATTTCATCATCTAATGTCAACAAAGATGAATAAATACAGTACATAAATTGCATTGTGGGTGGCACGGTGGTGCAGTGGGTAGAGTTGTCACCTCATAGCAAGAAAGTCACTGCTTTGAGCCTCGGCTGGGTTAGTTGACATTTCTGTGTGGAGTTTGCATGTTCTCACCGTGTTGGCATTGGACTCCTCCGAGTGCTCCAGTGCGCTATTAGTGAATTGGGTAAGCTTAAATTGTCCGTAGTGTGTGTGTGTGTGTGTGTGTGTGTGTGTGAATGAGTGTGTATGGAAATTTCCCAGTGATGGGTTGCAAGTGGAAGGGTATTCACTGTGTAAAACATATGCTGTATAAGTTGGCGGTTCATTCCGCTGTGGTGCCCCTGATTAATAAAGGGCCTAAGCCAAAAAGAAAATGAATGAATGAATAAAAAAATTGCATCGTTCATTATTTGCTTATGTTCTTGAATGCATTAACTAATACAACCTTATTGTGAAGTGTTATTGTTACAGATAAATTGTGATTTAATAAATTCTTTAATAAATGCACTAATTGACAATATATTCATCTCAAACTTGCATAAAATATAACAGATCTTTACAGAATTAGAAATAATATTTTACTCTACTAGCCCATAGTTAATAAATCCAAATAAACTGTGGATTTACAAGTGGTCTGACTTTTCTCTATAGCTGTAAACTGACCTGGTGTTTATAGTTATGATAATAACTCATTACATTTATACAGCACTTTTCTGGACTCTAAAAGTGCTTTACAGATGTTATGTGATCATGCACACATTAATTATGTTACCGTACTAACATTTTCTTGTGGTGTCCTGTGGATGGAGGGTTTGTTAAAGGCTGGAGTTGCGCTCCTGACACGAGGCATCATCTGTGTCACCTCTCTGCTCTTCTCATACTGAAAACAACAAATGTTCAGGAAGACAAAACAATATGAAGTCAACAGCATAGCCATATATAGAGAGATATTTGTTCCTGTTTTTAGTAAATGTCATAACCAGCCTTCATTTATGTAAATTACATTTTAATGCCAAAGTGTATGCTTTATTCCACATTAAATATCTAAACATACTTAAAATAAAAACTATATTACATAATGTTGTGCTTGAGTAAAACAAATTTAGTTTAGCTCGACAAACTACTGATTAAATCTTTTTTTTTACACTTTAGTAGAGTTAATAAATAAATATTTGGTGGAATAACGCAGATTTACAATCATAACAAACAAATATGTTATTCATTTATTCATATTCTTTTCAGCTTATACCCTTTATTAATCTGGGGTCTCACCACGAAATGGACCGCCAACTTATCCAGCACATGTTTTACACAGCGGATGCCCTTCCAGCTGCAACCCATCTTTGGGAAACATCCATACACACTCTTTCACACTCATACACTACGGACAATTTAGCCTACCCTATTCACCTGTACTGAATGTCTTTGGACAGTGGGGGAAACCGGAGAAAAGCCACGAGAACATGCAAACTAGCCAAGGTTCGAACCAGCGACCTTCTTGGTGTGAGGTGACAGCACTACTTACTGGGCCACTGCGTTGCCCAAATATGTTATTGTATTCAGAACTTCTTTTTTTTTTTATATATGATTATTTTTTCTGGGTTTTCATCTTTAATGGACAGGACAGTAGACAGCATCGACAGGAAAGTGTGGAGAGCAGAGAGAGGGGAAGGATCAGCACAGGACCTGAAGGTGGGAATCGAACTTGGGTTGCTGTGAGCACTGAAGTGCATGTGTCGACGCACTAACCACTACATCATTGGTGCCAACAGTATTCATGATTTCCAAGGGGGAAAAAGAAATAGTGAAAGGCAATATTTTTGTATTTGAAATTTGAAAGAAATTTTATCAGACCGAACAGTTGAACCAACTTGAACAAAAATGAAATCCAGTACATGCAGTGAAACTGTGAAGTGCTCTCCTATTATTATTTTTTTTATAGCTGAATAAATACAGTTGAAGGCAAAATTATTAGCCCACCAAGTAATTTGTTTTCTAATATTTCCCAAGTGCTGTTTAACAGAGAGAAGATTTTTTTCAATGCATTTTTAAATATTTATTCATTCATTCATTTATTTATTTTCCTTCAGCTTAGTCCCTTATTTATCAGGCGTCGCCACCACAGGATGAACCAACTATTCCAGCATATATTTTACGCAGCGCATGCCCTTTAGCCACAACCCTGTACTGGGAAACACCCATTCACACTTATACAATACGGCCAATTTTAGTTAATCTAATTTACCTATAGCGCATGTCTTTGGACTGTGGGAGAATCCTGGAGCACCTGGTGGGAACCCATGTGAACATGGGGAGAACATGAAAACTCCACACAGAAATGCCAACTGACCCAACCAGGACTCCGACCAGTGACCTTCTTGCTGTGATGCGACAGTTCTAACCACTGAGCCACCATGCCACTATTTTTAATCATAATAGTTTTAATAACTGATTTCTTTTTTCTTTGCCATGATGACAGTATAATGTTTTACTAGTTATAATGCAAGATAGTATTCAGCATAAATTGGTTAACTAGAAAAGTTAGGTTAATTAGGGAAATTGTTGGACAACAGTGGAAAAATATTAATAATAATAATAATGATAATAATAATAATAGAACGAACTAAGCAGTTTTTACTTTTAGTTTTAAATGGAGTTATAAGGTTCTTACTGCGTTCTGGATGATTTTGAGACATTGAGCTTTAAAGCTTTTGCATTCCATAGCAAACAGTATGTGTGTAACATTTGTTTTTTAAATAAAAAAGTCTTAAAATGTAAATAACTTATTAAAAAACATCCCATAATGTAAACAAGTTGTCATTTAAGAATATGTGAATAACTCAATTTTGACAAAAATGTCAGATAGAACATTAAAATTAGGTAACTATATATATATATATACATATATATATATATATATATATATATATATATATATATATATATATATATATATATATATATATATATATTTTTTTTTTTTTTTTTTTTCCCCAGACAAACAGAAAACGACTTTTTCCAGAAAAAAGGAAATGCTTAGAAAAATGAAATACTATGTTTATAGTTAGTTAAAAAAAATTTAATTTACATGATTTTTGTCTGTGTTTTAGTGTAAATGTAAGTGTGGGGGCAGTCTTTGCTCTCACTGTGCTGTATGATGGAGGTGCAGAGGATCTCCTGCCCATAGTGAGTCTCCTCTGGAGGTGCTGGTTCTCTTGAACGAGGGTCTCCACACGGCTCTGCAGGACGCTGTGAAGCTGAGACCACTGAGACTCTCTGTTCATCAGCTGCTGCTTCAGAGACCAGATCTGCTGCCTCAGCTCCTACACACACAATGGAAGACATTTCTCAAGGCATACCACTGTTGAAATCATTTAGGGATAATATAGGTTCCAGAAAATACACTACATTGTATGTTAAAATTAATGAAAGAGAACTTTACTGGCATTAGTGGTTCCCTGAATATTTATAGAAAACTTTACATCGCAAAAAAAGGTTCATTAGAATGGAAAATATAAGTTTCTTCAGATTATTGATTATTCTTCATACTAAGAAAAATTCAGAAACATTTTTTTTTATATCTTATAATTATAACTTGCTTTAAAATTTAAGTTTACACTTAAGTATCATTTGTTCATTCATTTTCCTTCGGCTTAGTCCCGTATTTATCAGGGGTTGCCACAGAGTAATGAACCATTAACTATTCCAGCATATGCTTTATGCAGCAAATGCTTTTACAGCCGCAACCCAGTAATGGGAAACACCCATACACTCTCACATTCACACACACACTCATACACTGCAGCCAATTTACTTTTTACCTAATTCACCTACTGTATAGCACATGCCTTTGGACTGTGGGGAAACCTGAGAACCTGGAGGAAACCTACGCAAACACGACTTGGAAATCTGACATTTCTTTCCTTGGATTTTAAATTAAAGATACACATTTTGGGGAGTTCCAGTAAGACAACTTGTGTAAAAGAACTGTTCACCCAAAAAAGTAAATTCTGTCACCATTTTCTCCTCCTCCACTTTCTTTTTTCTGTTAAAACGCCAAATAAGATATTTTGAAGTCTGTTGACATCCATATTAATTTTGTCTTTACTATGGATGCCAATGGCTACTAGTTTCCAGCGGTCTTCAGAAAATCTTCCTTTGTGTACAACAGAAGAAAGAACTTCATTAAAAAAGTTTAATAAAGTTTAATAAAAATAAAGTTTAAAACAGGGCTGCCCAAACTTTTTCTTATGAGGGGCTGTGGTACTGTAAATATATCAAACTCTATTACATAGAAATTTCCATGAGTAAATTCCTACAGTAATTTATTGCCTAACATTTAAAAATAGCTAGAAAAAAATTGCTTTAAATTATATTAACTGATGCAGTATATCTTTAAAAAATTATATTGAATTTATTACATTAAAAACTTCAACAATCCCATTAATAACACAGTAGACACAGTGTATTTTTAAGGCTTGGTTGTGTTTATTAAGATGCAAAGCAATGTGTGCTCATGCTTTACTTGTAGAAAATCATGTTATTTTTTCATATATCTTACTTTGATTACATACGAGGATCGGCTTCACATCACCACGTCACGCCCCTACAAGCTCATGCTTTCGCTTTTGCATTTAAACAGTCCAGCCAGACCAGGTGTTAGCAGCGTTAGCTGCCTGAATCAGACAGAAATGAAGAGCACACAGCTGAACCTCACGCCTGCTCCCCAAATAAAATCTGACAAGTGCCTTCCATAAAAATATTTGGAATAAGCGTGTGTAAGTAATATGAAATGTTCACATGTCTTGTGCAAATGTGTTATTTGATATGTAGAACGCAGGAAAAGCAGTCACATAGAGAGACACTGCAGCCCTGCTGAAGGTTGTGGCTTGCAGCGGTTTGACAGATAAATATGAATTTGTAGCTAAATTGTTAGCCGTGCTAAACAGCATTTCTCATTGTTTACATCCTTGTTTACGTCCTTGCTGCAGCATACCGCTAATGATAGAAACTGTGCCTGTAGTTGATCGATTTTAACAAATAAAGGAGTTTTAACCGAATCCAGCACTGAACTGGGAGAGATTCTGGAAGTTTTCCTTTGTCAAATGCTAGCACTATATCTTTTTTATAATTCTCTGGGACATAATTAATATTAAACCGATGGCACTTCTCTCTTTGTGTCATGTCCTTTGGAAGCCCAGAAACAGAAGAAGCTCTGTGGAAATAGCAGCATTTGAACAGCATTTTAGCTTTCACTGCTTAAACATTAGAGCAGGGGTCACCAATCTCGGTCCTGGAGGGCCGGTGTCCCTGCAGGGTTTATCTCCAACTTGCCTCAACACACCTGCCTGGATGTTTCAAGTAAACTTAGTAAGACCTTGATTAGCTTGTTCAGGTGTGTTTGATTAGGGTTGGAGCTAAAAAATGCAGGACACCGGCCCTCCAGCAACAAGTTTGGTGACCACTGCATTAGAGCATCTCTGGCCACGCCCCTTCACTGCGCAGGATGTGTGCACAAGTTGAATGCACGTAACCGAAAGACCTTGTGATCTCACTAGCCCAGGTGTATTTTTTCAACTTTGTTTGCTGTAGGCTTTGCTAAACTTACTGTGTAAAAGCCAATGTCTCCCTTTGCATTGAACTTTGAGCTACACAGCTACATTACACATCAACTAAAGTTTAAAATATAATATTCAACCCCAATTGTCCTCTTCCTTTGAGTGACAGTATTAACAGTTTTTTTTTAAATCAGATTCTTTAACAAAACAAAAGAAATTACAAAACAAACAAAAGGTTACACTAAATTCAAAATGACAATATCTGTTATAGATACGCCCCCCATAATTCTCTTTGCCAAATCAAAGGTTAGCATGCATGGGCCAGCTTTGGCCTGCGGGCCCTACTTTGGGCATCTCTAGTTTACAACCACTTAAGTGTAAGTAAATGCTAAGGAAACTTTTATTTTTGGGTGAACTACCCCTTTAAGGATATCATTTTTTGTTCCATGTTTTTTTTTTTTTGAAGCAAGCTTCTTTAGAAAGTTTCTTTTGGTAATCCAAAATTACTTTTCAATGGAACACGGTGAAAAACTTTCAGAAGGTTTAGTTTTAACAGTGTCTAAAAAAAAGTAACACGTTGGAAGAGTCGTAAAAAGCATGATGCATTTTCCTTCAGCTTAGTCCCTTATTTTTCAGGGGTCGCCACAGTGGAATTAACCAACATCTATTTCGGCGTATGTTTTACACAGGGGATGCACTTCCAGTCATAACCCAGTACTGGGAAACACTCATACAATCTCACATTCACACACACTCATACACTAAGGCCAATTGTGTTTATCCAATTCACCTATAGTGCATGTTTTTGGACTGTGGGAGAAACCGGAGCACCCGGAGGAAACCCACGCCAACACGGGGAGAACATGCAAACTCCACACAGAAATGCGAACTGGCCCAGCTGGGACTCGAACCAGCGACTTTTTTGCTGTTAGGCGACAGGGATAACCACTGAGCCACCATACCACCCAAGCATAATACTTTAGTCTACAATGTGCAGCTGTTACTACCTGAGGTTCATGAAGATCTTTTTGAAGCTTGCAGCCATCCTCACCATTATAATTACACTCCTCCTTCTCCTCCCTAGTCAACAAGTTAAAATCGGAGACAACAACATGAGTTCAAAAGATTAGTTTCTCTTCAAAACTCCAAATATGAGATTCCTACAAAACCTGATTGAAGCATATGGTTTCTCTTGCTCCACACTGTGAGTGGTGTCTTCTTGAGTATCCCAGACTTGTGGAAACACCTTTGTGAGGCTTTGAGGAGCAGATGTTCTGTCAGCCCCTCTTGACTCAGTTTTGTTAGACTCCTCTAAGCTCCTGAGTTCAGAATCACTGCTTGAAGAGCTTGAAGAAAGGGACTCAGGAGAAGAAGTGCGATTTTCTTCACCAAACTGAATCTCACTCGGAGCATCACTAGCGTAGTCTCCATCTGACAGATCCAGACTCTGATCTTTGTGATCCGTGTGCCTTGAGACATGATGAGGAAATGGTTTGTGAGATTGAGAATTGGGTCCGTCTTCACTGTGAGAGCTGTGGTCAGAATCGCTGAGAGACAGTGACTCCATTACTTCATTGGTTAGATTGACTTCTTTAGATGCTTTTCCACTTTGGTTTTGCCAGCGGTGGTTTGTAGGAGGAGAATTATTTTTCTGGTGGACTTTGATGATGTGGTCGTTGATTTTTTTAAAGCCTACACTGTTGTGTTGATGATTCGTACATGATTTGTTTCCTTTGGCTAAACCATTACTCTTCATCTCTCCAACATTGAGTTTACTTTTAGGCGAGTTAGCATTGTTAGTAATATTAGCAGTCCAAGCTGAATCTTTACCATCTTTGTTTGATGATAAATCATTATCTTGTTGAGCACCGGTCTTGTTTAGAGATTCTTTCAGGTCAGATGTTTGCTGCATCTCTTTCTGATGAAGGTCAGTGGGACGTAGCATCTTCATACTCCTCATTTGTGGACTAACAGAGCGTCTTCTATGGGTGTTTTTGGAGAAGTGTTTCACGTTTGAAAGTCTAGACGTTCCTTCTCCTTTACGAAGGAAGTTCCTCTTCTCTGCTCCTCTGGTTTGTTTCTTTAAAACAGAGAGAATTATGTTTAGAGGATATGTAAGTTATGGCAGAGTTGTTAATTGTTGTTCATACCTGATTATTATCCTGAAGAACAGCCTGTTCTGTTTTGAGATGCTCTTCGACAAACTCTTCGAAGGTTGTTTGCTCTTTTCTCAGTCCTGGTCGAATAGGCCTGTGTTTAAAAGATTTAATTTTGTTTTTAATAACGTTTTTTTTATACATTGTAGAACACAATACAAAAATATTCAAAATAAATGACAACAACAACATGTAACAGTAAACAAATAAACTAAAGGGTATTTTGAGCAAAAAACAAAAAAACAAAAAAAAAAACACTAATGCTATCTTACATACAGATAATACAAGTCTACAATATGCTGACCAGGGGTACGTTTTCAAAAAACCATCGTTAGCCAACTAAGGTCACAACAAGTTCCTTCGTTACAAACTTGGCGTTTCCCAAATCAATCTAACGAACATTCACAAACTTGTACGCTTGCAACTACACCTCTAGAGTTGTAGTTAGAAGCATATGTCCTGGCTGTGTTCTATTCACAGTTATCACCCTTATGCCCTGTTCCTTATGAATGTTTAAATATTTAAACTTGGAATGAATCATCTCTCTTAATTTGCTTTCAAAGTATTTTTACAGTTCAGTTCTCAATTTTGCTCCCTTCACAGTGCACTTTGAAAACATTTATGTCATTTTGAACACACACAGCCTAGCTCATGACGAAAGCTGTAGGTGACCTATCATGTAAATGCAGAATTTACGTTACATCTCCAAAGCTTGTGAAAACATAAATGTATAGCATACCTTAATGCTTTTATTTAAAGTAGGTCATTCATTAAGAAATGTATCACTATATGACATGGGCCTGTTGGTTAGAACATTTCTACAGTGGTTTGAATGTGTCAAATTGTAAAAGTTGACTTTTACAAAAAAAAACAAAAAACAACAACAACAATAATAATAATAAAAATGTATAATTATAATTATTACTATTAAGTAGAATTAAAAAAATTCTTAACAAATAGCCTGCTGTAAATAACAACCATCAACAATTTATGATTAATATATGAGATTAAAATATGTGTTAGCTAGTTTATGTTTTAGAATACAATATGGAATATTCTCATAAATATTTGTAAAGAAATCATTGGCCCTATATGTGCCTTTTACAAGTATTTATATTAATGAGGAAAAAAAGTGCATGTTTTTACCAAAACTAATATTGGATTTTTTTTATGTGCGTGTGTATAACAATATAATTTGTGCAAAAAAGTATGGGTTTTTCTCTCTGAAGAAGTTGCTTGACCCCATTTAAAATGTCATTACAGACGTTTTAAGTTATAACTAATGTGGTTTAAACGACAGATTGGAGACAAAGCGGTTTTAGGAAACACTCGTCACCACATTGTTCTTTTCCCAAACGATGCATCGTACTGATAGTTCAGCCAGGAGTTACATCGTTGTTTGGGAAACACATTAGACTGAATATGCATTCATTCATTTTCTTTTCGGCTTAGTCCCTTTATTAATCTGGTGTCACCACAGCAGAATGAACCGCCAACTTATCCAGCATATGTCTTACACAGCCGATACCCTTCTAGCCGCAACCCAGTACATGGAAATATTCATACAGACTTATTCACACACATACACTACAAACAATTTAGCTTACTCAATTCACCTATGCCACATGTTTTTGGACTTGTGGGGGAAACCGGAGCACCCTGAGGAAACCCACGCAAACACAGGGAGAACATGCAAACTCTACACAGAAATGCCAACTGACCCAGCCAAAGCTCAAACCAGCGACCTTTTTGCTGTGAGGCGATTGTGCTACCCACTGTGCCACCGTGCTGCCCCAATTTAAATATATATTTCCTTTTCCTGTGATAGTAAAGCAACATTTTCAGCATTACACCAGTCTTTAACATAATTCTTCAGAAATAATTTTGAATATGCTCATTTGCTGCTCAAGAAACATTCCTAATTATTATTAATAAGCAAAACAGTTATTTTTTACAATTACAATAAATTTAACTTTTTTTCAGGATCCTTTGATTAATAGAAAGCTCATTAAACGTGTAATTAACTTATTTTTTGTGTACTGTAAATTTCTCTAATGGCATTTTTTCAATCTCCTTCTAAAACAAAACAGTTGTGTGCTGTACTGTATATGCATTGTGCCACGGTCAATGTTGAGTGGCTTATTGCTTTTATATAAAGGTAGACAGAGGCAGACTTAACCAATAAGCGAGGTAAGCAACTGCTTAAGGCTGCGGGAAAAAAAAGGGTTCTGACAAATGCCAAGAAGCCCTATATTAATCATATAGCTCTTTTATAAACAGTCTATCACAGTGGTGCAGTGGGTAGCACGTTCGCCTCATAGCAAGAAGGTCGCTGGTTCAAGCCTTAGCTGGATCAGTTGGCATTTCTGTGTGGAGTTTGCATGTTCTCCCCGTGTTTGTAAGGGTTTTCTCCGGGTGCTCCGGTCTCCCCTATAGTCATGTGCTATAGGTGAATTGGGTAGGCTAAATTGTCTGTAGTGTATGCAAGTGAATGAGTGTGTACAGTATAGATGTTTCCTGATGTTGGGTTGCGGCTGGAAGAGCATCTGCTGCGTAAAATATATGGTGGATAAGTTGGCGGTTCATTCCACTTTGGCAACCCCAGATTAATAAAGGGAATAAGCCAAAAAGAAAATGAATAAACTTTGTCTATAACCATTAAGATTTTAATGTTATTACTCCTTTTCAAAACCGAGAATCCCATGAATAGTGGAATGTTCCTTCTGTACTACACATCCAAATATTAAAATCTAACAACAAATATGGCCAATAAACTGTACATAAATAGTTTGTGAAATTATTTTTATTTGGGAATTTATTGTATTTGATTTTACATTGAGAAGATAAAGGTTCTGCTTAATTTACCAAAAAAAAAAACAGAATCTACAGAGAGGGAAAAAAAAAACCTACAAAGAAAGAGTCCGCCCCTAAAGGCAGAAACAGTAAACTGACAAATAAAACCAAAAGTTTACCAAAGCTACATAAAACAAAATCGCTGAATGTTCTGTTTGATTTATTTCTGGTTTCGGTTTCCTGTCCTGTCTCGTTGACCTAGTTTCCTTTGTTCTCAGTTTACCGTGACTTGTTAGCAGTCGTGAAGATTCTTCCATTAATCCTCTCCAGTTCCTGTTCAGTAATTACCCCTAGTATTTAAGCTGGTCATTGTTGCTTGCTACACTAGATGTTTGTTGTTTCAACAATAGGTGAATGTGCTACAACTGCTCTTGAGGTTTCCTGTGGTTTTCTTTATAGATTTATTATTGAAGGATTTATTTTGCTTCTTTGTTCCTTTTGTTGTGTCCTATACAGTACTATATGTAAAATCTTTAACTAATCCGTTAGCCTTACTGCTATTTTCATTTATTCTAGAAACGTAAAACTTAAAATAAAGTGTATGCCAATAGATGCGTGTTAAGAAGGAAAAGATCACTTAAAAATGGAAATTCATTACTCATCACTTATTATTCTGGTGTTGCTCTAATACTGTATGCCCTTCTTTGTTTTTCATACCACAAAAGGCTAGCAAAGCCATATAATGCAGTGAATAAAACATATGTTCCAACCAAAAGCCTCTGGGGATACTACAATATGTGGTGAAAAACAAACCAAAACATAATGCACTGTATTATCAAATAAAAATCTGGACTTTTTGTCTCCATGAATGAGTGCATGTCCATGAAAATACATAATCGAGCTGATATACTATGTATTTGTATAGAATCGCCTGCCTCGTGCATACGTGGGTCAAACTGATTCAGACTTGTCCAGTGCACTATAATGGAGCTTTCCTCACATTGTTTATTCCTTTAAAGTCTGTCCTTTGTTTGTGTGATATTTCTGTGCATTAATAACTCAGTAAGTATCCTTCTAATTGTAGATATGTTTGATAGAGTGTCATTCTGTATTTTTGGTTTAAATCGCCTTAGGAAAAAACTTTTATGAAGTTTTTAAAATAAAATCAGATGTTCAATGTATAAAAATATAACATTTCAAAATAGTTAAATTTATCGGCTAATATATCGATTAATGACCTATAAATCTCAAGACTTATCAATTGTCAATATCGGCGAAAAAATCCATATTGGTGCAACCCTGACATAGATTCATAAGTATATATTTGGATGTGACAATACCTTTCCTCTGGGTTTGGCAGCAAACCTTGCCTTGATCCAAAAGGGCTTAGAGGACAATCTTCTGATGTAGGATCTGAAGATTCTTCTTTAATAGGAGACAAACATCTGAGTTCTGCTGATGGTGCAACGTCTGCAATGAAAAATCAGATTTTCTTTAAAGTTGCCATAAAATCAAAATTGACTCTTCACATATTTACATGTATATAGTAGTGCTTGTTATAAATGATGTATCTGTGCACTTCAATATTTATTAAAAATTAATTTGCCCTCATAAAATGTCAATATATACCATAAACCCCCCAAAGTTACATTTCTTCACTTGCTGTTTACATGGAATTCCTTTTGAGCAGGGATATCATTGGGTGTCTCAATTCTGCTCTGAATTCGGCCATTCATCAATCTTCCTTAATTTTGATATCAGTGGCGATCTTTCAACAATCAAATTGGTTCCCAAAGAAGAAAATCATGCACTGCCCTACTTTTTTTTACTTTTCTTTTTTTTTTTTGTACAATTCGGATGTACACTGACCGGCCACTTTATTAGGTACACCTGTCCAACTGTTTGTTAACGCAAATTTCTAATCAGCCAATTACATGGCAGCAACTCAATGCATTTAGGCATGTAAGCATGGTCAAGACAATCTGCTGGAGTTCAAACCGAGCATCAGATCGGGAAAGAAAGGGGATTTAAGTGACTTTAAACATGGCATGGTTGAAATGGCCAGACTGGTTCGAGCTGATAGAAAGGCACGTCGAACCTTGAGGTGGATGGGCTACAGCAGCAGAAGACCACACCGGGTGCCACTCCTGTCAGTTAAGAACAGGGAACCGAGGCTACAATTCACACTGGCTCACCAAAGTTGGACAATAGAAAATTGGAAAAATGTTGCCTGGTCTGATGAGTCTCAATTTCTGCTGCTACATTCGGATGGTAGAGTCAGAATTTGGTGTCAACAACATGAAAGAATGGATCCATCCTGCCTTGTATTAACAGTTTAGGCTGGTGGTGGTAGTTTAATGGTGTGGGGGATATTTTCTTGGCACACTTTGGGCCCATTAGTACCAATTGAGCATTGTGTCAATGCCACAGCCTACCTGAGTACTGTTGGGGCCATGTCCACCCCTTTATGTCATAAAGCGCAAATAATCTCAGACTGGTTTCTTGAACATGACAATGAGATCACTGTACTCAAATGGTCTCCACAGTCACCAGATCTCAATCCAATAGAGCACCTTTGGGATCATGTGGTGGAACGGGAGATTTGGATCATAGACATGTAGCCGACAAATCTGCAGCAATTGCGTGATGCTATCATGTCAATATGGACCAAAATCTCTGAGGAATATTTCAGTGCCTTGTTGAATCTATGCCACGAGGGATTAAGGCATTTCTAAAGACAAACCGGGATTCAACCCGGTTCTAGTAAGGTGTACCTAATAAAGTGGCCGGTGAGTGTACGTTACAATAGCAAAAAACCAATGAGACATACTTGCTTCTGTTGAACACAAAAGGAGATATTTTGAAGAATGCTGGAAACTGACTTCCATAGTAGGAATAAGAAATATCATAGAAGTCAATTTTTATCAATTTCACTTGCAGAAAATCTTCTTTTGAGTTTAAACAGAATAAAAAAAGACTCTCAAAGAGGTTTGTGACAAGTGAACGGTGAGAAAATGATGAGTGAATTTTCAGTTAAGGATGAACTATCCCTTTAAAATGATTGCTCAACCTAAATCAGGTAACCAGAACTTTGAGACACTCATGCAACGTTTCCAACATTTTGCAAGGTCCTCTGCATTGTTAACTGTAAAATCACATTGTTATGCTAATTTGGAAAGCGTGGTGAATCTTTTAATCCCTGTCCTTTTTATTTTTAAAGGAAATTCTTGCATGACAGCTAAGAACTTGTCTGGACAAGCCAATAAATAGTCCAACCGTAGGTGTTCAGCACACAAAATCAATAATCATCACATTTCTGCATGTTGATTTGTTATAACACGCATAGTTATCACACCCATTGTTGTACTCTCTAAAAATGCTCAGTTCTTACAAAATACATTGACTTTTTAATGTGGATTCAATGTATTTATTATTTCAGCCTTACTGAGAATAGATCTCTTTCAATGCATGCTCACTGAATACACTATAAAAGCTCTAATAGACGGCGGCACTTTTGTCTTTTTTAAGGCAGTTCGTGACATCAGGCATTCAACAATCATCCTCAACAGGTTGAGACTTGAATGCTCCAGCAGAGGAAGTGTTCGCCTTCAAGTCTGAGCAGCTTTAAAATGCTCTGCTTTGGGAGAACAGACATTCACAGGTGTGCCATCTACACGCATTACGAGTCATCTCGGACTGGGAATCTGCACAATGGAAATTGAGGATATCTCAAATGACTCGGACATCAAGTGTCAGGAGAATATCGACCACAACCGAGCGCTGTACATTTTCTTCTCATCGGTGGTGGTGGTGGAGTTTATCTTGGGTCTCCTGCTGAACATTACAGTCATCCATCTCTTCGTCTTCAAGATCAAGTTCTGGAAATCGAAAACCATCGACATTTTTTTGTTCAATCTAGTCTTGGCGGATATTTTGCTGCTGATTGGATTGCCTGTAAAAGCATACAACTTTCAGCAGTGCAGTGAAAACAAGTTTGTCTGCAAAGTGCAGCTCTTTCTGCAGTTTCTCAACCGAGGAGCAAGCATCGCCTTCCTCACCGTCATCTCCATTTATCGATATTTCAGCGTAGTCCATCCAGGCAGGAGAAAAGTCATACGGATTTTAAAACATTCGCCTCAGATTTCTATATTTATCTGGGTATTGTTGGCAGTTTTGACCATCCCGGCTATGATGCAGAGCTTTATCAGATGCAACACCAAAGAAAGTGATGATGAAGATCTCAGCCCTGTTGTTATACTGAGAGAGATTGTTTTTTTTACGCAGATCTACATCCCGTTCCTTGTTCTTGTGTACTGCTCCATTCGGATTGTCCAAAGACTCAGAAGTCAGAAGTCGATAGGAGACAAGACTAAGCTGCGGAAAGCCATGTTCCTGGTGGCTACGGTGGTTCTGGTCTTCGCGATCTGCTTTTTGCCGTATGCCATTACAAGAGCGGTGCAGTTAAGAATGGGGCTTGTGATGAAAGAGGAAAAAGTTGCCGTCGTTAAACTGTATGATGCGTTCATTTGTCTTTCTTATCTAAACTGCTTGCTGGATCCGATTCTGTACTGCCTGAGCAGCGGTAAATTTAAGAAGTTGTACATATCAATCTATCTGCCCTTCCTGATGGAGAAGGAACAACAGGAAGAATTAGATGACACCGCAGATGATTGATCTACGTAATAAAGATGCTGCTGAATATCAGACGTCCTGTTTTGATGTCTGCATCGAAAAAATTCACAAGTGATTTGATGTCAGCAGACATCATATAAGATAAAGTATTTAATGTTTGTGTAAATAAAATGTCAAATAGTAATGTAATGTTTAGCTGTCATTCAGTGTAGCATATTAATGTGAAAAGAAAACGGCATACATCTTAAATTATCAACGGTTTGAAGTAGGGCTGCACAATATATCGTTTGAGCTTCGATATCGCACAGTGATCATTCGCAATAGTCACATTGCGAGTATATGCAATTTTAAGTTTGGATTAAATTGATCATTTCGCAAGTGCTTTTTGAGGTCTGTGACTGTGTGAGGGGTTTAAAAGCATTCAGGCTTAAGAAATTTTACCGTTTTTAACTATCAAATTAACAACGATTGATTTTATTGAATTGTTTATAAAACAAAGACTTTGCAGTATTACTTTACATTTGTTTGTTCAATTACTGTATATCTGAATACATTTCGACTCCTCGGAAAACAATAACATGCTGTTTATTTAAGTTGTATCTTTTTCTTTATTGAACATATCAATGCTTTTAGATTATATTTTTTGCATAAGCACTCTCCTACAGAATAAGCCCAATCAATTTAAAATGATAAACTCTTTCTAAGTTATTGAACTCAAAATATGGTAATGTTAGATTTTTCCAAAATTGTGCAGCCCTAGTTTGAAGTATAGTGGCAAAGTATAAACATTTAAAATGTCAATTAATTAATATTAGGGGGTTAGACTGAGATCATAAAATAGAGAAATGTAAAATGTTGTAAAATATTTATTTTTTATATATGCCTGACCAGATTTATTAGGTATTTAAACTATTATTACACTGAATGACATCTTAGTGAGTGTCTTCTGTAAATCATGGTAACTGTACAGTATTCTGTATTCAAACTGATAGTCGATATTTTTGCTGAGAAAAATATAAACAGGATATATTATAATGTATGAGAAAACAGATTTAAAAAAAAGTTTGATGCTATTTGTCTTTGAGCCAATTTCTATTATGTTTAATTTTCAATAGAAAAAATGCGTAGCTATCAACTTTCTACATTTACATCTACAGTTTACATTTGGGAGAGTCTTTTATTCAGTGCACAGACTGAACACATTTACATGCTATCATTTGCTTTTCTTGGGAATCAAACCCAAATAATTCCTAGTGCAAATCTCAGATATTCATTCATTCATTTTGTTTGCGGCTTAGTCCCTTTATTAATCAGGAGTCGCCACAGCGGAATGAACCACCAACTTATCCAGCATCTGTTTTACGCAGCTGATGCTCTTCCAGCCACAACCCAACACTGGGAAACATTGCATTCACACACATACACTACGAACAATTTAGTCTATTCAATTCTCCTTTACCGCATGTCTTTGGACTGTAAGGGAAACCGGAGCACCCGGAGGAAACCCACAAATAAAAAATGTATGCTTTTAATATATTTTTTAAACCCAAGCTTTTATTGTAGATTAACATTTAAAAGTTTAATGCACAGGTGTCTATTTCAGTCACTGTGACTGTTTGATTTTTAATCTGCTTTTTGGTTTCTGTTAATTTAAAATTGTCCTGATGAAGCTTAAATGTCCCAGAAGTCATTATGCATTTCAGTTTATGACTTTAAGTATTTATAAATGCATGTATAATAAAGAGTACGGTTTCTGTCACCTGTTTACATGACGTCTGCATGACATACTGGACTTTTTGTGATGTTGTGTATTTGTAAACATGACTCATGATCTGTAGTCACAGACAGTCTGGTTTTTCTTTACTGGAATTTATTACTCAAGAGACTTTTCTATCAGTCACAGAGGATGAAATGTGCTAGTATGCACTATTTTTGCATTTCATCATGCTTTTATTTTTCAATCATTGTTTTTGAGTAGTGATATGTACAAATATATTGAATGTCAAGTTGAATTTTGTAAATATAGAATTTTATGAAGACCACAAAGGACTTTTTTACTGTACCACTGCTGTTCTCAGTTGCCAGCGCGTCTGACTCATTCTCCAGCTCACAAAAATAGGTGGGTTTGGTTAAGTTTTCCTTGAAGGCATCTGAATTCCCAGCAGAGTTGAGGAGATCAGTTTCTGAAAGGCTCGAAGGTGTCTGGACTTGCCAGGGTGCTAAGAATGCAGGAGATAAAATCAGTCCTGCAAGAGAAAGCAAAGTTCTGTAATAAAGACACAGAGTGGTCAAGTTTAGATACTGCATTTGTAGTGCTGGTGGCTGAGTGATTAAAGATTAAAAATATTCAGTTGAAGTCAGAATTATCAGCTCCCCTGTATATTTTTCCCCCAGTTTCTGTTTAACAGAAAGATTTTTTCAACACATTTCTAAACATAATAGTTTTAATAACTCATTCCTAATTAGTTATTTATTCTATCTTGGCCATGATCACAGCACATAATATTACTAGATATTTTTCAAGATACATATTGCTTATGTATTGCTTATATATATATATTGCTTGAGGGGGCTAATAATATTTACCTTAAATTGTTTTTTTAAAAATTAAAGAACTGCTTTTATTCTAGCTGAAATAAAACAAATAAGACTTTCTACAGAAAAAAAATACTAGAAATACTGGGAAAAAATCATTGCTCTGTTAAACATCATTTGGGAAATATTTAAAAGAGAAAAGAGAAAAAAAAAACCCAGAGGAGGGCTAATAATTTTGACTTCAATGGTATATTGTTTCAATAAAGAAACATTTCAGAAAAAATATGCAAGTATATTTTTGTTGCAAGTGTTATGAAACAATTGTATGTTACATTCAGAAATACAGTGTTTATTATGTATGCACATGTTATTTTTGGGTTTTAATACTGTAATTTGCTATTTTTTTACTCATGGTACTAATATTTAAAATACCAAAACCTTTAGTGTCAACAGATATCAGATACCACAGGCTTACAGGCTTAAATAAAAAAAAAACAATAAAATTGTTTAGAATTGATCAGACAAGTCATTTGTGTCATTTGTGTGTAAAATAGGTGTAAATTGTGTAAATATTGAAAAACTAATCAAAATAAACTATCATATATACATACTAAAATGAAAATATAGATTTGTAATGATTTGCAAATGAGTTTCTGTACTCAACAGTCTATTTCGAAATAAATAGATGTGTTAAGTAAGTGTAACTACATACAGTATTATACATCATATTTAATGAACTATTATTAAACAATAACAGAGATGTATAATATTTGTGTTTCTAGGCTTCAATAATTTAGTTATTTAATGATAAATAAAGCAAAATTAAAAAACATTACAGAGGTCTAAGGTCAGTTTAAAGACTGCATTTGAAGTGCTGGTGGCTCAAAAACAAAATTCAAAGAGGGGTTAAGTTTGCAAATGTTATAGGTCTGATAAAAGATTTAAAAATACTTTGTTACTTTGAATGATTTTTTAAAACTTATGCTTTTCAAGTGCTTTGAAACATGCAGTGCTCAACATAAATGCGTACACCACATTAAATCAATTAAATTAAATTAATATTGTATCCATTTCTCAGTGAATATGGGTAATATACTGCATTTTGGTGCATTTGAACACAAACAGATTTGTTAAACAGATATATTTATTAAAATCATATCTTAGTCACCATACATCTTTAGAAATAGAAAAATAATACATTTAAATTCATGCCAAATATTTCAATAAATTGTATAAATTTTTTGTTTCTCTTGAATTTTGCTTGAATTTACATATAAATTTGGGCGTACTAATTTTGGACCGTGATCGTAAGTTATTTTGTTAGATAAGCTCCAGATTTGGCTTTAGTGTTGACTAATCTAATGTATATGCACAAATATAATATTGTAAAGTAGTATAAAACAATACATTTAAATGAGAGATTTGTGAGGGATCTACTCATATATGCTAAGCACTGTATAAGTTTTTCTCAGTAACCAGATAACCAGCAACCATTAGCAGCTTGAATCATTGTTCTGAGTATTTTTGCAGTCGTACCAGGACTGATGAGCGACAGCAGTGTGTTCTGCTCCTGTAAAACCCTCTGCAGCTGCTGCACCTGAAGCTGAAGGAGAAGCTCTTTTTGGCCTGTATTCTGTTGAGAAACATATAAAATTACATATAAAATTCAACAAGTGTGCTGTAGTATACCGTCTAAACTTGTGTTTGCTAACAGTGTAATTTACACAGTTACAATAGTTTTTTTTATAAATACAGTTGTTACTGATAGAGATGTATTTGTAATGGTAAGCTTTAGCAATTTATTTAATAATAATTTTTATAATTATTTAACGAAACATTTCAGTGTTAACAGATGTTAGATGGAATTACAAACATTAACAACCGACAATTTAACCACATACTTCATTCATTAATTTTCCTTCAACTTCTATTATTCTTCAGGGGTTTTAAACAGCGGATGCCCTTCCAGCTGCAACCCAGAACTGGGAAACATCCATACACACTAATTCACACACATACACTACGGACAATTTAGTTCATTCAATTCACCTAACATGTGTTTGAATGTGGTGTAAACCCGAGCACCTGAAGGAAACCCATGCCAACACGGGAGAACATGCAAACTGTTCCCAGCCAGGACTCGAACCAGTGACTTTCTTGGTGTGAGGTGATAGTGCTTACCACTGAGCCACCCTGTTGCCCTTTTAAAGCTAAAATTACATTTATCAATTAGGTTTATTTGAATGTCTAAGAAGAGTAATTGTGTCTCTCTAAAATTGGCAAAACAAGGTCTAAAATTCAGAATATGTTGAGGGACATTTATAATTTAAAATTTTAATCATTTAGTTTTTAATAATTATGGAATATAACTAAGCATTCAACAGATGTGAAATGAAAACATGATTTTTAGATCATTAAAAAGTTTATTTTAAATTATTGCTCATTTGAGATTTAACATGTTAAACATCTGTGTTATACTTTGTTACTATCTGAATGGAATTCAAACATATTTTTAATTGTCTGTTTGGGATGCATTTGTCCTTGTTTTGTTTAACTTTATTATGTTATTATACTGTAAGCTTAAATTTCAGATAATTGATATGTGTGATCTTGTGTGTGATCTGAAATTTTGTCAAAATAATCTCAAAGTCAGGGCCATTAAACATCGTGATACTGCGATTACTGGTGTAACAATGCAATCTAAAGGTGACATTAAGACAATTCAAAGTAATTAAATTTAGCCTGATCCACTAATATAACATATGCTAATAATAATAACACAATCAACCGAAATCGTGAGACTGACCTCCGCAGGTAATCTTCGAGATGCTTTAACGTCATGTTGTGCAGTTTGGCTGGTGGTTCTGTCTGGTTCAGAGATCTGCTGTTCCTCCAACACCTCCTGACTCAAAGACGTCGATATTGTGGGATATGGTGGACTCATGGGAAGTTTCTGAAGACTCTCCAAACAGCCAGTCTTTGGATTCAAACAGCTTTCTAGTGAAGTTCGGTTCCGGGGTATTTCCGCAGACATCGCCCTCGAGATTGACTAGTTATAGAACTCTGTAAAAATTTACAAGTAAGTTAAGTAAAACCGTTTTTTTAATATGTAACGTTAGACTTTACAAAAAAGAAGTCCCAGATAGCAAAATACACTCGGGCCAGTTCCGGCTAGATTGTCGCCTGCCGGATACTTACCCCTCGGCCCAACTCCGGCTGCCGGACTCGGGCCGGATGCCTGTGGACTCACTGCCCGATTCCGGCCCGAATCAAGCGGGCCAGATGCGGCGGCCGTAAGCGAGCCGACGCTGCGCATCCGCGCCGGAATCGGCGCGAGGGTAATGTGCGCTGCGGCCCGGAGCTGGCGCGACTCCGTATTTATACACCTTATAAAACCTTTTGGTATTACATTGGTACTTGATATATGGTATTACAACCATTTGAATTTATACAACAGCAAACACAGGCTATAATGTAAACACAAAGTGTAAGCACTGTGTTTAACCTTTGAATAAAATGCAAACTGCATACATATTCTGTAACGAAAATAATCAGACAAATGACAAAATAAATAAATGTTAAACGTTTATTGATTGCAAGAAAAAAATAGTACTAAAACTTTATAAATAATTTTGTAGTGCACAAGAACATCAATATAAAAACAACAATAAAGACACACAGAAAGATGTAAACAAAAAATCTAAAAATTACACACAAACACAGATGTTTTTTTAAAACAACCCTGTTTTCCCAATAGACTTGAATTAAAAATTTGTACAAATTTTATATAAACCTAAATATAGAAACCAATTTAAGATATAGCAAGAAACATCTTAAAAATACCAATGACAATCCGTAAAATATCCAAGTCAAACTTGTAAAAAGTACTGCAGAATTCTGAAGAAACATCTTGAAACATTTTTTAATAAAACATTAAAATAATAATAAACAAACAAACATTATATATATATATATATATATATATATATATATATATATATATATATATATATATATATATATATAATTGCAGAAGTATAAAGTCAAACTTATTTTTAAATAAACTTGAACAAAATCAATTGCACAAACAGCAAGACATGAGTGAGATGATTATACATTTCATATATAACACGTCTTGTGCAATTTTATATTTATAATTTTATTTGTATTACGTTTATTAAAAATGTATCAAGATGTTTCTACAGAATTTGGCGCACACACATACATACATACATATACATATATATATATATATATATATATATATATATATATATATATATATATATATATATATATATATATATATATATATATATATATATAAATGCAAATGAAAGAAACAAATTGTTCAAGTATCAGGGAACATCCTAATACACTTAAAATGTTGTTTAAAAAATAAAACAAAATAGTGATGTAGACATTTGACACATTAGCTTTCTCTTCTTTCTTCCTCCATCCCTGTCAGGGGCAAGTTGTAGCTACCTTGTAATGCATTTTTCCGCTTCTTTATCAGTGGTGTGGTATGGACATTTGTCCTTGCTCCATCTGTGATTAAAAGATAAACAGATAATTAGTAGTGAACAAGTACTAATGTAAAAAAAAAGAAAAAATTAGGAAAAAAGTAGGCTACCTACGAAGCAAAAAAAAAAACAATAAAAAAAAAAACAAATAAACTTAAAACACTTTGAAATTTGCAAGAGCTTGAACTTACCAGTTTCTTCATTTGTTCGGGCTGCTCCTTTAGTTGATTTTCAAGCTTTTCCAAATCAAATTGGCCAAAGGAAGGTCAAATGTGTTTACATCTGGAATTTCATCACGTCTGTTTTGGTTTTGTAAGAATCAGGCCCAGCTGCAGCTTTATGACGTTGCATGATTTTAAAACTTCAGTCAGTCGTGCTAAAAAAGAAAAATAACAGATTAGTATAAATCAACCTGTAGCTTATTCTCATACAACTTCTGTAAATACAACAGTGGGTTAGACACTGCTGATATTCTCTAGTTGATCTTTACTTTCTAGCTGCATTAAACCTTAACAAATTTAGTGATGTCTTCAATTCTTACAAAGACATCACGAGATGCAATAAGTTCTGTCTTGATCTCAAACTGCACTAGAACAAAGACTGTAAATGTTCATAGGTGTACTGCAGGAGTGTCCAAACTTTTTGGGCCGAGGGCCAGATGCAAAAAAACAAACGTTGTCGCGGGCCAAATTTTACATACATCACACAGACACGTGTGTGTGTGTGTGTGTGTATATATATATATATATATATATATATATATATATATATATATATATATATATATATATATATATATATATAAATACAGTTGAAGTCAGAATTCTTAGCCCCTCTAAATTATTAGCCACCGTTTATTTTTCCCCAATTTCTGTTTAACGGAGAGTTAAACATTTTTTTCCACACATTTCTAAACATATTAGTTTTAGTAACTCATTTCTAATAACTGATTAATTTTATCTTTGCCATGATGACAGTAAATAATATTTGACTAGATATTTTTAAGACACTTCAATACAGCTTAAAGTGACATTTAAAGGCTTAACTAGGTTAATCAAGTTAACTAGTCAAGTTAAGGTAATTAGGCAAGTTATTTTATAACAATGGTTTGTTCTGAAGACTTAAGGGGCTAATAATTGACCTTAAAATGGTTCATAAAAAAAATTTAAACCGCTTTTTATTCTAGCCGAAATAAAACATAAGTCTTTCTCCAACATCATTTGGGAAATATTTAAAAAAGAATAAATCAATGAGGGGCTAATAATTCAGACTTCAACTGTGTGTAGATGATAGATAGATAGATAGATAGATAGATAGATAGATAGATAGATAGATAGATAGATAGATAGATAGATAGATGATAGATAGATAGATAGATAGATAGATAGATAGATAGATAGATAGACAGATAGATAGACAGATAGATAGACAGATAGATAGATAATAACAAGAACTGCTGCTTAATTGAATGCATGTAATAGCGACACCCGGTGGTTATTTATTAAATTACGTTCATTTTTGTATAGCGGGCCAGATTCTATTGATATTTATAAAAAGCCTCGCGGGGCGCAAATGGCCCGCGGGCCGTAGTTTGGACACGCCTGGTGTACTGGAATGTACAGTATCTGTGCATCTTGATGGTGGTCTTAAGATTTCTGCCATAGTCATTGATGGTGATGGTACTTGTGGTGCTGCATTGATTTCTGAAATCTTCATACCTGCCTTTTATCCAGCCTCTTTGTTCCAAGTAATTTTTCTTCATCACGGTATAGATGTGTCTATACTGTCCCTTGATCAGATACATTTACAAAACAAAACATCACTTTAGTATAGTGCCAGGGCAAAACTCACAGGTTGTAATAGATCAATGACATAATGTTGACAGTATGTGTTTAAAATAATTGCAAACAAACCTGTTCTGTCTTTAGATGTATGACAGGCGATCATCATCCTCATCTGTCTACCAGTCAGAAATCACAGTTGCGTGTGGATGTTTGAGTCGAGCTTCCTCATATGCATCTATAATAAAACATCACATTGTTGTTAACCTCCCGTAAAGAAAAGTTCAAATCCTGAAATACTATCAAAGTTAATTAATGCATATAATACCTATAGTGTAAATAATCAGTACACAGAAGGTTGCACAAGATTTATTCGGAGATTCATGCAGAGTGACAGCCTTATGAATCTGAGACATAGATTTGTAAGATGGCCAAGCACATGCATAATTCTGTACCCATGAAGATTAACCTACCATTGTGAAAAATGTTTGATGATAGCCAATAACAATAAACCATTTCAGCTGTTTGTGAAGCAATTAGTAATGCAATGTCTGAAAAGCTCAATCTATGTTGAAAATGTATCAGCAGTTTACAGCTTATAATGGACTTTTAGCACACAACTATAACATGCTTATTCACGTTCAAAAGAGTGTGCCATTGACTTCTTTGGTCGTGATGTGCTGCAAAATGATCTCACTAACCTTTGTTAAACAAGAACAATAAGACTTAACCAACAAATATTGTTACCCATTCATTTAAATCAGAATTTATCACTGTCAATAACATAAAAAAAAAAAAAACATCAAAATTTGCTTTAAGACGTTCAGTTTTACATTAACTGACCATTACAGCTTGAACAAAAGATATAATTGATGCACATAGGCTAACACATATGAATTAAAGTGCACACTAATATATTTCTCTTGGATAATTTAAAGAGAATAGTAAACAGTCGAGTTTCGATCATTTTTCGTGACTAACTGCATAAACAAGATAAACAATAATATTTTATTAATCCAAAACGATTAGTTTTTATTTACACAATCACAGAATTAATACTGTTGGATAAGTAAACGCCTGTACAATGATTTTTTCAACATCCACGGTACTTTATAATGTTAAATCAGGGGAAAAAAACACGTTTTGCCAAGTTAGTTAATGGATTCGTCTACAGAAACTTTCTTTAACGCAAAGTTAGCATACACACAAATTCGTTTCATGTTTTTTTTTAAATAATTAAAATAGTTTTCAGTTACTACACACGTTACAATCTAACATTGTGTAAAAGGAAAAGGAACTTTCAGACGTGTTTGTAACTGTTAGCGTTAGCATACATTAGCTCCAGTCGTGTTTCTTAAAGCAAGTTACATTTCATATCAAACTGTTTTAAATTACTAAACGCTGTTACAACCAAACACTGTGGAAATGTTTTAAGCTCTAAATTCGCTAATTATACAGAACACAAGCAGTAAAAAGCTTACCTTTCTGACCGGAATCCACGTGAACTCATTGAAAAACCAAACTTTTTCTTCTTGTGATCTTCGTGCCATGGTGGTTGACAACCAGCTTTTTGGAGCATTACCGCCACCGTCTGGATTGGAGTTTGTATCAGGAGTTTAGTAACGCATGTGTTTATTATGAAACCAACTTCTGCTTAAAAAAAAAAAACAGTCAGCACAGGCGTGCTATCTCAAAAATAAGCGAATTTTACATAGTTTTTCTCTAGATGACATGTATAATCTATTTATAAATAATATTGTTTTGTTTGCGTCTAAACATTGCGACCATCCACACTAAATATTCTTTTTTTTTTTTTTTTTTTTTTTTTTATTTGCTATCGTACCATGAATATTTTCTCAAATTATCATTAAACGTGGAGCTAACAGATTACTAGATAAAATAAGAACTTAATCGGTTGCCATCAGCCGAGTCCTTGCCAGAAGCGGCCAGGACTCTACAGACAGACTCGGGCCGGATATGGTTGACCGGAATCGGGCCAGTGCTTTACAGCCGCATCACAACCGCATGTGCGCGAGCGAGCTGCGGGCCGCACTCGGCCCGGATAACACTCGCCGAAGCCGAGTCGGAGCCGGAGGCGCCGGAGGGCAGCCGAGCTCGGGCCGATTACTGTCTGCTATCTGGGGTAATTTAGCTACCTGGCAGAGTTTTTGACGGTCTTTGTAACTTTAGTCGATGGTTAAGCTCCAGAAAAGCTAATATTTATGAGGTGTTTGACAGTTAAAGTTCTGACTGCAAAGTAAAAAGGCGGGAAATAAAGAATGCTAAATTTAAAGGGATAGTTCACGTTCACCCCCCCCCCCCCCCCAAAAAAAAATAAACAAATAAAGAAGTAAAAATAAAAGACAATTCTGTCATTATTTAGCTAATCATTCTACGTTTGTTACGAACCTGTTTCAGTTTTGTTGATCACAAAATACATTTTGAAAAAAAAAATCTTTAACTTAATGACTATGAATGTCAGTGGTTATCAGTTTCCAGCATTTTTCATAATATCAGAAAAAATGTAAGGTTTGGAGCCACCTGAGGGTGAGTAAATGGTTTGTAAATAATCTTGGTAACACTTTAGTTCAGGTCACAGTTTATAACAACTGGCTTTTTAACTGTCTGTTATTAAGAAATTAACTGTTCATTAGCCGTAAATAAAGGATTAACTAAGTCTACATCCCTAATCCTACCCAAAACCTAAACCCTACTCATTAATTCATTAATTTTCTTTTCGGCCTAGTCCCTTTATTAATCTGGGGCAGCCACAGCGGAATGAACCGCCAACTTAACCAGCATATGTTTTACATAGCAGATGCCCTTCCAGCTGCAACCCATTACTGGGAAACACCCATACTCTCCTATTCACACACATACACTACGGACAATTTAGCCAACCCAATTCACCTACAGCACATGTCTTTGGACTTGTTGGGAAACAAAAGCACCCGGAGGAAGCCCACGGCAACACTGGGAGAACATGCAAACTCCACACAGAAATGCCAACAGTCCAAGCCGAAGCTTGAACCAGCAACAGAGCTGTGAGGCGACAACGCTACTCCATGTGCCACCGCGCTGCCCTAAACCCAACAACACAAAAAAATTCTATAATCAATTAGTCCTGACAGCATATGTTTTTACAGCATTGTAACTTATTAAACTTATTAAGTTAATCATGATCTAACTTAATTTTATAAGTTATGCAAACTGTTTTAAGTCAGTTTAACATAATATTAGTCCAATTGACTCATAAGGTTAATTTGATCCAGCTTAAGTATTTTTAACAGTGTACTACCTTACTTACTATTAATAAATGATTAGTTATTAGTTTATTTAGCTAGTGTTAGTAACAGTTTTGTTTTTAATACCGTTTTTTTAATTGTTTGTTAATACCGTGAATTGTAACCTAAAGTGGTACCATCATCTATGGTTGAACTATCCTAATAAACTCAAAGAACCAATTTAGCATAAGGGTTCTTTCTTTTGTCTTGCAGCAAACAAAAACAAATAAATAAAAGCTCATAGGTTGACTTGGGCTTTGTATACAAGTTGTTTTCAGCGAGTAATTGCAAGATACACAATCTTATTATTCATGTTTATTTGGTGCTATAATTAAGGTTAAAATGGAAGGAAAGTGTAGGTATTTCTGTTTGAACAAAGACAGCAGTATGATGGTTATTTCACCTAACAAATACACAAAAAAAAAAAATTCATTGGATTTACTTACCGTTACAGTAAGTGTGGTTGCAAACAATTTATATAGGCTGAATTTAAACAAAATTAAGTTAAACGTTACTAAATTTAATTTTTGTTTAAATTCAGCCTATACACTCACCGGCCACTTTATTAGGTACACCTGTGCAACTATTCGGTAACGCAAATTTCTAATCAGCCAATCACATGGCAGCAACTCAATGCATTTAGGCATGTAGACGTGGTCAAGACGATTTGCTGCAGTTCAAACTGAGCTTCAGAATGGGGAAGAAAGGTGATTAAAGTGGCTTTGAACGTGGCATGGTTGTTGGTGTCAAACGGGCTGGTCTGAGTATTTCAGAAACTGCTGATCTACTGGGATTTTCACGCACAACCATCTCTAGGGTTTACAGAGAATAGTATGAAAAAAAGAAAATATCCAGTGAGCGGCAGTTCTGTGGGCGCAAATGCCTTGTTGATGCCATAGGTCAGAGTAGAATGGCCAGACTGGTTCCAGCGGTTAGAAAGGCAACAGTAACTCAAATAACCCCTCGTTACAACCGAGGTATGCAGAAGAGCAGCTCTGAACGCACAACATGCTAGTAAGGTGTACCTAATAAAGTGGCCGCTGAGTTTATAAATTCAATGAATTTTTATTCAGGGTAGAAGAACATCAAAACAGCATTTATTGTTAGAGATCCATAATAAAATTGACAAGATTTTAGATGAGAGATGATACTATACTATGTTCCTAATCTACAGTAACAAAACACAATGCATTTTGGAAATTTGGATTGGAGGTGCACTATCGATTGTCTAGGGACAGTTTATTTGCTTCAACTGAAACAGCACTGAATAAAAAAATTACTTTAAGGTTTTGAGAACTACATTAAGTGGTTAAAAAACAGCATTTGTTCCATACACATGTACTGAACCAAAATACCTGTAACATAAATGAAATTGGCAAAAACAACTCCCTCACTCCAAACTAAAACAAATGAATGAACAATACAATTTATTCTGTCCAATTTAAAGTCATCAAAAAACACAACTCACCTTATTTCTTAATTCTGGTTAAAGTATGCAGACTTGCAGAGACTTGTGAAGCCATGCACAATCTGTGGCCGACAGCTTCAACTGTTGTAGTTATAGTAACTGTAAACACTGATACCAGATTAAGACGCCATACCTTCATTGCTTTTTAAAGATTTCCTGAATGGGTGTAGACTGGGGGGAAAACCAGCTAAACACTGGTCCATTTTGTACACACTCAACATGTTTTCATTGGTCTGTTTTTGTATCGTAGGCTTTATTTTTCTTGTCATTTTTTCTATTTGCACTTCAGCTCAAATCTTGATTGCACTAGTTTATTCTCATGGTTGCTTGACACAGTGTTCAGAATTGCAAAATTAGGTTGTTCTGTTTGTATTGAGTTAGCGTAGGACGGCTCCAGCTTTCTCAGTTGATAATTAACTTGTAGATTTGTGTTCTTTTTAGATGGACTAAATTAATACATAATGCGGTTTATTTTATTATTTAAAAATTCTGCCTTTAATATAAATGTTTAGATTTTGGGATCTTACTCTTAAAATTAAAAATAAATAATCAATAAATAAACAGCAAGTAACACAGTGAATTAAATAGGACATTAAGTCCACTGCCAAAAAAAGTTCCATTCCTATTACTGTTTACTATTTTGTGTATTTAATTCGAGATTTACTTCCAAGTGTGACCAAAAGGTGAGTGCCTTATTTTATTTTGTGTATCTTTTCAGCTGTATATGGTTGAGAGAGGAAGCTCAGTGAGGTTTATGCTGTTAATTTTCATCTTTGATTTTTGCATTAGGTGAGCTAGTACTCTAAACTTAGCTAGCTGCTTTCTGTTTGTTGTTTTAAGCTATACTCACTCAGTTTGACATCTAGTTTCTGTTAAAGTACCTATATTTCTATCAAATAAATTATACATTTCTAAACCTTGTGCTGACTCTTCACTCTTATCTTTTTTATTAGTACTAATTCAATATTATTCACCAAATTTTAGGCTTTTTTAAATTTTTTTTACACATTTTAGACAAGAAGGTCGTAACACATTGGATCAACTTAAAAAAATTAACTTAAAAAACAACAACTTTTTATTTTAGGTATAGCATGTTAATGTAAAGTTTATCTAATATTACACCTTGTACAGTGGTGAAAGACAGAAATTGTATTATAATTGTATATTAGTTTTTATTATTTAAAATGTTATGTATATATTTTACATTAACAATCTTGTTGTTTAATTGATTGCTTTATTTAGATATATACTTTCTCTGCTGATCCTCATTGTTTTTTATCAGTGCAATTTACTATGAATATATGCAAATGCAAAGTAAAACCAAAGTTGATAATCAAATAAAAAAAAACAACAACTCTCTGATAAATCATGTGATCATAAACAGTAATGATGGGTTCAAACAAACCGATCGACAAATCAAACACTTTTTGACCTGGTCCATGTCCTTGTTAGGACAATGATTGACTGATGAGTGACGGCCGGTGATGTTTGTTGTACTGTCATGTTTAAAAGATTGAAAACCTCTCAAAGTCCCTGCCTGTCAATGCTCCGACATGGAGGTACACAAAGCAGTTCTTTTACTTGGTCTCTTTCTTTTTACAGGTAAGGATGCTTAAAATGGTTTAAATTTATCTCATATTTGTGATTAAAAAATACTAATTTAGCATTTGTTTATCTTTATATAATTAACATGATCATAATATCTCCAGGTTTTCTCAGGAGTCACAGTCAAAGCACAGGTACTGTAGGAAGTTTAGTTCATGTTTGACACAAAAATCTTTGGAGATCAAAGGTTATATCTTTATATTTTAGACTTATTCTGAATTAAGCTTGCATTTGTGACTTACTTTTTCTATATTTCAACAGATGTTCTGGAAGCATATATTAAAACTGATGGGGCCTGGATAGTGAAATTGCCTAAATCTCAATATACTGTCAATACAGTGGAGGAATGTGCCGTCAAGTGTAACAAAGAGGTTTCCTTTACATGCAGGTGCATTATTAAAACCTTCAAAATATACTGTTTAGCACTAAAGCAGTCTAATGTGTGATCATCCATGCTATTCAAATAAAATTTGGGATTTATATGTGCTTGTCAGGTCCTTCTTGTACATCGAAAAAGATCAGGATTGTGTAACATTACCTGCCAACTCAAAAACTGATCAAATACTGAGAAGAATGAGTGCTGCCCTCTACGAGAAAAAGGGTAAGATTTGATCATCTAATCCATTATTTTGTGGTTTTGAAAGTTTGACAGCGAACTCTCTAAGTAATTTAAGCACTCATCACTCTTGTTTGAATTGAGCTTTAAGTGCACTTGGAATTAATAGAGACAGGCTTTTTCTTGTTTTATTTTTTCAAGAGCCTGGGTTAATATATAATCCGCATTTATCAAAGTGTAGTTTGGTCCATGTCAGTAAACAAAGTGAAGAAGACTATCTAAAAATCCATCATCCAATGAGGGATTGCTCATGCATGTATTAGGCACTGACCCGGTTACAAAAAATTGTCCTTAACAAACATTTGTTCTCTGTTCTCTGGTTTTGGTTTAGGAGCCAAATTTTACATATTAAATAATGTTGTGATTCAACTCTGCTACATAAATATTATCACTAAATCAAATATCAACTGTATTAAAATTTGTCACAAATTACCATGTAGCAGTGTAGAAAATGGGCTAGGTTAATGCTTGGCTATCACATGTAAACACAGGTTCAAAATACTGCAGATCTTGGTTCACCTTATGAAACATCAATAGATATAAGAAGCATTTTACAACAGCTTACTTTTTTGCCCAACGTACGCACAGTTAATGGGTCACATTTCATCATTCGCATCTTTTTTACAAGACCAGTTTTTCTGTCACAAACCCTAGCGGACTATGCAGAATGTACAGTAACTACCATTATCCACAGTTCTACTGTATATCGACATCATTAGTAAACAAAGCGTTGTTAAGTATGCTGTAACCAATTGATTGAATTCCTTCATACAGAGTACTTACTGGAATGTGTAAATGGCATTGGCATGGACTACAGAGGGACAAAATCCAAGACAAAATCAGGGAAAACATGTCAGCGATGGGAGGGAACTTTCCCCCATGTACCCAAGTATGCTTCTTTATCAAATTTGTGTTTCAGGATGCTGTAAAAGACAAAATGTTTATCACAGTGAACAGCTAAATAACTTCAGTCATATCTTCCCGCAGCATAACACCAAGAGCTTACCCAAAAGCAGATTTGGAGTCCAACTTTTGTCGAAACCCAGATGGAGATAAGGGGGGTCCCTGGTGCTACACCACAGATCCTGAGAAACGATGGGAGCACTGCAATATCCAAGACTGCACAGGTGCATTCAGCAATTAAACTTGTACATAATGATAAGAAATCATACAGATGGATGGAGAAATCCCATGCAAAATCTCACTGTTGCTTTCATTTAAAATGAGGGAGTAGACTATTTGCTTTATAAACAAATCCTACATCTAACCCCCTGGTAACATCATTACACTGATAACTATATGGTGTGATAAAATAAATTGAGAAGATTTGCTACTTAATCATGCAAATATTTAGAAATGATCTTGTACCTTTAACTAATGGCTCATTTTCACTGAGTGGTTACGGTGCGATACAGTTAAATACAGCACACATTAATTTCCATTTCCACTGTTATAAGTATCAAAATAGTGAAACATAGCATACATTTTGGGACCCTTTCGCAAGAGTACCTTGCACAACAGTATTGTAAAAGGTTGGAGCAATACTCGCAGCTGAATGCTATTGGTTTACAGAGAATCATTACTTGTGCATGCAACAAGAAAAGGGACCAACAACACTGGAAGTGCCATTTTAAAATACACAGCTGAAACATGACATAATAATGATACAATAATGACACACAGCTATGAACAAAGATTAAAGAGCCCCCATTATGCATTATTAAAGGCCATATTTTGGTTTTGGCTGTGTCCAACAACAGTCTGATATGCATGCAAGGTCTAAAACACTTTCATTGTCTTATAATATGCATTTATTTTTACCCAATTATCTCAACGACTCCCAAAGGATTTGTTCAGCGATTTATTTGTTCCCTAAACCCCTCCTCAGCCCAATGCTAATCTGCACTGATGACAGCGTGAGACAGAGAGAAAAACCCACCATGGCTTATCAACATTGTTGAAGTAGTCAGAGTGCAGAGTATATGTGTGAGCCCAATGCAGGAGTGCATTAAAGCAATGTGGTAAAACACCAGCATGTTGCTCTACTCTTAACCATGACACACATTCAGTATTAATCCACACAGTGGCAAAAGCTGAACTTTTTTGAAACTTGACCGCTGCACGCGTATAGGAACAGCTGATAGTGGCCATAGCATTGACAAACGGCAGAGGATCGCAAGCTCACAAACGCATTAAATCCATAAACAAAGCGGCACGTGCTGCGTTTTTAACGTGGCTTTAGATGCGATATGAGAATATAAAGAGTTAACCAGATACAGAACAAGTTGCGTAAAGTGGTTACAAGTAACAGAACAAAATTAAATACATAATTTGCAAGCTAGAGAAAACAAGGAGACAACCATTTTAATTGCACTTACTTACACTTGTGAAATGAAGGAAGAAACGGATCCATGAACTGTGTACTGAGTTCCTGTCAAGCTCTGACAAAGTCCCATACATCAATAGTCTTTTCTGATCCTTCCTTTAACCAATGGCTGACGAATTCCCTGTTGCAGGGTAGATTATTGCATTAATCACCAGAACGTGGAACTCAGAACTCATTAATGTTCACTCATCTTCAGTCAGGATCAGTCCTACACACATCTGCACTCTGCTAGTGATTGAAGGGAAAGGCGCGTTCACGTTTTACCAGGACCAGCACTCCATATTTGGTATTGTTTCATGTCAACGTTGATAACGTTTATTGATTCGGATGAACACTGGATTATTTAAATGACTCTAGTTGAATCTTTTATTTTTTAAAAATCTATATTTTTAAACAAGATGCACTTTCAGATTTAAGACCTTGGCTGGATGTTTTTATTCATTTAGAGCTGTTATGCACTGCATGGAAGGTCATTTTCAAAAACCCATTATATGGGCTCTTTAAAGAAAGCTTTTCTTCTTGTGACAAACAGCCACATGCCAAGAAGTAAGAGTACTGTTGGCAGTGGAAAAGCAAGCCTGGTCAAGGTGACCTGTTTGAATCGCATTGAACAGTACCGTACTTCTTAGAGAAAACAAGGCATTATGTTCTTGTGGAAAAGCCTTTTCATAAAGGGATTAAGTTGCTCAATTTTATTTGTAAAATTGGAAAAAAGTAATGTACAAGGAAACAAAAAGGAATTGTCCTTTAAATGTGCCCTTCAATATCTGCAGAGGAATGTATGCAGTGCAGTGGAGAAAACTACAGAGGGAAAATCTCCACCACTGTGAGTGGATTCACCTGCCAACGCTGGGACTCTCAGCAACCCCAAAACCACGGTTACCTTCCTTCAGCGTAAGACCCTATTATTTAAAGCCCAATTGGCATATGGCCTATTTTGTGCATTTTTAACTGTGGTCTGTCTTTTGTAGTCTTCCTGATAAGTACTTGGAAGAGAACTACTGCAGGAACCCCGATGGAGAGCCCAGGCCCTGGTGCTTCACCACCAGTCCATCCAAACGCTGGGAAGCTTGTGCCATCCCTCGATGCAGTAAGCAATGTTCTCGTTAATATGAAACTTCAAGTTTTGTTTTAATTGTTGACTTCTCATTTATTTCTTTTAGCAACTGAACCACCGACAATTGTACCGGAGCTTACCTGTGCAAGTGGAGAAGGTAGTTCCTACAGAGGCACAATTTCAGTCACAATCACAGGGAAAACATGCCAGCAATGGACATCCCAAAGTCCTCACAAACATTCCAGATCTCCAGAAAATTACCCATGCAAGTAAGTATCAACATGTTGGGTGTTATGGGACAGATTCTGCTTGAATATGTGGTGTTTTTTTCCTACGATTTCGTTCCTCCATTTCTCTCCATCTTTTACCACAACAAATTTAGTTCTCTTTTTGCCTTGATTAAAAGTTTTCCAAATGACGCTGCTTCTTTTTCACCCAATGAACCTTGTTTTAGTCAGCGAAAATTAGGATAGATTTTAGCATAGTTTTTATTTTGTTTTTCCATCGCTTCTAGTCTAGTTTTAAAGGTTTCGTCATAAAGGTATGTTGACAAATATATTTAGTCAGAGTTTTCAATGATGAAAGCAACACTAGTTAAAAGCAGCAGCACTCTCTATGCAGAAGTTGTGAAGCAATCAAAGCACAATAAGTAAAGCACAATAAATACGGCAAATAAATGTGCATTACATTATGGAGCAGCTAATTAAGATATTCAAGATAACAGTAAAATTACAGGCTGGTTTTGAGAAGTGGCAGAATGAAGCTCTGAAAACAATAATAAAAAGGCACTCCAAGAACAGAATTTGGAACCCTTGAATAACATGTCCACTCCTGCTCTTCAAGAGTTTTACTCTACCCATAATTTAACATTCTGAAACAGCTAATTGAGGCCTTCAGGGTTACTAGAAACACGAGTTGAAGCTAAACTCCACAACACTGGGCCATCCATGTACAGGGATTTACATAAATGAACTAGAAGAACAAAACAGACAGATTTTACATAGCTTAAGCTATCCTTTACAACACAACTATGACTTGCTTTAGTATGCCAAACATAAAGGGAATATTTACAGCACAGAGAATGCAACAAACCTTAAACTGTATTTCTATCGCAGAGGCCTTGATGGGAACTACTGCAGAAATCCTGATAATGAAAGAAGTCCATGGTGTTACACTACAGATCCTGAGACCCGCTGGGAATACTGCAGTGTGCCTAGTTGTGGAGATCAACCTAGACCTGGTCTGTTTTGAAGGACTTATTACAAAAAACATTTACAATTAAATGTAGATTCTGCTGTTATGTCATATTACATTACATTATATACTCCTAGTACTGATAAAAGAGCCATAAGTAATGTAAATATATGATCCCCAGAGGAGCCCGTGATCCCCCAGGGTGAGGAATGTTATGAGGGTGATGGAAGTTCATACCGAGGTGTCATGTCTGAGACCATAAGTGGAAAGAAATGCCAGTTCTGGACATCCATGGAGCCTCATCGACATTCCAAAACACCTCAGAACTTTCCCAAAGCGTAAGAAACTACATCAAACTGTGCCAACTGTTGCAAACTTTAGTTTTACTGATTTCCCCTCTGGCGCATGTCGTGATTTATGCAGAGATCTAAGGAGAAACCTGTGCAGAAACCCAGATGGAGACAGAGCCCCTTGGTGTTACACCACAGATCCCACAGTTCGGTGGGAGTACTGCAATATTGAGCGGTGTGACAACAGGCCCAACATACAGGAACCTCCTGCCAAACCAGCAGCTACAACTCCAACACAGTCTACTCCAGCTCAGTCTACTCCAGATCAATCTGCTCCCTCAGAAAAAGGTGCATCCACCTAGAAGCTAAAAAATTATGTTAGATGTAAAAAGTACCATAGACTAATTTCACGCCAAGTCATTAAAAAAGCTAAATCAAGGCAGAAAAAGAAACTTGGAAGTATCGCCTGAGTCACACAGGAACGTTGTGTACCTGGCTGTATATCTTATCAGCGAAGAGAAAGTGACACAATTTTATCTGAACGGAAAGTGAAAATAAAGAGGATGTCAGAACTCATTTTTATCTAAGTTAAGGGAAAAGGCACTAGTTAGCTAACGTTTTCTTTCCCAAACACACGGTTTAGATGCCATTGAACAAACTCTTCCTCTTTCACTATATTAGACTTGTCACGATACTGAATTTCGGTACTGAAATAAAAAAACTGTCAATTTCCCGTTAACATTTAAGCGCTGTTAAATTCAACACCACTGATTTGCCATTTGCCGCACTTCACTGCCGTTTAAGAGCGCAAACACAGATGAACAATCGACTTTGAATGCTCCAATGTCCGTGTATCTGTGTTGTACTCGGTGAAGAGTGGTGAACTGATTACCTTCATGGCCAATCACAGTCATTTCTGTTGAGCACTGGTGAATGCTATTTCAAATCAGCGCTTAGATGTTAGCAGGAAATGGACGTTTTTAAAACTTTAGTACTGGGACAACACTATTACAGACAGCGCAAGGGTGTGCTACAGATGACTGCATTGTTTTACCGCTTAACAGGTTACATAAGCTGCATCCCAAATCGCATACTTATGCACTATTCTACTCCATTTTATAGTATAAATAGTGGAAGTAGTGTGTTCACACTGAAAACTCAAAAAATAATAAGTGCACTTTAATTACCCGGATGATGCACTCATTCAGCCGCTAAAATGAAGTGTGTAATGATGGACACTTCACGCACTCAACGACTACAGGTTTGCATTTTCGCTTAGTAAAAAAAACATAAGTGTGACATTTGGGACGACACTACATACATATACTATCCTGTTGAGTGTGTAAGTGCATAAGTACATAGTGCATGAGTGCATAGTGTGTAGTGTGCCATTTGGGACGCAGCTATAGGTTGAAGCAGTGAAGCCCTCATGGTGTTTAAATGGTGCCATGAACTGAAGCCTAGGAGGACACTCTTAAAGAGATTGTGATGTTGTTTAATGTCTTATATGCTTTAATTGTTTAAATTAAACTGAACGGAATGATATTAAAGTGATGTTTACACCATTTATGCATTTTAAAATGGCCGCAACTGCTGGCAGCCTCGCTTTCATGTTTTAAAATGGCGGCCGCATGAAATAAGCGTATTGCATTTCAGAGACGATGTGAGTTACAATGTTTTGTTTCTTTTAACAAGATTGTAAAAATGGCAATGGAGCAGAATACCGGGGTTCCACATCCATGACTGTCATGGGAGTGACTTGCCAAGCATGGAGGTCAATGACCCCTCATCAGCATGCCAGTTTTACCCCTGAAACCCATCCAGACAAGGGTCTAGAGTCTAATGTAGGTCTTTGCAGAATTTGCAAACTTTTTCACAGAAAATGAACAATATTTTAACCATTTTTTATTGATTGCCTTGTTAGCAATGCAGAAACCCAGACAGTGATGTAAATGGGCCTTGGTGTTACACAACAGACCCAAGTAAAAAGTGGGATTACTGTCAGATCCCAGACTGCGGTAAGGATTCTCAGTTTTCCTCTTGATTTGTTGAGTCCATTGGCAAGGGAAATTCACAGATCAGTCAATCTTTGTTACTGGGGCTATAAAAGACTTGCTATGCAACATTTATAATATGCACTTCCTTTCTAATCAGAGAGTCTGAAATGTGGACAACCAGCAACAAAGCCCAAGCGCTGCTTTGGGCGTATTGTCGGGGGATGTGTTTCCAAACCACATTCCTGGCCTTGGCAGATCAGTCTTAGGACCAGGTATAGAAACAAGCTACCCTTCAGTTCACCTTGGTCCTAAATGCCAAGACTATATGCAGTTATTAACTGTCATTTTCTGTCATACCAGAGGCAAAATTCATTTCTGTGGGGGAACATTAATTGATCCACAATGGGTCGTAACTGCAGCTCACTGCCTTGAGAGGTATGTGATCAGTTTTGTGTTGTTGTCTCATACAGTTTTCACTCAACATTTTGTTGTAAATATTGACCCTGAAATGAAGTTTACAGCCATTCACTTTTCTAGCTTAGAGGCAGCGGAGTAAAGTAATGGAGTATAAATACTCAAATGACTAATTGATTAGTTTTCCTTAAGAATTGTACTCTATTAAGTAGTTTCAAAAATGTGTACTTTGATTTTTACTTGAGTACATTTTTAGCGCCCTATCTGTACTTTTACTGCGCTATTTCCCTTCAACATGCAGTCACTAATTTATGTTTGTTTTTTTCTTTTCTTTGGTGATTGGCTAAGTAGAATAAACAGACCTGTGACTCCTATCCAATCAAATTGCATAATCACATTAGACAGATCAACTCAAAACACAGGTATTTTATAAATATAGCAAACATTAATTTCCTTCGTCTTTCCTTTGCTAGGCGATTTCCAAAAATCTAATTCAATTTATTAAACTTTTAGAATGGCCATATTTTATCCATAACCTACTGAAGAACAAAATAGTTAATAGTAGCATTGTTAACATATTAATAATCAACATTAAAAAACAACATGCAAATAAAAAGTCGTCAGCCTTTTGATTTTTTTTGCGACCTCAGGGGTGATTACGTTATATTACGGTCTTTCTCAGTGGCTTTGGTGCATTTCTCACAACACTATTTACATTTGCACAACAGGTCATGCATTTCTTAAAACAATTAGTCATTCGTGCAAATCACAGTAGCAGTTTTTCATTCCTCCAACAAAGTGCAAATGCTTGTGGACGTGCATCAACTGCTTTCATACAACTCTCTGCTGTTTTATAACATTATCATTAGCTTGTCATGTCAGTCAAAATTAACTAAACTTGTGAATGCTGAATAGTCACTCCATATAAAGCTAATTGTCCTCATTTCATTACTTGAGTCATTACATACAACAATGTTGAACTAGCTGTCAAACTCTGTCAAGCTAATTTTACTATTAGTTTTATATGGAATGACTATGCAGTAAAAATGTGAAACATACATATTCAGTGTCTTGTACTCAGATTCCTCACTAAATGCAGTGTTGTCTAACTCTACTGTAGTGTTTAAATGGCTGATGCAAATAGTATGTCTTGAGCATTTTCAGGAAGTGTCACCAAAATCTGACTTTTTTGCATTGGAAAAAAATGTAGAGAGAAAACTGTTCTAATGAAAACATGACAAAGCCATTTGACTATCTTGTTCATAAGCAATGATGTCAAGACTTTTCATCTTGATGACACTGATACTTTCACTGACACGAATGCTTGCCTTTGAGGAATGAGCTATTCATTTTGAGCAAGAGACGCTTTTGCAGGTAATCAACTAGGTTTTGCAGTTTGAACTAATTATTTTGAGAAATGCATTAACTGTTGTGCAAATGTAAATAGTGTTGTGAGAAAAGCACCAAAGCCACTTAGAAAAACTTTAAAGACACAGTAAATAGCATCAGACATAGCACATTGATATTAAGGCACCAGATTAAACTTTCTGACACCTTTACAGCACTCACATACATTAAAAATAAATACAGGCCACAACTGAACATGGAGGATGGTCTCCGAGTGGCGTTCTTCAAAATAAAAGGATGAATACACATGGGGCTATTGGTATGTGTGCGCGTTGTGTGCAAGGATTGTATATTTGTAACAACCTCAGAGAATATTGGGGGTCACAAGTCACTGGCATTGTTATTTCAGAGTCTTTTACTTGTACTTCTTTTTTGGGGCAAGTAATGGTATTTTTAGTATTTTTCAGAGTATTTTTCAGTACTCATTCCACAACTGCTTGGAGGTGACTATTTCATTCTTTATAGAGCTTATGAACTTGTGCCATTTATTTTGCAGATCTGATAGTCCATCTGCATACAAGATCATGCTAGGAATCCACACAGAGCGAGCAACTGAATCATCAAAACAGGAGCGAGATGTTACAAAGATTATTAAGGGACCAGCTGGAACTGACATTGCTCTTCTCAAGTTGGACAGGTTACAGTCTTTTGTTGTAAACCGATATCTGTTGTAGTAAAAAAAACAAAACAAAAAAAAAACACACCAGTAAAGTGTGTGATGTTTTAGTCATTTACTGTAAATAGTAGCCATGCTAAATATGTAGACACACATATGAGTAAATAATGCATCTCATCTCTTAAAGGAACACTTCACTTATGGATGGATGGATGAATGGATAGAACGATAGATAGATAGATAGAACGATGGACAGAACAATGGATAGATAGAACGATGGATAGAACAATGGACAGACAGACAGACAGACAGGCAGGCAGGCAGGCAGGCAGGCAGGCAGGCAGACAGACAGACAGACAGGCAGGCATAGATAGATAGATAGATAGATAGATAGATAGATAGATAGATAGATAGATAGATAGATAGATAGATAGATAGATAGATAGATAGATAGATAGATAGATAGATAGATAGATAGATAGATAGATAGATAGATAGATAGGCAGGCAGGCAGACAGACAGACAGACAGACAGACAGACAGACAGACAGACAGACAGACAGACAGACAGAACGATAGACGGATGGATGGATGGATGGATGGATGGATGGATGGATGGATAGGCAGGCAGACAGACAGACAGACAGACAGACAGACAGACAGACAGACAGACAGACAGACAGACAGACAGACAGACAGACAGACAGACAGACAGACAGACAGACAGACAGACAGATAGATAGATAGATAGATAGATAGATAGATAGATAGATAGATAGATAGATAGATAGATAGATAGATAACAACCTTATTTCTAATAAACGTGATATCAAGACAGCTAATGGTTTTGTCTGATTTCAGGCCTGCATTAATAAATGATAAGGTGTCACCTGTATGTCTACCAGAAAAAGACTACATTGTACCCAGCAATACTGAATGCTATGTAACAGGATGGGGGGAGACACAGGGTAAGTACTGTATAAGAAAATGGATGCACTGCCACAATTTGACCTAAAAACACAAATAACTAACAATGAATAAAGATTATACAATGTACTTATCTGCAAGCTCTTCTGTCTCTTAGATACTGGTGGAGAAGGCTACCTGAAAGAGACCGGTTTCCCTGTAATTGAGAACAAAGTCTGTAACCGTCCATCATTTCTGAATGGCCGTGTGAAGGACCATGAAATGTGTGCTGGGAACATAGAAGGTGGAAATGACAGTTGCCAGGTACAGTATGAGAGCATTCAGGACATTTTAACCTGCCTAGTTAACCTCATTAACCTAGTTAAGCCTTTAAATGTCACTTTAAGCTGTATGGAAGTGCCCTGAAAAATAATTAGTAAAATATTATGTACTTTCATCATGGCAATGATAAAATAAATCAGTTATTAGAAATGAGTTAATAAAACTATTCTCTTTAGAAATGTGTTGAAAAAATTTTCTGTCCGTTAAACAGAAATTGGGGGAAAAAATGAACAGGCGGGTGAATAATTCTGACTTCAACTGTATTTATATATATATTAGTGGTGTAATGGATCTCAAATTTCACGATTTGGATCACACTACGGTTTTTGAGTCACGGATCGGACCATTTTTCGGATCAGAAAAAAAAAAGGGAGGAGACAAATGCAGGGTTCATATGTTCATGGAAAACAGATATCTGTATGCTTGAATATAGGTTATTTACTTCTTTTCTGTCCTGGTCAATCACATGCTTTCACATTATCAATTTTCAATAATCAATTTTACATAGATATAAATATAAACTGAAACTAAATAGATTGTTGCGTGTTTTACGAGATGCTGTAATAAATTTGAACATGTATTGTTTTTGTTTTACCACGCATGTAGACATTGCATGAAACATAAGGTCATGAAAATTTACTTGAAAAATGGAAAAATCATGGAAAAGTCATGAAAGTTTAGTAGTAAAAATGTGTATGAACCCTGCAAATGTCATTTACATCCCATTTATTAAAAACAGCACTGCCAGACACTTTTGACACTTTAACAAACAGAACATAGAACCTGTTATTTTATTGAAAATAAAAATCAAGAAAGAACCAGCTGAAAAAAAGGAAAATATTCAATATGAAAAATTGCTACTGTTGCTGATAATGCTAAATATAGAAATCTAACATCTTGTTCAATGGATCATATTTATTTTCAATTAATAATTCAACAATTCACTCATAAAACATCATGTTTCATTATAGGTGGATCATTTCTGAAAACTTATTCAGTGACACAATTTGATGGTTTGTCGCCACCCATTGGTTACACAATGTAATTGCTACAACATTCATCAGCGTCAAGTTCCATTAAAAAGTGATTTTATTCTTTACCATAAACATCAGTGATTATATCTGAACTATGAACTGTTCTCCCAGCACTTCTGTGTTATTTAATCGTTTTAACAAACTAAAAAAGTGTAAAAACTTAATCTCTCTTAATCAAACGCAGATTTGACTGCAGCGCTTAGGATTAATAAAAATTTGCAAATCATTATCATTCATCATTTATGTTGCGCGGGTTTGAATTGAGATTGCAATCTTTTAATGTTAAATCATGCAGCTTCACACTGAATGCATTAATGCAGGCTAAACAAACAGTGACAGAAAACTCCTTTAATTAATAACCTAAGAAAGCATTTAGGTCCCACCACAACTTTTTTCATCATCATACTATAGGGAAGCCAAAATGCTTTTATACACAAGATTTGAATGACGCAGGAGGCGATCTCTCTCTCTCTAAAGTTGTTAATCCGCGGGTCACGTATATATATATATATATATATATATATATATATATATATATATATATATATATATATATATATATATATATATATATATATATATATATATATGTATACACATACATACATACATACATATATATATAAATATATATACACACACACACACATATATACGTATGTCCATATATATATATATATATATATATATATATATATATATATATATATATATATATATATCCTCTTTCACAAACTTTGCATTTACTTAAATATTTGAGATGAAAGTTTCTCAGGAAACCCATTGCTTTTTGTAAAATAGTGCAAAGGGTTTGTAAGACAAACATTACGTTAACGTTAAACATGCTAAATAATCTGCCAGTGACATAAGTAAAATAACCTTTTAAATTGAAAACAATATTATTTTACTTATTAAATATACATATTAAATATGAAATATTATTTACCCCACTGGCAGATTATTTACACTAGCATGATATAAGAATGACATTTTTAACTTGTTATTTCTAAAAGCAAAATAACGTTTTAACATATCTAAAAAATACTGAATATTTAGACAAGAAACAAGACAAAACTCTTTGTTAGGAAAAGCTAAAAACTACAGTGTTTTGTAGTCTAACCTGTTCCTCAAACTCTTTTAGGGTGACAGCGGTGGACCTCTCGTCTGCTATGCACAGAACACCTTTGTCCTTCAGGGAGTTACATCATGGGGTCTGGGCTGCGCTAATGCCATGAAACCGGGAGTTTACACCCGAGTCTCGAAGTTTGTCGACTGGATTGAACGCAGCATAAAGGAAAACTGAGAACTGATCGGATCAATCAAATGATCTACAACAGAATTTAAGTGTACAACTCATGATGAAATAATAATGAAAATAAAGTGATATTCTAAGAGACCCTGTTCAGAAGTTCAATAGTTACGGTTGAAGTAAGAATTATTATCCCCCCCCCTGTGAATTTTTGTTTCTTTTTTAAATATTTCCCAAATGATGTTTAACAGCGCAAGGAAATTTTCACAGCATGTCTGATAATATTTTTTCTGCTGGAAAAAGTCTTATTTCATTTATTTTGGCTAGAATAACAGCAGTTATACATTTTTTTAAAACCAATTTAAGGTCAAAATTATTAGCCCCTTTAAGCTTTTTTTATTTTTTATGATTGTTTCCAGAACAAACCATTGTTATACAATAACTTGCCTAATTACCCTAACCTGCCTAATTAACCTAGTTAAGCCTTTAAATGTCACTTTAAGCTGTATAGAAGTGTCTTGAATAATATCAGTCAAATATTATTTACTGTCATCATGACAAAAATAAAATAAATCAGTTATTAGACTAGAGTTATTAAAACTATTATGTTTAAAAATGTTTTCTCTCTGTTAACGGAAGAATAAACCAGATGTCTTCCACTATGAACAGGCAATTCCCAGTGAACATGTTTTATTACAGAACTTTCTAGAATGTAATCAGATCTGGTAAAGGAAAAATAGTTTGAATACATTAAACAGTCGGTAAACATTCTTTTGAGAAAGTCTCTTTATTTGTGTTCCACCATACAAACAGTTCACAACATTCAAGCCCTAATAAGAGATAGAATAAGAATATTTACCAGTGCTTTACAACACAAAGATATTTTACTGGGAGTTTTTTTTTTTTAATAAAAGTAATGGGAAATTAAAATACAGTAACTCAGTGGTTCTCAAACTTTTTTCATCAAGTACCACCTCAGAAAAAATAGTCTCTCCAAGTACCACCAAAAACAAGCAGTATTGAAACACAGTAGCGTAGTAGGCCCAGTAAAGCAGCTACAACTCTGCACAGTAAAAAAATGTGGCAGATTACCTCAGAAGTTTAGGCTATATGTCATATTATCTACATCATTTTTGATAAATTTTGAAATGTGTTTAGCATGACATATTTCATTCCTCCGCGTACCACTAAAAGGAAGCCTGCGTACCACTAGTGGTAGACGTACCACAGTTTGAGAACCACTGCAGTAACTAATATATATCTAAAAATATACAGTAACAGATCATCAGTTTGGAAACAAAAACAGGTGCTGACAAATACCGCTCCATTCATTTGATCTGTTGATTGTGTCTGATCAAATATTCATTCATTCATTCATTCATTAATTTTCCATCGGCTTAGTTTCTTATTCATCAGGGTCACCACAGTGGAATAAACCACCAACTATTCCAGCATATGTTTTACAGAGAGGATGCCCTTCCAGCTGCAAACCATTTCTGGGAAACACCCATACACTCTCACATTCACACACTTGTAACACTACGGTGAATTTAGTTAAGCCAATTCACCAGTAGCGCATGTCTTTGGACTGTGGGAGAAACTGAAGCACTTGGAGGAAACCCACAGAAACACGGGGAGAACATGCAAACTCCACATAGAAATGCCTTCTGGTCCAGCCAGGACTCAAACCAGCAACCTTCTTGCTGTGAATCGACAGTGCTAACCACTGAGCCACCGTGTCCCTGATTAAATACATAAACCAAATTCACAATCTGACAATGAAAAAGAATCCAATTTATTTATTCTCTTGCCAGGTTGATTTTCATGTGAGAATAAACAAGCAGCACCACATACAAATAATAATAATAAAGTTACGAAGGGTTGCTGTATCCGCTCTCAAACCGCTGTAACGTCTTTGTTTTTGGTCACATCAGAAGTCATCAGATTCTCTAGCTGTTGACTCTGCTGAGGGTTTTCTTTGTTTCTGTATGTACAGTTCACATTTGTGAGTGAGGAATGTTACCATGGTAGATTGTGTATGCGCAGAGAGTAAAACCTCACCTGTTTGGATGTTCAATGTCGTCGATGGTTTCTGGAAGAGGCACACCTTTGGTTTCAGGTAACAGCAGAACCAGTCCGCCAGCCACAAAAGCAAGAGCACCTGTCAGGAAACAAGCACTTATTTTTAGATTGTTTAGTTTTAGTGTTGTGCTCATCGCATATCTATAAGCTAGTGCAGGCCCGTAGCCTTCACGCACTCAACAGCCGCAGCTTGGCTCATGTAGCGGAAGGGGTGAAGCTATCAGGCGCACATGTTGGATAATTTCATTTGTTTTGGATTGTAAAAGCAAAATTCTCCTACGAGAGTGATTATAGCGCCTCCCGATGATGAATGCGGTTTCACTCATGGCAGGTATTATTTGGTAGTTTGGTTATTCATTTAACTAATTAGTGAACCGTCAAATGTCATCAGGGAAACGGTTTGAATTTCCGCTAAGTAAAAAACCCATCAGTGGTCCATTTGGCACGACACTACATACATATACAGTTGAGTGTGTAAGTGCATAAGTACACAGTGTACTGTTTGCCATTTAGGACGCAGCTAAATTTTGCCTGGTAATTCCCAGCCCTGTTCCTAAAGGCACATCAACAGTACACATTTTCAACCTCTTCCTAATCAAAAACACCTGAATCAACTCATCCGAACATTAGAAGAGACTCCAAAGTCTGAAGTTAATGGGTCAGATAAGGAAGGCATCCAAAATATGTAATGTTGGTGTGTCTCTAGGAACACGGTTGGGAAACACTGATCTACAGATTAATACATTATATATACAATTTTAAAAACATACAATCTTGTAAATTACAGCGTACTGTACATTTTCTGACCAATAAACAAATGACAGATTTAGGGCTCTATTTTGACGGTCCATGCGCAGAGAGCAAAACGCAGGGCGCAAACGCTTTCAGGGCGTGTCAGAACGCATTTTTGCTAATTTACGGATGGGAAAATGCGCTTTGCGCCGCGGCGCATGGTCTAAAAGGGTTGAGTTTATTTTCTTAATGAGTTATAGGTGTGTTTTGAGAATAAACCAATTAGAGTCTCATCTCCCATTCCCTTTAAGAGTCAGCTGCATCGCGCCAAGAGCGCATTCGCTATTTACAGGACGTAAAGTAAGTCTAAGTGGAAAAAATGAGCATTTCACAAGCAAACAGTTGACAGTTTTTTAACAGAAAACTGTTAAACAGAGCATCTACTGCGTGAGAATGAGAGATAATGGATCTATTTTTACTTTCGCTCTTGGAGAGGGAAACCTTTAAGCACAGACATCAATTAGTCTATAAATAATAATTGCGTTTGTTAAGCGCAAATATTCGTTTTAAAACTATTTCTAAATTCAGTTCTAATTTCCAGCAAACGAACAAATGAACAAATATGACCAAGTGTGGTCAAAATACTGAGTTATATCTAAATACACCTGCCATGCCCCATATGGTCTAAAACCTGACAGGTGGGCAAATCTAAGCTTGTTTTTAATAAAACAAATATAAATATGGATATAATAAATGATACTGCTAATAATAATAACATTATACAAAAACATGTTGTTATGAATATGAATGTTTCTCAATGTTTCAGTTATGAACTGAAAAAGCCTCCCGAGATGAAGAAGACATAAAAGCAGTGATTTTTCATATTTATGTAGGCTAGAAAATATGTTTTGTAATATTTTAATCCTTTATATTTATATCCTATATATATCCTGAATATTTAAATTTTTTTATATGTAAAGATATTTGCCTTATGCTTTCTCTTGTGTGTATTAAGCTGTGCGTAAGCGGGGCGCAACTCTGCGCCGGAGTTTAGACCGGGTTTGTTTTGGTCTAATGAAAAATCTATTATAGCTTCTCAAAATAGCAACGCACCAGCGGTCCGCCTCAGAACGTCTTCCTTTTTAGACCAGAACGCCTATGGGCGCACAAATGAGCGCTAATGCATTTGCTATTTAAACAGCGTAGCGCAACGCCTCAAAACCACTCTTGCGCCAAGCTGAAACTACCATAAGACTACTGCGCTGCGTCTTGCGCCACACTGCGCCGGGAGTATGATATCGCCCTTAATGTAGAATATACATAATAGCAGTGTTGGAGGTAACGCATTACAAGTAACGCAAGTTACGGAACATTACTTTTCTAAGTAACGAGTAAAAATGCATTATTTTTAAACAAAATAAATAATATTTGAGTGAGTTTTTTGAAAATGTAGCGCGAGTTACTTTTTAGTTTAATTAATGAGTTTTTAAAAAATAAATTGCTGAATTAAAATTAAAGCAGTCACGATGAATCACGCCGTCAAGGAGAGAATGTGTTCATTCTCTGAGGTCAGGAAGTTCTCAGATAAAATATCTTAAAATATTATTTATTTATTTATTTTTTAAAGTAAGTGTAGGTTGTACATTGCGTTTTTAATTGCAGAACTATTAAAAAAAAGTTCTGAAAGAGATCAAGCCTCAGCCGGGTCAGAAAAAGTAAGTCAAAGTAACTTAAAAGTAACTTTACTTTTACTTTACTTACCCTAAAAAGTAACTAAGTATCGCAACTAGTTACTTTTTTGGGGAGTAACCCAATATTGTACTTTCTAAAGTAACTTTCCTCAACACTGCATGATAGTAGTGCATAATTATGAAATCATGAGATTTTTGTACCAAAAATGATAAGAGGAAGTTCTAGCCAAATAACAGCGAGTCTGTAGAGCAGGAACGGTGCCACAATCCCTCCAACATCACAGAGAGTAGAACAGACTGAAACACCTAGATTTCTGCAGCCAAACAACATCATACAGCATTATAAACACACACACACACACATACACACACACGCACATAAATACAGTATTACACAAAATTTGAAATAAAAGACAGATTTGAGTATTTTAGAATAGAAAAATGTGAGCTTTTCTACTTAATATAATACTAATGTTATCTTATCTTTCGAGAATTATTATTTATTTACAGCACAAATGAGTATTCATATTACACAATTTTAAGAAACAAATAAAAATTGAGAGATAAAACTTTGAATGCTCCCTTTTCTGCTTGCAGTTCCAAGTTTACAATTGATTGTTTTCTTACAATTACAAAAACTTACAAAATGTAACATTTAATATGAAGCTTGATTATGCTACAGATTAAAACAAATAAATAAAAAAGGTAATTGTGACCTTTTACTTCAAAATTCTGATATACCTTTTTAGACTTACAAGTTTATCCCATAATTTTGCTTACAATAGAGTTTTAATTGCAAAAAAACAGTTGAAATTGGAATATATGAACTATGAACTCACAAAATTGAGACAAGAAAAATTCAGAAGTACCAAAAACAACCTCAACTTTTTCTTCCAATTCCAAGAACACATTACACATTTCTTTTATCAGAATTGCATAAAAGAAGTCTAAATTGTGAGGTGTAAACTAGAAATAATAAAAACGCATAGAATTATTGGAATGAGAAGTCACAATAACCCTTTAGAATTTTTATACTGTGGCAGAAACAGAATTTCAAAGGAAACTAACATCTGCAATTGTTTTTAAAATGCATGATAGAAAAATAAGCAGTCAAACTCACCTGATAACAGTAGGATATAGTTCGGTATTCACAAACACCACCATTTCAAAAGCCATAGTGATACCCAGCCGTCCAACACAAGCAACAGCGCTCTTTAACCAGAACATACCTGTAGAAGACACAACATTTCCAGAAGAAGACTTTTAGAACTCAGGAGCCACTTTATTAGGTACACCTGATCAACTGCTTACTAAAGATTTGTATTATAGTGTTCCCTCTCCAAGCCAAATGTCAAATTCCCTGACGTTTTATTGATATTTTACTGACTTAAAAGGTGGATTTTCATGAGCTATAATAAAAGGTTTTACTTGCATACAATTAAAATACTTTGAGCATGAGTATAATTTAATAGCAATTTTAAGAGTAACAATTAATAATACACACTGAAAAAAATATATCATTGGATTTATTATTGTAGGCTGCAAGATGGTACAGTGGGTAGCACGTTCGCCTCACAGCAAGAAGGTCGCTGATTTGAGCCTCGGCTGGGTCAGTTGGCGTTTCTGTGTGGAATTTGCATGTTCTCCCTGTGTTCGCGTGGGTTTTCTCCGGGTGCTCCAGTTTCCCTCACAAGTCCAAAGACGTGGTACAGGTGAATTAGGTAGGCTAAATTGTCCGTAGTGTATGTGTATGTATGAGTGTGTATGGGTGTTTCCCAGTGATGGGATGCAGCTGGAAGGGCATCCGCTGCGTAAAACATATGCTGGATAAGTTTGCGGTTCAATCCGCTATTAATAAAGGGACAAAGCCGAAAAGAAAATGAATGAATGAATGATTTATTTATTTTTTAAGGTAAATGGTTACAACAATTCATATGAGCTAAATTTAAACAAACAAATTAAGTTGAAAATGACTAATTTAATTTGTTTATAAATTCAGCCCATATCAATTGTTTGCAACCATTTGCCAGTTTGCAATTTAGTAAGTCCAATGAATAATTAGATTCAGTGTACCCCAGATTTTGAAAAGAAATGAAAGAAACAGGAGCATGAGTTTTTCAAGTGGTTAGGGTTAACAGGTTAACTTGGCGACTTCCAAAAAGGAATAGAATAGTGCTAAAAAACAACCGAACCAAAACTAAACTGAAAACGATGTGATGCGGTTTAGAAAAACAAAATGACATTTTGATAAATGGCATCTAAAATTTAAAGCTACAAACAAAAGTTCCTGATATTCAATGATTTGGACAAAATATATATATATATTTTAATGGCTGTAATAGTTAAATAATGAAAGGCCAGTGAAAAAAATTAAAAATTAGACATTAGTATCAGAGTATCATTAGCATCAAATCATCAAGCAGGGCTGAGCCTGGTCAGCACCTGAATAGGAGACCACATGGGAAAACTAGATTACTGTTGAAAGTGATTTTAGTGAGGCCAGCAGGGGGCGCTCAACCTGTAGTCTGTGTGAGTCTAAATGCCCCAGTATAGTGAAGGGGACGCAATACTGTCATTGAGCATCATCTTTTGATAGAGGCGTTAAACCGAGGTCCCTTGCAGTTTGTCACTTCCGCCTAAATGGATCAATGATGTTTTTTCAAATCACCTTCAACAGTACTGACCAATCAAATACTCTCTTGTATCTGTCATGTCCCACCCCCTACAAGATGTTTCTCATTTGATATAGCTCAACCACTCTCATTGCCAGAGCTACGATAAACACAAAAGGCTATTGGCTATTTTTCAAAAAGAGGGAGGGGCAACTCTATTTCCCACCCTCTCTTCATGTTTCAGTAGAGATTATGTCAAACATTGTATAAAAATGCACATTTTAAAGCACTTCACTGGACCTTTGAATTATTCACACATCATACACAATAATGAGAAAAGCAATTTAAATGGCATAATTAACATTTAGTGCTGTAATTAATTACTTGGAGTTTCCCAAAACTATCTCTTAGAAATATTTCCAGGCACAATTGAAGGCAAAGGAGAGTCTAATTCAGTACTAGAAAGGTGTACACTATAAACAGATGTAATGACAAAAAGTCAAGACAACAAATATTTGTATGTGGCTTTAACTTATTTTAACAATCAGGTTTCGTCTAAACTGTGTAAGTAATACAAAGCTTAACTTCATATTTTAAGTCAGTTTGATTGATGCAAGTTGAGAAGAAAGATTCATTTGATTGAACTAAAAAATGTAAGGCAGCAAGAATTTTTTTTACAGTGTACCAAATAAAGCGCTCATCGAGTCAACTCATTAACATGAATTATAGCTAGAAATGCTAACTCACTGTCGGGGATGAATGCTGTGATCAAGCAAGCCGCTCCAGCCACAATATTCGCAGTCGCAAACGGAAGTCGTCGGCCGATCCGCTCAATAGTGAGGAGGATGAGGAAAGCGGCAGGCAATTCCACAATTCCAGATATGAGGAAATCCACATACACATTTCCTCCTAGGATTCCCAGCCTCATAATGAGACCCTGGTAAACCACAGCACTGGTGAACCTGTGGCACAGATAAGGTTTAGATGTACAGCATGTATGGAAGGACAGATTTAATAACAAGTCACACTAGTGCAAACCCTCTTATTGCATTAACTGTCAGGAATTACTACACTCAAAACATAATTGTAGTTACTTGTTGGAACTAATTATTAAAAATCAGTTGAAACACAATTATTGAGATGTTTTTGGACAACTTAATTGTTTTACGCTCAATTCACTTAAATTTGTTAACTCGATTTGGGTTGGGACAACATGAATGAATTGTGAGGTTTACAGTTGATAGACACAGTCAAACATTAGCAATGAAAAGGCACAGTGATTTTTGTGGCTGATCTGTAAGGTTTATCTTTTCGATGTAAAAGTTATGGGAAGATAAGTGGTACACTTATACCATAACCTTATCATAAGGGGTACCTATTTTACCCCTTTTTTCAAGGTGTAAAATAAGTCTCTGATGTCCCAAGAGTGTGTATGTGAAGATTCAGCTCATTATAACAAACATTATAAATATTTTTTTTACTAAATGAAGCGGATCCTTTTAGACTGAGCAAAATTGTGCCATTTTGGTGACTGACGCTTTAAATTCAAATGAGATTGTGCTTGTTTCAAAAGTGGGTGGAGCTACAAATGCCGGTGTATCAGCATAATGCCAGATTCAAAAACAAGACTGAAGTCCTATGCTATGTGCTCTTTTCAAAAGAGGGTGGAGCTGTAGCTAAGTGGCTGCTTCTCACTCAGGGCTGTCTATGCTCATGAGGGAGTGATCATCAATAATGGGCAGGTCTTTCCCACTCTGATGACACACGTACAAAGAAAGAATGTCAATCAAAGTGTTTCTGAAGACTGTTTTTATGAAGTGTGATTATAAAAAATGATATGAATATATTTTTACCATTAGAAGCTGATTATATTTAGAGACTGTAGCCACATAACTGTGTTTAAACCTCCTTTAAAAGAGATTTTTTTCACAATAGGTGCCCTGTAAAGTCTGCAGTGTAAAATTGACCTGGATTTGCATCATTTAACAGCCAAAAAACACATCTTAACCCATTTTCTACTTGTGCTGTTTATAAAATGTACACACATTTTTTTATCATTGGCTCTGCTTGTATGCTAACTTTAAAGCACCAGTATCTACACTGTGTTTGAAATCATAAAAATCTGGGTTATTTATTTCACACTTTGAGCAAAACACTCAGAAAACGTTCCACTATTCCCATCTAACATTACACTCTAAATTGCCCTGTTTAGTAAATCTCTGACTCTAATGGAATAGTTCACCCAAAAAATGAAAATTACCCCATAATTAACTCACCCTCAATGTGTAAGACTTTCCTCTTCAATTGAACTATTTGTAAATAAATGTGTTTTTTGGTCATAAAAATGTACATTAATAAAATCCCAGAATTTATGTACAAGCCGGGATTCGAACTCAAGACACCGGCAGTGCAGTTGCACTATATACTGGTAGAGATTTTGTTTTCGACCCATTAATTAAATCAGATTAAAACGTTCCTGAAAAGCTCTGATCCTTTAGATCGCTATAGTCACATGACCCGGGTGTTTTGAAACACTTCAGAGCATCTCAAATGTCAAATTTCAGTTTCCCCTTCAACCACCCCTATTAATAAGTGGTTTCAGCGAGATACATTTATTCCCAAAGCTTTTGCTATAGACCATTTCAAGGAGTAATGCCATTAGTCCATGAACATCTCCTGCTTGTAGTCAAACTATTTTAATAACTGAAACAAGAGGCAATTCTATCATATCTCAACATTCAAAAAAGCTGTCATAACATCGTTTATCAATATGTAGACCTTTAGGATTCTCGGGAGCTATGGAAATTAAAAATGTGTTAACAGGAAATACAATAGCGCCATTATTAATGTTTAAACCACTTAAAATGGCCTATTAACGCATCTTACGCCACGCTACTGTACATATGTTGTACATAGTCGACTTTAGCGTGCATTCAGCCTCCTCCAGATATTTAAAAAATTGAATACATGTCTGTTACAAAACGCATTCATCCACTTCATAGGACATGTGTTAACCCTCTGTTGGCGTATGGGTTAGCTTGATGACAGCTTTTGGAAGCTTCAAAATAACGGTCACTATCCAAAACCATTACACAGCATATAAAAGAGCCCAGATAAAATTTAAACCCACTCCAACTGTGTTCGTCTGACAGAAGAAAGTCATATACACTGAGGATGGCTTGACGGTAAGTAAATTCTGAGGTAAATCTTTTCATTTTTGGATGAACTATTCCTTTAACATGGTGTTTAGGATCAAACACACCAGTTGAAACTGAGGATGAACGTGTATGTTCTCAGTTTGGCAGTCTTGAACAGGTCCATGAAAGACGCAGTTGAGCCAGAGTCTATGTTGTCATCCTTCAGTGTCTAATGGAGGAATTTAAGCATTAATAAGAGACATTTGGGTATTTGTTGTAAACTCATGCGTATCGTATACTGTCTCTGTACCTCGATTTTCTTGGACAGCGTCTTCCTGTTTTCTTTGGCTATTGATTTGGTGATCTCCACGGCTTCAGCTATCTTGTTTTGGGTAAGGAGCCATCGTGGTGATTCGGGGATGAACCTGAAATTCATAATGTATTTAAATAATGTTATTTAGCAGAGTGTAACTCAATTTATACATGAAAACAACAGAAATATAATAATAATAATAATAATAATAATAACAACAATAATATTATCAACAACAAAATAAATAGTTGCAAATATATTTTTATACTTTTTAAATAATTTTGGATTATAAATGTATTTATGTTGTAATATGATGTATTAAAGCAGGGTTTCTCAACCACGTTCCAGGGTGACCACCAGCTCTGCACATTTTCCATGTCTCCTTAACCAAACTCACCTGGTTCAGATCATTAGCTCATTAGCAGAGAATGAAAGACCTGTAATGGGTGTGACAAACAAAGGAGACATGCAAAACATGCAGTGTTGGTGGTACTCCAGGAACGTGGTTGAGAAACACTGTATTACAGGGATAGTTCACCAAAAAATGAAAATGCACTTGTTATTTACTCACACTCAAGAGGTTCCAAACCTTTAAACAGTTTGTTGAACACAAAAAATTATATTTTCAAGAATGCTGAAAACGTCTATAGTCTTCTGACTTCTACATCAGGAAAAACATATACTATGGAAGTCAATGGTTACAGTTTTTTTGGGATGCCCCTATTGTTTTGTTTGTGAACGGCCATGCTATAAAGTAAACGAGAAACTGTTGTTCTCATTAAGTAACACTTACCAATAGTAAGTCAGGAAGCAGATGTACGGTACTGTGAAGACCACCTGTAACCAGCGCCAGTTTGTTATGAAGTAGGCCAGGAGAGGAAGAAGGAGAATCCCCATGCTGAAAAACAACTGATAGGTCACACCAACCGTCCTCCTGTGGTCAACACCAACCAGCTCTGTGACTTCAGCCGAGAAACAAGAGAAAAGATGAAGATTCAAGACATATAAAGCAAACAAATGGGATATAGACTGGGCAGTAAGTCAAAATTATTATTGAAATTTGTATTATTTTTCTAATATTACCCAAGTGATGTTTAACAGAGCAAGAAGGTATTCACAGTATCTCCTACAATATTTTTTTCTTCAGGAAAAAGTCTTATTTATTTTAGTTTGGCTGGAATGAAAGCAGTTTTTAATTTTTTTTAAAACAATATTAGCCCTTATTGATTGTCTACAGGACAAACTGTTATCCAATAGCTTGCCTAATTAGCTTAATAACCTAGTCAAGCCTTTAAATGTCACTTTACGCTAAACACTAGTGTCTTGCAAAAATATCTTGTAAAATATTAGGCAAAAATAAAGGTCACACTTTATTTTGATGGTCCGTATGTTGAATTTAAGTTACATTGTATCTACATGCCAACTAATTCTGATTGGATTATAAGTAGACTGTAGGTTGAGGTTTGGGTTGGGGTTAGAGTAGGTTGACATACTTGCTAAGATTGTCTGTTGAGAGGAGTATCAACAGATATTAAGCAGACAGTCTACTAATATTCAAATGGACCATCAAAATAAAGCTACCAAAATAAAAAATGTAGTTATTAGAAATTTATAAAAAATATTTTGTGTTGAAAAAATCCATTACGCAACACTTCAGAAACAATTTCAAAAGAATTCAAATTTCACAGGAGGGCTAATCATTTTGACTTCAACTATATGTCTTGGATGACCTGAACTATCCATTTAATATACCACTCCTTCAGGAAGTAAACAAACATACTTTAAAATAAAATTTGTTTATTTTAAAATGTTTTTGTACTTAGCACATATCCAACCATCCAACCGCCCTTCACCCCAAAGCCAAAGAGAGCTCTGAACACCAGCAGGGAGATGTAATTAGGAGACGTGGCCACCAGAATCCCTGTGACTCCAATGAAGAAGTTGGTCATCAGGAAACTCTTCATCCTCCCATATCTAAAAGAAAATATGAATCACTTTCATGCTGAAAAAAATGTTAAAAAAATAGAGTCATTTGTTTTTATTTATTCATTTATTTTTTTTTTACATTTGGGGTCAGTAGCATTCCTTGTGAATAGTCACTATACTGTATATGCATTTACTGGATCAAAATAAAAAAAGAGGTAAATATTATTATAGCTATATTTAAATAATTGTTAAAAAGATTATTGTTTTTAAACATTATCATCCCAGTCTTCAGTAACTTAATGCAAAATAAAATAATAATAAATAAATATAATACTTATACATGTATATTTATGTTCACTCTCAGAGCAAAATCACTGACCATTTTTCTAAACATTTTACCCTTTAATTCACACAGCTTAATATTTCCACAGCTGTGTATTCACAGCTGTTTCTCTGGATGTACCGGAATCACTGCTTATACAATATTTATTTATTTATTCTTTGCGGCCTGATAACATTTCTTACTAATTTCCTTCCTTTTTTAGGATTTGTTTTTGTGTTCAATAATTTTAGGGTCAATAACATTCATTCATTCATTTTCATTCAGCTGTGTCGCCACAGTGGAATGAACCGCCAACTATTCCAGCATATGTTTTACGCAGCAGATGCCCTTTCAGCCACAACCCAGTACTGGGTACCACCCATACACCCTCACATTCATGCAGGCACTCATACAGTACAGTCATTTTACTTAATCGACTGGCCCAGCAGGGACTCGAACCAGCAAACTTCCTGCTGTGAGGCGACATCACCACAAACCACTAAGCCGCTGCGCTGCCTGCGTTCAGTAACATTTCTTGTCTGAAGTGTATAATGCTCAGCAAGGCTGCATTTGTTTGATAAAAATAAATAAATATAAACAGCTAAATATTATTAAAACTATGCTAAATTATTTTAAAGCATAATTTAGAGGTTTTTTTTAACTTTGTTATTAGTCCAGTAATTTAATGCCAAAATAAATAAATATATAATGCCTTTATTGAAAACATTTCTTCCATAAATGAATAGATAAATAAATAAATAATGCCATCAGTAAAAACATTTCTTCCATCAATAAATACTCAAATAAATAAATAAATAATAAAATAAATAACTAACTAAATAAATAAATAAACAAATAAAGCCTTCTGTGAAAACATTTCTTCCAAATTTCAAGTAAAAATATTTTCATTGAGAGCATTAATTAATGTATTTATTTAACAGGTGGACAAAATAATTTATTCATTTTCTTTTCAGCTTCATTAATCAGGGAATTACAGCAGAATGAATCACCAACTTATCCAGCATATGTTTTACACAGCTTATGTCCTTCCAGCTGCAACCCATCAGTGGGAAACATCTATGTTTTACAGAGCGGATGTCCTTCCAGCTGCAACCCATCAGTGGGAAACATCTATACTCTCATCCACACTCACACACAACAGACAATTTAGCCTACCCAGTTCACCTATAGCGCATGTCTTTGGACTGTGGGGTAAACCGGAACACCCGGAGGAACATGGGGAGAATATGCAAACTCCACACAGAAATGCCAACTGACCCAGCCGAGGCTCAAACCAGCGACCTTCTTGCTATGAGGCGATAGCACTACCCACTAAAAACATGGCATCTGGCAGCATGTTGGCTCAGTGGATTGCACTGCCGTCTCGCAGCAAGAAGGTTGCTGGTTCGAGTTCCAGCTGGGTCAGTTGGCATTACTGCATGGAGTTTACATATTCTCCCTGTGTTGGCGTGGGTTTCCTCTGGTGCTCCAGTTTTCCCCACAGGCTAAAGACAGTGCGATAAAGGTGAATTGGATGAGCTAAATTGGCCGTAATGTATGAGTTTGTGTGAATGCAAGGGTGTATGGGTGTTTCTCAGTACTGGGTTGCTGCTGGAAGGTCATCCGCTGTGTAAAACATATGCCAGAATAGTTTGCGGTTTATTCCGCTGTGGCAACCCCTGATAAATAAGGGACTAAGCCGAAGGAAAATGAATGAATGAATGAATGAATGAACATTGCATATCTGTTGTCCACTAATTGTCCTTTTTACACTCTAAATGACAAAATCTTTACAACAAAAACTACATTTTACTCAGACACATACCTATAAACTGTAAATGTACAGTAACTTTTTCCCCAATACATGATAATGGCTCGCAAAACCTTTCAGAACTGTACAGTTATGTCAGTTTAGGAAACTGAGGTTTACACATCATCAAAAAAGTGTAATAAACATGATGTATGGCTTACATTACATTTGCTTTGCTATAATACATATGGTTTGTTATGATTATGAATATTTGGTATAGAAAACATTCATTCATTCATTCTTTCATTTTCTTTTTGGCTTAGTCCCTTTATTAATCTGGGGTTGCCACAGTGGAATGAACCGCCAACTTATGCAGCATATATTTTACGCAGTGGATGCCCTTCCAGCTGCAACCCATCTCTGGGAAACATCCATACACACTCATTCACACTTATACACTACGGACAATTTAGCCTACCCATTTGATCTGTACTAGAGGTCTGCATTCAGCCGCGGGAGCCGACCAGATTTCAGCGGCACGGGAATAAATTTCCGAATAAAGCGCGGTAGCGGTCGGCAACTGGTTTAATTTTGGATGGGAGCCGGCCGTCTAGCAATATCGCTCACGACTCCCGAGCGAGCCCTCGTATGTATGTGTGTGAATGAGATGGCATGATGCTACGTTTAGCTTGTTTGTTGCTAAGTGTGTGTGTGTCACTTGCTTGGTGCTTATGTGTTTGTTTATACAGACAGCTTGTTATAGGCTGTCTGGACTGTATAGCTGGGTGTTTTTTTGGTTTTGTTCTCCCCCCTTGTTAGCGGCAACGGGCGTGGCAGGTAGAAAACGGGGTGGGTCGGGCAGCGGGAAAACAAATGCAGAATATAATTGGGAGCGATCGGGTTCAGGCTTAAACCTGTCGTTAGTGGGCTGGAGCGGGATTCAAAATTTAGTCCCGCAAAGATCTCTAATCTGTACCGCATGTCTTTGGACTGTAGGGGAAACCGGAGCACCCAAAGGAAACCCATGCGAATGCGGGGAGAACATTCAAACTCTACACAGAAACAATAACTGACCCAGCCGAGGCTCAAACCAGCGACTTTCTTGCTGTGAGGCGACAGCACTACCTACTACGCCACTGCATCACCCGTTTAGAGTACAACTATTTAAAAATAAATTAATTAATTATTGAGACTGAAATATTGCGTAAAATCACCTTTAAAAGTGATTCAAATTCCATAATACAAATAAAAAAATACATTTTGATAGGTTTAGGGAAAAAAAATCCTAAATATCTTCAAGGAACAAAATCGTCATTCAATAATCTAATCACTGTTTGTATAAAATAACAATGTTGAGCCATACAATGCATCTTCGGCTATTCACACATAAACACTCATCCAACATATATACAATATAAATACATAAAGCAACACAGATAATAATTGAGGGTCTGCCATACTTGTCTGCCAGATATCCGATTGCAATGCTGCCCACAAGGAAGCCAATACTGAGTGTGGCCTGGAACATGTCAACATACCAGGCGTCTCCACAGACCAGATCAAACTGCAACACACAGATCTCACATCAGTGCACTTTATACACAAGCTGCACAATGTATTGTTTCAACATTGATTTTGCAATGTGTGTGTGTGTGTGTGTCTGCAATAGTCACATCGCAAAGATATGCCAGGTTGAGTCAGAATTATAGTTGATCAGCACAACAGATTTGCAGAGTCATTGCAAAGAATAACCATGACAGAGTGAGACTTAATCATTTGCATGTGTTTTAAAGGCATTTCAAGAGAGTTTAAAGCATTTGGGCACATAAACAGTACATTTGTAACTTTAATGAAGAATACTTTTACTGAATTAATGCAGTTGAAGTCAAAATTATTAGCAGTGGCAGATCTAGTTAAATCGGCACCCTTGGTGAAACACCCTATACACAGCCCTTCCCCAGAGAAACAAAGGAGACACTATGGCTGCGTCTGAAATGGCCTACTACTCAGTAGGTACTGCAGAAAAGTACGTTCTATGCAGTATGAATGTGAGCAGTATGGAACTCAAATGTACTACATCTGCCTTTTTGCCATGATCACATGACCTGCCCACGTCAGTTGCATTGATTAACTTCCCTTTATGAATTCCAGGGGTATACAGGCTTCATGTCAAATTTAAGACTTTTTAAGATCCTTTTAAGACCATAAAGAATAAAAATTTAGACTTGCACAATACAGGGTCAAGATTTTTTCCTATTGGCCTGATATTATCATGAGAAATCATGTAATTTTTTTTTTTGTTTATTTTCCCCTGATTAGGGGATTTAATTAGGAAAATTCCCTGTAAAATGTCAAACAGCTATTGTGAAATGCAGCTCTTTGCAAAAAAAACAATAACAACAATAAGGTTTAATTGAGATGCATTGTTGGTCATTGGATGGAAATTGGCCCAAATTGAGTAACTTTACTTGGACAAAGCAAAATTTAGACTTGTTGACAATTTAAGACCTACAACACAATATTTCAGTGAGTTTAAGACTTTTTAAGGCCTAAAATATAGGTTTTGAAATTTATTTTAAGACCTATTAAGACCCAGCAGATACCCTGGAATTCTCTCACAGTGCATCATGGGATAGCGCAGTGTGCATCAGATGCTCACTTAAGAATCTCGCCAGAAGTAGTAGGTCATTCGGGTCTTTCTCGCATTCCGTGAGTGGGGGTTGGCTAGACTAGAGACTGATTTTGGATGCTCTTGTTCCTTTCATTTAGGCTATTTATTTACTTTTATTATTACTTAGAATTACTGCCCAAGTTACTGATGTAAGGCAGTAATATACTTTTTATAGTAAAACTAATACACGCAGTTTTGCTATTACTGACTTTATCAATGAAAGTTAAGCAATTATACTGTTTACATAAGCGAAAACGGATCATGCCTTCAGCGCCAAACAAGTGGCTTAAATTATATTTTATTGTCCTTATTTATTTCTATGTGTGTTCTGAACATTGAATGACGGGAGTGTTAGTAATTAATGACTGAAAGAATGTTCAGTTTTGAGTGAACTAATCCTTTATGTAAACTGAGGGAGCACAAATTCGTCCTCAGGGAAAAATGCCCCCTTTTGCCCCCTTGTAGTGCCGGGCCTGTCGCATACTGAGTTTCGAATTCTATGAATTCGGACATACTCAGCTTGCATACCATTTTTAGTGTACTATATAGTATGGAAGTAAGCAATTTTAGATGCAGCCTATGTGGTTGACTTTTTATTACTCCCATTGGAAAACATGAAATTGTTTCAAACAAACAATACCGATAGCAAATTGAAATTTGACATATTTCCAATAGAATCTAGGCATGGAACGACAACCACTTTCAAGGTATACCACACTTTGGAAAAGCCAAGGTTTTAAAACCGCCAACATTTTCTGCTTTACGGTTCTTAAGCTATGTGTAGGATTTTTTTTATTTACATTTTTTTTTTTAGCTTTTTAGGAAAACAGTATCGCCAGAAGAAAAAAATATCTAAAGATGCCGTTTTTATTTGTAAAGAGATCTGTGTTTTTAAAACTAACAAAGAAAGCAGCCTGACATGTTTACTGCTCCAAAATATTTTCAATGTTTCTCAAAATAAAATATGTTGTGTTCAAAGGCAAAAAAAAGTTTGGGTTTTTTCAGGGTGTCTGCAGGGTCTTAAAATGTCTTCAATTTCAAAAACTAAATTTATGGCCTCAAGACAATTCACTGAAATATGCTGTTGTGGGTCTTAAATACTTTTAAACAGGTCATAATTTTCACCTATTGCCAATGTAAAGCTATAGCCAATCAGAACAACCAACAAATCCATCTAAAAAAATTAACACTTACTAACTATTTAGCAATATGGTTTAATTGTCTTCCTTACATCCTTACAATAACATTTGTTTAAAAGTTCTCAATTTTTTCATGTTTTTATGCATAATTTTATGTTGTAATGTATTATAGTTTGTAAAACTTTAAGACATTTTGATTGTCTTTAATTTGTTATTGTTTATGCTACATTGCATTCGTGGGAAATGTTCTGTTTTGGTTTGATTTTCAGAAGACTTTTAGATTAGAATCTCATTGTGAGTGTTTAAGTAAATGACACCAAAAAATTGCTGTTTATTCATTTAGCATTTTTAAATAATCTAGGTGTAGATACTCTCAAAATAAACAATAACCTTGATTTAGACCTCATAATTCTGAAAATAATTATTGTACATTAGGAAACAAAATTACATTTTAAAACATTTTCATATATGTTGTGCATAAATGTGGTTTATTATAGCTTTTAAAATTTGTCTTTTTTTAAAGAAAGGTTGTGGTAATAAAAATATGTATGCATAGACCTAGAGCTAGCTTGTTTTGACACTTTATTTAAAATATGTGGCTAAGAAGTAACTTAGTTTTAATTTTAATTGGGCAAGTAAAGAAAATCCACTGGTTATTACAAAAAAATATTAGCGCTTTGCCCTGTGATAGCCTGAAATTTCATTGATAATGGTCTTAAAAAGTCTTAAATTTGATGTGATGAAACCTGCAGAAACCCTGTTTTCACAAAGACATTTAAAAAATATATATTTTAGAGCAGTAATCACAATACGTTGAAACCGTGATTTTTTTATCCAAGGTTCTCATACCTTTAAAATTTTATAACGACCCATCTCAAATAGTATCTGGATGCAGCCTTTATGATGCAAGCTGAGATTGCATCACACAGCGATGCTATGCCAGACACAATGCACTCAATGAAATGAGTGACGTCACTGTGATAGGTAGGGTTAGGTATAGGTGAGCGCATTAAAAAACATTGGATGCTGCTCAGATTGCACTGCACCAGGTCTGCATCCAGACCCCTCTTAATATTTCACTACCTTTCTTGGCTTTTTTTCTGTAAAGTCATCAGTTATATTGTCGTATAGCCCATTAAAGTAAACCAAACCCAGGGGCGTTGCTACACATAAAGCTCTATGACCACTCCACCTCATTGGCGTGCATGTAAACAAGTAGGATTTCACATCGGGAGCAGGAGAAGCAGAGGGAGCGGTTATCTACAACTTTTAAATGTTAAGATGTATAGAAGTGTCTTGAAAAATATCTAGTAAAATAATATGTACTGTCATCATGGCAAAGATAAAAGAAATCGGCTATTAGAAATGAGTTATTAAAACTATTATGTTTAGAAATGTGATGGAAAAAAATGGGGAAAAATATACAGGAGGGCTAATAATTCTGACTTCAACTGTATATTGCAGAAAAATAAAATTTTCCAATGTCTTATTTGTTTAATATTATGCAGCCCTCTTTTATACACACACAAAAATTGCATTTACAATCCAACCACTTACCTCAGTGACAAACGACTGCCTCCCTACATAGTCATACTCCCAACCGTCCACACAACTCATCATGGGCATTACAGAGAGCTGGGACTGGTTAAAATCCCCATCTGGATTTTCGCAGCTCAGTCCGGTTGCGTTCCAATCCACGTCAAATCTCCCACACTGACTGTAGGACGCTCCTGAAGATCCGTTTATCAAGGGTACGGTCGCCCTGCGCGCGTCCTGAAGACTCCATCCGCATCTTTCCCGAATCTCACTGACAGCTGGGTCACGGCACCAATGCTCAGGAGTAAATCCCTGAAACACAATCCCCACATAGACGAAAGAAAACGGTATGGAGACCAGACAGAAAGTGCAAAATATGCGTATTTGGCTGCGACCGAATGTGCCGGCCTCTTCCAGAATCTCTTCGAAAGTGGTCATGTTTTTGCCGAATGCCACAAACAGAAAAAGGTCTGTTTGGTTGAGAGGGGAGTATTTACAGACAGCTGACTGAGCTAAAGTCCAGAGGAGGCTGAAACGTGATCTATTCCAGCTGCGATTGACCAATTACATGCTGCGATGGGACGGGGGGCACAGTTTTACACTTTAGCCCCAGGGACAGCTGTTATGTAAGTTTTTCAGTGTATAATTTGTATTCAAGTGAGTGTAGGGGAAGCGGTGATGTAATGAGGGCTTGAAACTATTACTAATTTAACTAAACTCCGAAAGACTGGGTGGACTTCACATTTAGATTTATCAATAGCTGTGAAATTTAAATAGTTGTTATGAATATCAGTGTGAAATTATCTGAAGTGCAAAACGAACTGAAACGAGTTTAGGATGAACTAAAATTGCTGTTGGGAAAAGGATTAAAGGTGAATAAATAAATAAATAAATAACAACAATATCATAAAATACAGAAGTAAACATTATAAAAAAGTAAACAAAATAAAATATTTCTTCAGGAAATAACAGATATACTGTATAATAAAAGTAACAAAATCCAGGGTTATTATACTAATTATTATAATAGTTAATGTATTCAACAAACTATGACCAATACATTTATTCCTGTATTTATTCATCTTTGTTAATGTTAGCTAATCAAAATAAAGTTTATTGTTAAAGTTTAGATTTTAATTTTAATTGTCACTCAGTGTATTACATCATTCATTCATTTTCTTTTCGGCTCAGTCCCTTTCTTAATCTGGGGTCGCCACAGTTGAATGAACCGCCAACTTATCCAGCATAGGTTTTACACAGCGGATGCTCTTTCAGCTGCACCCCAGTACTAGGAAACATCCATACACACTCATTCACATTCATACACTACGGACAATTTTAGATTACTCAATTCACCTGTACCACATGTCTTTGGAGGAAACTTACACGACCACAGGGAGAACATGCAAACTCCACACAGAAATGCTAACTGACCCAGCCAAGGCTCGAACCAGCGACCTTCTTGCTGTGAGGTGACAGCACAAACCACTGCGCCACCTGTATTAGATAATGTTAACAAGAATTTGTATTTCAATATTGCATTAGTAATCTTAAAAATATGATTAGTACATGCAGCAGAAGTATTGTTCGTTATTAATTCATGTTACTAAATACATAAACTAACATTAAATAATTCAAACCAAAAGTTTTATATATAAAAATAAAAACGTAAAATTTGAATGAAAACTAGATACAAAATTAGCTTAAACCTAAAAAACATAATAATAATAATAATAATAATAATAGTAATAATAAAATAAATAAATAAATAAATAAAAATAATTATAGATACGTACACTCACCTGCCACTTTATTAGGTACACCTGTCCAACTGCTGATAAATGCAAATTTCTAATCAGCCAATCACATGGCAGCAACTCAATGCATTTAGGCATGTAGACATGGCCAAGATCATGCACTGCAGTTCAAACCGAGCATCAGAATGGGGAAGAAAGGTGATTTAAGTGGCTTTGAACATGATTTCAGAAACTGCTGATCTACTGGGATTTTCATGCACAACCATCTCTAGTGTTTACAGAGAATGGTCCGAAAAATAAAAAATATCCATTGAGCGGCAGTTCTGTGGGCGCAAATGCCTTCTTGACGCCAGAGGAGAATGGCCAGACTGGTTCAAGATAGAGAGGTAACTGTAACTCAAATAACCACTCGTTACAACCAAAGTATGCAGAAGAGCAGCTCTGAACACACAACATGTTGAACCTTGAGGTGGATGGGCTACAGCAGCAGAAGACCACACCAGGTGCCACTCCTGTCAGCTAAGAACAGGAAACTGAGGCTACAATTTGCACAGGCTCACCAAAATTGAACAATAGAAGATTGGATAAACGTTGCCTGATCTGATGAGTCTCAATTTCTGCTGCAACATTCAGATAGTAGGGTCAGAATTTGGCATCAACAATATGAAAGCATGGATCCATCCTGCCTTTTATGAACAGTTTGGGCTGGTGAAAGTGGTGTAATGGTGTGGGGATATTTTCTTAGCACACTTTGGGCTCATTAGTGCCAATTTAGCATCGTGTCAACGCCACAGCAGTTACACATAGTTGCTGACCATGTATGACCACAGTGTACTCATCTTCTGATGGCTACTTCCACCAGGATAATGTGCCATGTCATAAATCGCGAATGAGAGATTCAGCGAATGACAATGAGTTCACTGTACTCAAATGGCCTTCACAGTCACTAGAACTCAATCCAATTGAGCACCTTTGGGATGTAGTGGAATTGGAGATTCGCATCACAAATCTACAGCAACTGCATGATGCTATCATATTTAGTCAATATGGACTAAAATCTCTAAGGAATATTTCCAGCACCTTGTTGAATCTATGCCACAAAAGATTAAATGCAGTTCTGAAGGCAAAAGGGGGTCCAAGCCGGTACTAGTAAGGTGTACCTTATAAAGTGGCAGTGAGTGTGTGTGCGTGTGTGTATATAAGAATAATAATCTTAGAAATATTGCCTTTACATATAAACTAAATGTAAATGTAACTGTAAATGTAACTAAATGTAATGTGTAGGTTGAACTAAATGAATAAATTATTATTATTAAAATAATAAGCACAAACAAAAAACTAAAGCAGATAAAAATGCTTATAAAATGGCCCTAAAACTGAAATAAGCTGAAAAAAAACTCACTGAAATCAGTTCCAAATGAATCACTAAGACTATGAATTGCATATATAACAAAACTGCATTAAAAATGGCGCATTATAAAGAACAGTATACATAAAATTGCATATCAAAAAAATTAAAACAAGTAGCTGTTGAAAAGTGAATCTGGAGTGAAATGAAGCACGCAAAAATCACTCTGAATAAAAATGCATGCCGAGGAGCTGACAGCTTTATTGAAACAATGCCATGATATCTCAGCATTGAAATCTCAAAACCAGATGCTGAAAAACATGACAAACACAGTCCGAGAGGAGCTAAAGCTTCAACCAGGAGAACAAGAGGACTCCTCCAGGACCTTCTGGAAACATCTGAAAGAAGAACATCTCCAAACACAGCAGTCGCAGACTATTTTTTTTTTTAATAAGGAAAGGGGAAACTCGTGATTAGCAATAGCTATCAAGCGTACCGTCCACCATCTGCCCAAAAGGACATGAGAATAACGTCCACCAAAGTGCAGAGTTCAAACAGAAACACTCAGACATGCTTTTTTTAACTTCATAATGACGTACCGCGAGTTATGACGGCAAACCTACAGAACTGCTGTGGCTTTATTTGGCATTCGTACACCTCTAGTCAAAATGTCTGAGATTAAAAATGTATTTTAAATATACTTGCTCACCAAGACACATTTCTTTGATCAAAATACAGTGAAATATGATTAAATGTTAATATACACTGCATGTTGTTATTGAAGACAGGTTAACTAAATATTATTACTTAATAACTTAGAATATATTTTAATACTAATTTCTGTGAACGACTCGAATAATCATGCTCAACATTCAGCTTTAAATCAGTCACATGATACTTCAGAAATCATTCGAACATGCTGATTGGCTGTTCTATTATGATTGATTATTATAATAATAATTTAATCATTTAATATTATTACTTAACTTATACTTTAACACCAATTTCTGTGATTTAAAGCTGATTTTTCAGCATAATTAGTTCAGTCGTTCAATGTCACAGGGAACTTCAAAAATCATGCTGATTGGCTGTTCTATTATAGTCAATTATAATAATGACTATTTTAATTATTAATTTTAATGATCAAATATTATAAATGAATAACTTATTATACTTTAATACTAATTTCTGTGATTTAAAGTTGAGCTTTAAGCATAATTACTCCAGTCGTTTAGTGTCACATTTATCATTTTGACTGGCTCTTCTATTATGATCAATTATAAAAATAAATCTTTTAATTATTAACGTTAATTAAATACATTTTTGTCTAACAACTTATAATAAACTTGAATACTAATTCCTGTGATTTAAAGCAGTTTCTTAAGCATAATTACTCATCTTCAGTGTCACACAACGTTGGCTTAAATGACATGTTCAGAATTCATTCTAACAAGCTGATTGGCTGTTCAATTATGATCAATTACAATAATGATTCTTGTAATTACTAAATATTAATTCTTAATAACTTGTAATATATTTTAATACTAATTTCTGTGATTTAAAGCTAAAATTTCAGCATAATTAATCCAGTCCTCAGAGTCACTTGATATTTCAGAAATATCTCTAGCGTGCTGATTGGCTGTTCTATTATGATTAATTATAATAATGCATCTTTTAATTATTACATTTAATTATTAAATACTCTAACTTAATAACTTACTATACTTTAATGCAAATTTTTGGCATTTAAAGTTGAATTTTCAGCATAATTCATTATGATCAATTATAATATTGATTCTTTAATTGTTAACTGTTAAAAATGTTTTGTGGAAATTAAATAACAGCTTTTACATTAAATTTATTACTATTTTTATATTATGAATATCCTTTACTTTTAAGCAATTCAATGTGCCCTTGACAAATAAAGATAAATTTATTTTAATTAGTTTTTTACCTAAATATGAAGTGGTTTTTAATACTAATAACAAAAATAAAAAAGAAATATTTTTAAAAACAGATCATCATATTATAACTCCTTTTTGAAGGATCATGTGACACTGAAGACTGAAATCATGTAAAAAATGTAACTAAGTCGGAGACGCAACTTATATTTTAAACTGCATTCAATAAAAAAAAAAAAAATATATATATATATATATATATATATATATATATATATATATATATATATATATATATATTAAATTGAAATTATTTGTAAACAGTTTTTACTGTATTGCTACTGTATTGCTGATCAAATAAATGCGGCCTTATTGAGCAGAACAAGCATCTTTTAAAAACTCTTAATAATCTCAAACCTTTGTCCACTTGCATATATGAAAAAAAAAACACTGAGGGATGGTGATACAAACCTGTGAGACAAACTATTAGAGCAAAGAGCTTGAAAACACTGTATACACGTGCGCTCAAACAGGACCAACGTCCCTCTGTACCTTCACTGCCATGTGAGAAGAAGCGTCTGGTCAATAATTTCTGGAAGGTTGACTGCAACCCTGAAAACACAACTAATGCAAACGAGTGCGTCTTTCGCAAAACTAGTTAAGTCAGCAGGACATTAAGGTGAGTGACGGATCACATATTCAGCATATAAAACTCAAATCAATTATTTGCAGGCGTCAAACTCAAATTTGGCAGTCGACGAAACAAAACTGCTAACGCTAAAAGGGAAAAGTGCTTTGCAAAAAAGTTTTCTGCTGTAGGTATGGCTGCTTTCATAGGCACTGATTTATTCTGTGCAAAATGTAAATTAGAATAAAGGAAACGGCTAGTAAACAACGGGTAACACTTCACATTAAAGTTCAGTTTTTTAGCATTCATTTAAGTTTTTTGGTATCATGAAGGAACAATGGTGATTGCTTTTACAGTATTAAGCCATCTGGGTTACTGTTCACTTCTTTATGGAGTAAAAGAATTACAAAACTCGACGTCTGCATTATGAATGAACATTAACACAAATCAGTTAATTCTGTAAAAAACTAAAGGAGAAATGGTGATTAATAAAGCCTTTGCATTGTTACTTTAAAGTTATGCTATGGATTTATAGAGAAGAGTATTGCAAGTCGTTTTTACCTCACACATCTTTTTTGCATTGCAAAAGTTTTGTGATCAAACACAAATGCGCAGCAAGCTCATTTTTTAAAAATGTGTTTGCTTTGTGAAAATTAGCAAAAAACTTTGCTGTCATACGGATGAAGATCTTTCTCAATTTGCTGCCTTATTTTGTAATTGCAGCACGTTAAGCTTTTTTTGGAAAACACTAAATTTTGGATGAGAAAATGCTGCTTTGAAGAATGCAAATGTTTTGCAAGAGATTTCCAAAAAAAGTTTTGTGAGCTAATGCAGAATTTCATAAACATGCATATGCTTGCAAAAAAACTTGGTAGCAAATACAAAGTTTTGCAAGTAAAATGCAAATATTATGCAAGCAAATGCTAAATATTTACAAGTGAAACAACTTATTGAGAAATGCAGAGATGTTAAAAGAAAACACTAAGTTTGTTGGAGAAATTCAAACGTTGTGGCGAACACAAACGCTTTAAAACTGAACGCAAAGTTGTTTAAAGGAAGATGGCGCTGATGTACGTGGCATTGTACTGTATTGTTTTGAGAACAAAAGTGTTTCTATAGGACAAAAAAATTCGGCAAAAATGTAAACGCATAAAAATACTCTTCTTAATCTTTCATTCATTCCTCCATCCATCCATCCACTCATTCACCTATCCATTAATCCAATTGTTCATTCATCCATCCATCCAATCATTCACCTATCCATTCATTTATCTATCCATCCTAATATTTTTTTTACAATCACCATCCATTCATTCATCAATCTATCCATCTATTTGTTCATTCATCCATCCTATTATTTTTTTACCATTACCATCCATTAATTCATCTATCCATTCATTCACCCAACTATTCATTCAACAATCCATCTATTCATTCATCCATCCATCCATCTATCCACCCACCCATCCTATAAATTTTTTTACCATCACCATTCATTCATTCATTCATTCAGCTATTAATTCATTCATCCATCCATCCATCTATCCATTCATTCATTCATTCATCCATCCATCGATCTATCCATTCTATTACTTTTTTACCATCACCATTTACTTTTAGGGACGCCATATAAATCATAACGGCCAATAAATGCAACCTAAATCAACTGAACATCACTGCAAAGTGTTCACAAACTACACAAAAGACCCCACAAAACCCCACCAATGCTGTGATTGCAATCATTTATGAATAATTAAAAAAAAAATTAAACTGAAGCCTGCCGCGCTCCTATATGCAAAGTCATTCCTTCATGGCACTAAATCTCTGCATGTGCTCCGAGCTCTAGTCGGGGAAAAAATTGAACATGCTTTTTTTTGTTGTTGCTGGCAGAACTAGTGGGAAAAGAAGCACTGCACGAAACACCTACAGATGGATGTTATGGTTAAGATGAACATCGCTTAAAAAGTCAAAGCAAATGCCGAGCATGATACTTGAAGATTTAAATATGGCAAAAGCGGATCAATCTCCTCCGTGTGCTACATGGCTCAAGATATGTGAAATACTGCTTCAGATTGTAGTTTAGAAAAGGTCTTTGACTGCATCTGCCACAATCATCCGGGATTACTTCAGGAACAGTGTATTCTTCCAGTGAGCGGGTCAATTAAATGATAGTTCACACAAAATGCTTTTCACCCTTTACTTCTTTTGAATCTTTATAAGGTTGTTAAACACAAAATAAGATACCCAGCAAACAATTTTGTGTTTAATAGACGTCTAATAGACATCTAAATGTAGACGGCTTGGCTAAAACAAGGCTAAACTTGGGCTGTCAGTAAAAAAGACATCTAAGAATAACCCAAAACTAGACTAGTCGTCAAAAAGACAGATTACACAGACTTAATAAGAGTAGCCATTTATTTTGGTTCACTTGATGACTATTCTAGTATTGGCCTATTCTTGCCTATTAGACTTTTACTTGAGAGCTCAAATTTAGCCTTGTTTGAGCCAAGACGACTATGTTTATACGTCTATTAGACATCTTTTAAAAACAAAAATTGCTTGCTGGGTACTTTGAAGAATGCTAAAAACCTTTTGTAAGAATGAAAGTAACCATTGAAAGTAACCATTGACTTTCATTGTACTTTTGCGGATCCAAACATTTTAGAGTTTCTTCATTCTGTTGAACACAAGAGAAGATATTTTGAAGAATGATGAAAACTGGTAACCATCAACTTTCCTTGTACTTTTTCGGTTTCAAACATTTTAGAGTTTTTTCATTCTGTTAAACACAAAAGAAGATATTTTGAAGAATGATGAAAACCGGTAACCATTGACTTCCATACTATTTGTTTTTCCTACTATGAAAGTCAATGATTACCGGTCTCCAACATTCTTCAAAATATCTTCATTTCTGTTTGACAGAAAAAAGAAACTCAACAATGCTTGGAACCACAAACATACAATGCCAGTCAATAGTTGCAGATATTCACCAATTTTCAAAATATATTTTTTCAAAATATAATCCAAAAAATGCTTGCAACCACACTGAGGGTGAGAAAATAAGCAAACATTCATTTTTGTGTGAACTATCCTTTTAACAAAACAAACCGTACCCCAAAATCGTTAAATAACAATAAAAATATATATATATATAATCCGGAAAACCAAAATATTCACTTGTAATGTTTACATTAATCATTCGAAAATCAATCAAAAAAACAAACATACAAAACAAATAAACGATCAAAATGACAAAAAAAAAACACCCTCTTTTGTGAGGAAGGCATCGAGTCTATTTTTACGGACGAATGGACCAACCTGCTCTTGAAAGCCGTCTTTATAAACAGCTCACAGAGAGATTTCCCTTTAGAAAACCCCCCACAAAAACAAACTCAACATTTGGAGCGTGGTGGCAGAGACATTCAAAAGTACAGTTCGGGTGTCCGTTTGACACCCCTTAAACCTTCAGCAGATCCTCGTCGCTGTCGTCAGGATCTAACTGGGCTCTCGTCTGGTTTTTATCCCCATATCGGCTCTTATCTTTGCTCCGTGTGTCCACGAGGAGCCCTACCAGATCCTCGTCGCTCTCTGCTTTGAGTAATGCCGATTTTAGGCGTGAGGATGACGGGGCCATTCGGACCCCGGGGACTGTCAGCACCTCATCTTCGCTGTCCTGTTCATCCAGGGAGAAGGAGCGCAGGGCGTCTGCACGGACCGGTTTGGTGGTGATGTGACCGTTCTCCTGTGGTTCTCGCGTCGGGGTCCCGGTCTCCTCCATCAGCCACTCCATCTCATCTTCACACCCGTCTTCATCCATGTTCACCTAAAAAGAGACAGATAGAAAGACAGGAAGATTGACACACATGCATAGTCATGCACATACATATTTGGCTTAATTCGAAGTTACATTTGAACATGCTTAAAATGTTACCCTGGAGTATTTGTAAGATACTGGATTTCCTTTCCTGCAGCAGCTCGACACTTTCTGGATTACAAGTTGCCTAAAAAAATATACAGATTGATATTAAGCAACTAAAGTACAACTTAATAGTATTGAAGTCAAAATAGTGGCTTCAGGGTCCAAGTCGCTACTCAGTTGAATTGATTAAATATTAGTTTATGACCCCTTTTTAGACCCCTATCACACATTAAAGGTGCAGTATGCAAGTTTGACACCCTGTGGTTGAACTAGGTATTGCATTGATAAAAATACAAGCGCAGGTTGCCAGATTGAGAACCAACAGGAGTATGCCTGACTATTAAGCACAAACACTGATTTAAACAGTGTTCTAAATAAAAGCAGCAGCACGCAATACAGGAAACATTCACATATTAAAAGGAGTTTTTGTCCTAACCAACACCTGAAATTCATATTTTAGAAACGGCTTCGATTTTTTGCAGCTGAACAACAGAAAATCTGATGACATGATTTCTTCAGGTACACCTCATGTGCTTTATTCAGTGTTAAATGCTAATAATGTGAGTTTAAATGCCATTTTAGCTGACATTTAATGCCATATACTGAATAAGCAGCAGGAGATAGTTCACCTCAGATCTTGAAAATAAATTGTTTGAAATTGAACTTTAGAGCTGTGACTCTGTGCAAGCCAACACATATCAGTGATTCAGCATATATATTTAATAAAGTTAAAGAAGTTTAGTATATATTAAATAGATTATAAACCTTACAAACTTGTGAGTAAGTGCATATGTTGTGCTTCTGAGTGGCCGTATTTAAATTTCTGTCGTGGTTCGTCTGATGCAAACTGCTGATCACTGCAAATCTCGTGAGGTAGCTTGTTGTTAGGACACGGGGTTATAATGTAACCTGCTCACCTAATGTTTACGCTCGTGATATTTAACATTTGTCTTTACCATAATGGATATTTTTTGCAAGATTGTAGTATTCAGCTTAAAGTGCAATTTGAAGGCATATGTTTATTAGGTTAATTAGGCAAGTTGTTGGATTACAGCGGTTTGTAAGATTCTGCATTTCCCTTCCGGCAGCTGCTTGACACTTTTTAGATGATAAGTTGGCAAAAAAAAACACACAGATGTGAATTCATTCTAAACATGAGAATTGTAATGACTAATTTCTTAAAACTAAACTTAACAACTTAATTAATCTAGTCTAATAACTTGTGCCTTTGCTATAATATTTTATGGATATGTTTGCAAGATACTAGTATTCAGCTTGAATTGCAATTTAAAAGCTTTTGCTTATTAGGTTAATTAGGCAAGTTTTTGGACAGCAGTGGTTTTTAAGCTACTGAATGTTCCTTTCTGTAGAAGCTTGACACTTTCTAGAAGGTAAGTTGGCTAAAAAAATATACACAGATGTGAAATAACTCAAGTACAACTCGTATTCACAGTTGGACTCAAAATTATTAAACAAACTATGATTCTTTTACAATATTTCTCAGGTGCTGTTTAACAGAGAAAAGTTATTTTTCAACACATTTCTAAACATGATGGTTTTAATCATTAATTTCTAATAACTGATTTCTTTAGTTTTTGCCATGATGACAATACATATTTTATGTTTTTTTTTTTTGACAAGATATTAGTATTAGATTTAAAGTTCAATTAAGGGCATAACTAGATTAATTAAGTGAGTCATTAAATAAAAGTGGTTTGTTCAGTAGCCATTCATCAATGGATCTTTTCACAAGCATGCTATGACTCGTTTAACGGTCATCATAATCTTAAAATCTTGAAAAATTTTAATATTTAGATTTTTTAAAAATCATTTGAACATTTATATGCATTTATAAATAGATCATCTAATCTTTGCTTCAAATTTCAAAAAAACGAATTACCGCTTATGCAATGTGTTTTTTAATGCAGCGTCTATGGGGCTGAGGGAAAATTTTGACATGATTCTCTCTTCTGGCCGTCATCAATTCAAACTATTTCTTTTCCTCTTTCTAAAAGTCTTGATAACACCATCAAGGAGTTTTTTCTTTTATTATTTTAACAAATAAGATTGTGAAAAAAATTATTTGTTGTACTCTCCCATTCACTGCGCTCTAAATTTACCCAACCATGATGCCTTCCTCTACTGAGAAACAGGGAATTGTAAAAAGGGTCTAATGTTTATGGTGGTTAAAAATATAGACCTTAAAAAATTATTAAAGAAATACATAATCAAGCCAAACTAAAAGAAATAAGACTTTATCCAGACAAAAGAATATTTCCTGGCTCTGTAAAACATCACTTGGGAAATATTTGAAATAGTATAATAATTTAAAAAGAGGACTAATAAGTTTACACTCAACTTTATATGTCCAAATTGGAAAATATTACATTTATCAAAGTTTTAGTTCACCCAAAAATGATCTTTTGCACACTATTTACTCTCCCTTAAGTGGTTCCAAACATTTATGAGTTTCTTCCTTCTGTTAAACACAAAAGAAGTTATTTTGAAGCAAGCTAAAAACCTGTAACCATTCGCTTCCATAGTAGGAAAAACAAAAATGATGGTTACAGGTTTACAACATTTTTCTAAGCATCGTCTTCTTTTGTGCTTAACAGAAGCAAAAAAACATGGGTGAGTAATGATCACAGAATTTTAAGTTTTGCTACAACTATACATTTACATATTTCATTTACCGTTCATTTGTTTATTTATTTTAGTCACTTCTTTACTTCAATTTGTGAAGGTAAAGTTCATTTGCATTTATCTTATAACAATAATTATTAGACTGATTTGTATGAATTTACCTAATACTGACTTCGATACATTAGAATGTTGATTAACTTATGATGGTTTTCTGTGACTACATGAAATGAACTTTAGGTTGAGTCACATGCTCTCTATACAGTACATGAAGATCATGTGAAACTATGTTTATTATTGAGAGGTTCGGGACGGGGCCTGGGGGACTGGGGATCCGAGGAACAATGATGGGTGTTGTTGAGTATTAGGGCAGAACATCATATGACATAAAGAAATTTTTTTATAACCAGCAGCGCATGCTTTTTGAATGAGTTTCATTGTTCAGACTAATAGAGCAAATTCAATGGTTACAGGTTTTCAGCTTTTTTCAAGATGTCTTCTTTTGTGTTAAACAGAAGAAAGAAACTTGTAAAGTTTTGGAAACATTGCTGTCAAAGGATTAATCGTGATTAATTGCATCCAAAAAGAAAGTTCATGTTTACAAAATATATTTGTGCATACTCTGTATATTTTAATTCATTCATTTTCCTTTGGCTTAGTCACTTTATTCATGAGGGGTCACGACGGCAGAATGAACCACCAACTTATTCAGCATATGTTTTACATAGCGGATGCCCTTCCAGCTGCAACCCAGTACTGGGCAACATCCATACGCACTCATTCACTACAACCAATTTAGTTTATTCAATTCATTAATACCGCATTTTTTTGGACTGCGAGGGAAACCCACACCAACACGGAGAGAACATGCAAACTCCAAACAGAAATGCTAACTGGCCCAGCCGAGACTTGAACCAGCAACCTTCTTGCTGTGAGGCAACAGTGCTAACCACTGAGCCACCTTGTGGCAACCTCTGTATATTTTGTGTATATGAATATATGCATGAATTTATTCTATAAAAAATCTGTTTAAATTTATATAAATCAATAAAACTATATCATATCTAAATATACATTTATCTGTAAATATATTTGTATTTTATTTACAGTATGTGTGTGTATTTAAACATTTAGAAATCAATATACAGTTGATATAAATAAAAACTTTGATCAAATTTGATTGATCGCAATTTGACAGCATTATTTGGAACCACTTGAGCAAGAGTAAACAGTGAATATTTTCATCTTTTTAAGCGTATTAGTGATCAAAACAACAACAATTGAAGATTTTAAAATGATTAGAAACAGAAATCATGCTAATGTTTTGATTTACTGCACTTGTTATGATAAATTATTATTGGGGTTTAATATTTAGCAGCAGTATAGTGTAATATTATAGCACGGTATAGTATAATGATGCTAAAAAATCAGCTTTAAAACAAAATAAATGACATTTTATGTAAATATATTTAACTAAATACATATTCATGCAGAAAGCATTTATTTTAAATGTGAAAAAATGTCACTATATGACCGTTTTATATTTATAAAACCTTTATTATTTTATTACTTTATTGTATTTCTCAATCAAATAGAAGCAGCTTTAATGAGAAAAATATTTGTCTTTCAAAGATAATAATAATAATAATTTCTAAAGTTTCCAAACTTTTGACTGTCCATGTCTATAATGAGCAAGTTTTATTTATTTAGTTATTTAACAGATTATTTAGTGTTTTTGAAACGAGCCTCCTCTGCTCAGGTAAGCTGCTTTTAATAAAAGACATTAATATTGAAAAATATTATTAGAAATAAAAATGTCATTTTCTGTTTAACATAGTTTGAAATGTCATTTATTCTTGTAATGGTGAAGCTATTTTTCTTTTTGTCATTATACCAATCTTCATTGTCAAACGATTACTTTATTTATATATTACTCTAATACAGTGTTTCTCAACCACGTTCCTTAAGGATCCATGTTTTGGATCTCCTTTGTTAGTCACACCCATTACAGGTTTTGCAATCTCTGCTAATGAGCTGATGATCTGAATCAGGTGAGTTTGGTTAAGGAGACATGGAAAATGTGCAAGCTAGTGGTCATCCAGGAACGTGGTTGAGAAACACTACTCTAATATAGCTTTCAATGAGCGTTTTAAATGATGTCTATGTCTTTTACATTACTGTCTATGTCTATAATGAGCAAGTTTTTTTTTTTTTTTTTTGCTGTTTTGCAAATTTAATGGATACATTTAATTTAGATTTTTATAGATATAGATTTTTTCAAGATGTCTTCCTTTGTGTTAAACAGAAGAAAGAAACTTGTAAAGGTTTGGAAGCAGTGCTGTCAAAGGATTAATCATGTTTAATTGCATTCAAGAAAGTTCATGTGTACAAAATATATTTGTGCATACTCAGTATATTTGCATTCATTCATTTTCCTTTGGCTTAGTCCCTTTATTTATGAGGGGTCACCACGGCAGAGTGAACCGCCAACTTATCCAGCATATGTTTTACATAGCGGATGACCTTCCAGCTGCATTGGTTAACTTTAATTGCATTAGTACAGATGTGGCCACTGAGAATGCATGTTTCTTCATGCATAGTGCTGCAATTTGTCATGCGGTGTGCTGCAGCAGCAAGTGCCGCCTTTTTACTTTTTAAAAAAACTTTTTTTTGTACTTTGTGCAATATCCACCAGGCGGGACAAGGAACGACCGCTTTTTCATTGTCGCGCCAGTGCAAGCTTGTGCCTCCCAAATCAAGCAACCCTCCCTCTCAGGGGTGTGTTTCCGAAAACCATCGTTAGAAAACTAAGGTCGATAAATATAAAAAAAGCAAAAAGAAAAAAACATAGCAGCGTCATGGTGGCGCAGTGGGTAGCATGATCGCTTCACAGTAAGAAAGCCGCTGGTTCGAGCCCCGGCTGAATCAGTTGGCATTTCTGCGTGGAGCTTGCATGCTCTCACCATGTTCGCGTGGGTTTCCTCCGGGTGCTCTGGTTTCCCCCACAGGTCCAAAGACATGCGCTATAGGTGAATTGAATAAGCTAAATTGGCTGTAGTGTATGTGTATGAATGCGAGAGTGTAGGGGTGTTTCACATTGTTGGGTTGCAGCTTGAAGGGCATCCGCTGTGTAAAACATATGCTGGAAAAGTTGCCAGTTCATTCTGCTGTGGCGACCTTTGATTAATAAAGGGACTAAGCCGAAAAGAATATGAATGCTTGAATGAATGAAAAACATAGCTAATGATCAGTTTAAGATATTCCATAAAACACCTAATAGCTAGGGGTCTTTTTTTGCATAAGATCGCCGGTATGTTTTCCTTTTGAATTTAAAGGCATTGCATAAAATAATAAAGCAGTTTGAATTACCTCCTGTCTTGTTTGTGCAGCAGGAGAACAAGCAAACAGATTGTGAGCACAATCAACAGCAGGCTAAGCACCGCCCCTAAAGCCTGACTCCGCCCAGAAAGTCCAGCAAGCTCCTCCCCTCCATCGGTGCTGTCTATGGAGCTGGAAGAACTGCAGAAAAAAAAGTCAAATATTATTCATGTGGCAGATCAACAATGTTTAAATGTTCGTGTTTTACTTACATAAATTCACAAACGGTGGAGGTGTGCCACACAAACAGGTACTGGCAGCTATCGGTCTCCAGCAAGAATTCTGGGATGCCCTCTCCCGCCGTTGGGCTACAGTGGAACAGAATTGCTGAAGACACAGTTTTGGTTTTGTCTCTTCCACAAACGGATTCAGACGGAACCAAGACGTCAAGGTTTCCACCTGAAAGAGTACAACAGGAGGACATTTCATAGAACAGATGCAGTGCAGAAACAATATGCATTCGTCAATGAAAACTGTGTTAATAATAAATTTACTTTCAAAATAAGTGAAAGTATAATTTAACAGGAATTTATAGTACAAAATAAACTTAATTTATAAAACAAACTTGCATCCAATTGATTGTAGACGTGTGCTACTTGCTCAAAATAATACAAAAAAGGGTATTACTAAGGCTGGACGATACTGGAAAAAACTGACATTGCAATATTTTCATTCACTGCAATATATATTTCCAAATAAATGCAATTTCACCAGATGACTTGAATAGCTTTTAAAGATTAAGATTATTGTGTAGGGGAGCGTATCTGCATAAAATATCATTTTAAAATGACAAGCATAGTTAAATGCAACAGACAAAAGCAGCAAATGAACAAAGATTTATGATTTTCTGAGGAGTTAAACAGTATTCACTTTAAGAAATTACTGTATTATAATTACAATAACATTTTAATAGAGTACATATGTACATTTAACCTTTTAAGCAACAAACGTTTAATTTATTGTATCCAAATGTTTAAGTTGGCTCAAAACTCTTACAGCCAGGCCTTAAAAACACATGCAAATAATAAACTTTCACTCGAAGGTTAAACGTTGAAATACTCCACTATGGTGTTAACAGTAATGTCAGGTCAACTATAATCCCGACTACACTGCAGATCCCTGCAATGTGGCTACGGCAGACTCCCACATTGTGATATTGATGCTGAAACGATATATTGTGCAGCCCTAGTTATTACTAATATAAAATAAATAAATAAATAAATAAAGAAATAATTATAAAATAGAGATAAAATTCTAATAATTTTACGCAACATTATTTTTGATGTCAATTAAAATATAAAATAAAAAACAAACATAAGAAATGAATCAAACTGTTATTCTTAAAATGTTTTTTTAACAATATATTTTAGCATGTATTTAATTTAAACAATTTACATGAACAATGGAATGAATAAAAAACTATTTAAAATTGTGTATAAATGAATTAATGAAAAGTATTTAAAATGTATTTATCTGTAAAAATAATTAACTATAATTCAGTATTTTAAAAAGTATTTTAGCATTTTTGTTATAAAAAAATATAACAAAGGGTTATGACTATAATAAACAAACAAATAAATAAACTAAAAACAAAATTGAGACATTATATATTATACATTTATCTATACAAAACAATATACACTCACCGGCCACTTTATTAGATACTAATAAAACTGCTCCAACTGCCTGTTAACTTAAATTTCTAATCAGCCAATTACATGGCAGCAACTCAGTGCATTTAGGCATGTAGACATGGTCAAGACGATCTGCTGCAGTTCAAACTGAGCATCAGAATGGGGAAGAAAGGTAATTTAAGTGACTTTGAACGTGACATGGTTGGGGGTGCCAGACGGGCTGGTTTAAGTATTTTAGAACCTGCTGATCTACTGGGATTTTCACGCACAACCATCTGTAGGGTTTACAGAGAATGATCGGAAAAAGAGAAAATATCCAGTAAGCAGCAGTTCTTGGCACAAATGCCTTGTTGATGCCGGAGATCAGAGGGTATTAGCCAGACTGGTTCGAGCTAATAGAAAGGCAACAGTAACTCAAATAACCACTCGTTACAACCGAGGTATGCAGAAGAGCATCTCTGAACACACAACACTCAAACCTTGAGGCGGATAGGGTACAGCAGCAGAAGACCACACCAGGTGCCACTCCTGTCAGCTAAGAACAGGAAACTGAGGCTACAATTCACAGAAGATTGGAAAATTAGAAAAGATTATAAGATTGGATAAACGTTGCCTGGTCTGATGAGTCTCAATTTCTGCTGCGACATTCAGATGGTAGGGTCAGAATTTGGCGTCAACAATATGAAAGCATGAATCCATCCTGCCTTGTATCAATGGTTCAGACTGGTGATAGAGCTGTAATGAGGTGGGGATTATTTTCTTGCCACACTTTGGGCCAATTAGTACCAATTGAGCATTGTGTCAACGCCACAGCCTACCTGAGTATTGCTGCTGACCCTTTATGACCACAGTGTTCCCATCTTCTGATGGCTAGTTGCAGTAGGATAACGCACCATGTCATGAAGCGTGAATCATCTCAGACTGGTTTCTTGAACATGACAATGATTTCACTGTACTCAAATGACCTCCACAGTCACGAGACTCAATCCAACAGAGCACCTTTGGGATGTGGTGGAACGGGAGATTCGCATCATCGACAAATCTGCAGCAACTGCATGATGCTACAATGTCAATACGGACCAAAATTCCTAAGGAATATATTCTAGTACATTGTTGAATCTGTACCACGAAACATTAAGGCAATTCTGAAGGCAAAAGGGGGTCCAACTCGGTACCCGTGAGGTGTACCTAACAAAGTGGCCGGTGAGTGTATATATAGAATTTTTTACCTAGATAATATTTTTGCAAATTAAGATAAAATAAAATAAACAAACCATGAAAAAAAAACAATATTATTCAGTATATTTTAGCATCTTGTACACAATTTATGTGAATAAATGATTTGAATCAAACAAACAATTAAAAAATAAAAAGTGTAAAAATGAAATTAATCTGTGAAAAAAATGTATTAAAATTTACCATTTGAAATAGTATTTGAACATTTTTGTTGTTCTAAGCAAAAATATAAACATACGAGCAAATTATTGCACACCAAAACATTTCCCCACACTGTAATATCCAATACCCTCTTTCACAGAGCTAATCTCACCTTTAATATAATACTTGGCTTTGCTGGAGGAGCCGATTTTCCTGCGGTAACTGTCATTAATCTTGACTTGGCAGATATTGGCACCCAAGCACATGGAAATGGAGCTGTCCGTGATGCCCGACAGCTGGATGTGGTAGATATAGCGGTCTCCATTGGCACGGATGTCTCCTGTGGCATTGTGCAAACTGAGGACAGATAAAATGCTGCTTATTTCATGCACAAAACCTACATGTAATGTGGTCGAGATGTAACGGTATATACAGGAATCATAGGTTTAAGGGATAGTTCACCCAAAAATGAACATTTACTCACTACATACTCCTTTAATAAACATTTAGGAGTTTCTATATTCAGTTAAACACAAAAGAAGATATTTTGAAGAAAGCTAAAAACCACTGACTTCCAAACAAATAGCATACAAGTCAATAGTTACAGGTTTCCAGCATTTTTCACAATATCTTCTCTGATGAAACTCAAACAGATTTGAAACAAGAGAACGGAAAGTAAATACATTTTTGAGTGAACTATCCCTTTAACTCAATACCTCTATAGACCTTTTTTTAAAACTCTTTTTATACATTAAGACCTTATCACCACTTCAGGTTTTCGCCAGTAACATTGGTGACATTGGAACTTAGTTTATTTATGAAATGCTGATTGTAAGAAAGCACAACTAAAGAGTCTTTGCTTGTGATAACTCCTTTTCAATGCAACATAATTCAGAAAGGTGGAAACAAGTGAAGTTTATTTATAAACAAATTTCGAGAGGATCACGTGCTTATGATTGTTCACAGCTGTTCCAACTTTAGCTAACGACTGATTATCCTATCAGACGATCCTTAACTCACTATAAATAACCAGACTTTTCTCATCTTAATATCTTCGTCTTGAAGAAACCCTCCCACCCAACTCTACTTTCCCTCCTTTCAAACGGGCGTCACGGTGAAATGCCCCTGCACAGCAAGAATGCCCCTGGTTTAATTCCTTTCCAAACCAGACGGCATTTCTGTGCGGAGTTTGCTCGTTCTCCCCGTGGTCGCGTGGGTTTTCCCCGGGTCCTCCGGTTTCCTCCCACAGTTTAAAAACAAGCAGTCTAAACAATTAATCCAAATACTTTAGCTAAACTCTGAGTACACCTTTCAGCATCCATATCTGACACTTAGCTACAACAAGCAAGATGGGGAGTCATCGAGATCTACCTGAGCTCAAACTCCCTTCTCGCCTTGCAACGGGAGGGAGCCCAGGGCTCGAGGATCTTATAAGCTCAGGGCTCTCTCCCGGGACAGCACACCAAACTAGCTTTATTATCAATCATCAGCTAAGTTTAAACTCTTGAAAGTAGAGTTATTTAAAGAGCACCTATGGAAATCACCTATAATCATCTTTTGAAAGCTGTCCGGACAGAACTGTTTGTAAGTATAGTGTGTTCACAGTCATATTGAAGTGATACAAATATAATAAGTCTCTTTTTTTATTAACTAATTTTAAAATAGGATCCAAATCCCTGATGAATGAACATAATCTGTTTTTGTGAAATTATGCTACATAAAACATAACTGCACTGAAATAAAACAGAAGTCAAATGCTGCGTCCCAATTTCGCATACTTATACTACGCGTCCTTGTGGTGGAAATTCATTTTGTTTATCTTATATTCGTTTATATATTGATTCATATACATTATAAAGGTCTGTTCTTTTATTCTTCCATGAATGTACGGTTTAGGTTAGACCGAGTGTGACCACTTTAACATCTGTTTATCACCAGACAAGATCTGGATAAGTCCTACATGTTCGGATGGGATGTAAGGCTGAAATGTAGATGGTCAAAAATGAAGTCGAGCGCTGATGTAACTGCGATGTATGTCACTGATGACCTTGTGGGTATTACAAACTAGATAAAAAGAAAACGCACTCTGTTTCTGCATCTCACTCTCTGCAGAAACTGTTGTTGACGTATGATTGTGTGACCTTCTTTGCAAAGAATAAAACTTTGAAAGACACTTGGGTAAGAATTTGTCTTCTTGACCACTGAGAGATCCTCCATAAAGAAATTTGCCACTACAGTCCTAAAAGTACATACTTCTTTTAAGGGGAAAAAAGGGCATATTTTGTGTGTGTGTGTGTGTGTGTGTAACAGAAGAGTATGCAAGCTTTAGGACATCCAGTACTATTTCCTCATTAACAAACCATTATGTTAGTTCTTATCTTAGTTATGTAACCTGTCAATCATCTCAAAACAACATCCACATTTCTTTCATATTTAATTACGTATTGGAGACACAGCAGCAGGTTAATGAGTGATTCGCGAGTCTTTCATGCAGAGAAATCTCCTCAGGTTGTTGCATAATTATGTAAATTTAGAAGTTAATGTCCAAACACATCTTTTTAGAAGTTCACATTTTTGTTGCACATGAAATTTAACGCAGAAAACTTGATTGAAATATTTTCCAGGCTAGATATTAATTGTCATTCAAACACTGAAGTCTCTCTCTTTGATGATTGGTCTCACATGTGTGTAGTTTGTTTACAGTTTTTCCCTTCATTTGTAGATATAATCACTAGAACTAATAATGGGAGTACAGACCCTTCTACACTTTGAATACTTATTGGAAATAGTACACCATCCGGGAACCTTTGGCATACTCTTTTCAACATTCTACGGTCTGACACATACAAATTCTATTTTTTAAATGCTATTTATGACACTGAAATACTAAATAAAAATGTTAATTTGCTGTCTTCAAGCACCTACAGAACAGCAGGAATAACTGTGTTTCTTTGGTTACTGACATAAGCAAGGCTGTCTGATTACTAATCTAGTAGGATTTTATCAATTTCATAAACTACACAACCTCTCAATATTTGCAGACTAAATTCAGGCAAACTTTAGCATTTAACTATGAATTGTATAATCAAAAATAATACCAAATGCAATACCTTTTTAATCCTTAAATTGATTTATCTACTTTTAATGCTTTTAAAAACCCCACAGACTACCTGTGTAAGTTTTGTGTGAAAGAATGAGACATGAGATACTCACCGGTAATAAAGGGCTCCCAAGCTGAACGTGGCTCCTGTTTTGGGAACTTTAATGGTCCCGTTGACCATCTCCACTTCCTCCTGCTTTACAGCACATGCTGATCGAGTTTCCCACTCAAACCAGAACTCACAGGATTTTTCCTCCCTAAAATATAAAAAGGCAAAAATAAGGATTTTATTTAACTCAAGAATTTATATACGTAAACATATTTATTTATGTAGTGTTATTTTAACCATCATCTGCCAAACTCATACTTATACTCATATATATATACATACACACACACACACACACACACACACACACACACACACACACACACACACACACACACACACACACACACACACACACACACACACACACACACACAAGAAAATCTATTAAATGAGACCATTTGAATCAAATATTAGCAAAATGATCATATTTGCACACTATCATAACCTGTAAGCCAACGAGATGTGTTTGTACAACGCAATACAGGTGCTATAAAACTGATTATAATCAAATGAATATTTTCAAAAATAGAGCTTAAGTAAAAATAGAGCACCTACGGACATGATGTACATTTCAACGTTTAAACCAGCCCTAAACTAATCTGCATGTGAGTTACTCTCGACCGCACGCTGAGAGAAGCCGAAAGTAACCCGAACATATAGTACTGTACTTTAAATGTCTAGTAGGTGGGGGGGGGGCCCACAAGTGGCTATATGTGACTGCACAACAATGATAATGATTCAAAATAATATGTTTTGGGGGCCGAATCTCATTATATTTTTGAGGTCAGAGGGAGGAGGAGGGGGGCTACAAACAGCCCACGGGCCGGCAGTTTGAGACTCCTGGTTTATATGATTTATTTACAATACAAATTGTAAAGTAATATTTTCTGTCTTTTACTAAATATATTAAGAGTCTTACTTTGTTTCTCAAACACGTGGCTCGAAATGAATTGTAAACCTTAAATAAAGGTTTAAAAGCTTTATGTTCTTTTATTTCATGTTTTAAGTTAGTTACTGTACTATTAAAATCATTCCAAATAAATCTGATTTTTTTTATGGGTTTATTTATTTATTTATTTTTTAATCTGTCAAACCCTAACCCAATCTTTTTTTTATTTATTTATTTATTTTTTTTTTACAAAAGTAGCCAAAAATGTCTGCCGATTCTGTCTGGCTCTTCTCATAACTCACTTGAACAGTAGTTTGGGATGGCCGAATGTACTTCCACACTTCAGCTGTATGACTGTTTTGGCTGGTTTCTTGTTTCCGCACACTTCGTCGCCCATGGAATAATTGACCAGGATTTTTCCATCTGATGAGGACACAAATTGATGAGAAACCAACAAACTAACAAGTTATGTAAGAGAAGCTTTAAATCCGCATACCGATTAACTCCATGGTCTGCGTGTGAACCCGGCCCAGAGTCTCTGTTTTTCCTCCGGCCAGTCTACGGCACACAGCAGCCTCCGCAGCACAGCCCGGCTGACCTCCGTGAATGGCCTGACACAGATTAAAATAATAGCTGTGGAGAAAAAAATAATTACAGTTATTAATCCATTAAGTTGTCAACTGTATTAAGGAGTACAGTTAATAATTTCATACATAGTCAACAGATGCTGGTGTAATATTAATAATTCCATTCATATTTAACAGATGCTGGTGCAATAGTACACCAGGGCTTTATTACTGATTAAATGTGCTACGTTCCGATGAGTTAAACATGTCATAATTTTACAGTACTTCAAAAATGTGAACAAAAAAGCCCAAAACATGCAGACATTTTGACTGACATAACCAGTATGGCTGCAAAAAATAATAGTTCTATACACTGCTCTGCTTATATTAGTGAATAACAATATCTTAAGAAAACAAATTTAATAAAGCAGCATTCTGAAAATTAGATTTTTTTGCACGCATAAATACATAAATACTGTTTATACAAACATATAAATTAGATAAACCATCATGAAAACACTTGATACCATACAAATAAAAAGTTATTAATATATAAATATACACACATAAATATAATATATATTATATTTATGTACATTTGTGCTTGTATTTTTAATAATCATTTGATTTTTTTTATTTTGTTGTTTTATTGTTGTTTTTTAATCAGTCTGCACAATGTATATATTTTTTTTGTATTATTTTAGTTTTATTCTTGAATGAAACCTAAGTAATAAGTTTTTTTTAATATGTTATTTGGTTGAAGTCATTGTATTATAAGCAAAGTTATAGTTCTATGGTTTTAGTTTTGTTGATGCTTTGTAAAAAAAAAAAAAAAAGGCACACATTTTATGTAAAAAATCATAAACAAAAATAGCACTTTAAAAGAACAAAAAAAAAGTAATGATACTATGTTTTACTAATATTAGTTTAATCAAACCGATGTCTATAATAAAATGTACAATTGTATTATTGTCTATATAAATCTACATTTTTTGTTTTAATTATTTAATTTTTAACTTTGAATGAAAAAAAGAAACGTTTAAATAAATAAAATTTTACATTTTAAAATAAAATTAAACTTTTAATATGTTTTTTCTTCGATTAATGTGATTGCATTATACTGTAGGCAACATTTTAGTTATAAAGTTTTCATTTTGTTAATGCTGTGTGAAAGAAAATAACAATTGTTTAAATTTTTTAAATGTAAAAATTAAAAACAAAAATACTGCTTAAAAAGAGGAACAAAAAAAAAAAAAAAAAACAAGGCAGTGATCATATGTTCTAATATTAGTCTAATCAAACTAATGTTAAAAATAAAAATGCGCAACTGTAATATTGTGCATTACCTATAGGGGATATGTCCAAAGCATTTTTGCACAGCTGAAAATGCCAGCGCTCTACCAAAAATGCTTAGCCGTAAGCACTTCTCCAATTGTCAGAGCATTCACAAAATGGCACACAGCTGGCTTTCTAAAAAAGTCAACCTTACACTGATCAGGGTTCCCATGCTTTCATAAACAGCAGATTCAAGTCTTTTTAAAGCACCAATCATTTTAAATCAAGCAGCTTTGTAATTCATACCCAGCATATGAAGAGCTGTCCATATGAAGTCCTCATTGTACTTACCATTTGACTTTCACTTAATATTTACATTAAAAATGTTAAGAGTAATTTTCAAAAAGTTTCTTGAAAGAATTTTAATTAAACGTGTTGGATCAAATACTGGTGATATTTAAATGAGGTTTCTGAAGTATTGATAAAATGTGCATTATTTGTCAGTGTTATTGCACAAGATTTAAATGTTTTAATAACCAAGATTTTTGATTTAAGATTTGTCTCAGTGTTTTCTTCGGTTTATAACAACTGAGTACAACTGTTAAAATCAAACCATAAACAAGTTTTATTTCAAATATAATTTTAGCACTTTCAAGTACCTGTGTTTGTTTTTTAAAGTTCTTTCCACACTGTAAAAAAATTCTTGCTGCTTAAATTTTTTTTGTTGAATTGAATAAGCTTTTTTAATTAATCAAACTGACAAAAAATATGAAGTTGAACTTTGTATAACTTAATTTTTTTGGTTGAAACCTGTTTAACTTATTAAAACAAGTTAAAGCAACATAATAATATTTGCTGTCTTGACTTTTTGTCATTATTTGTTTTTAAAGTGCAGGCCTTGAATATATATATACTGTATGACTGAAATTCAAGTACTTTTCACAAAGCCTGATTTATAACAACTGAAAACATACACTTGGTGAAACCTAACACAAACTCAAGAAAAAAAAGACTCCATGGGACATGCATTCATATTGTCATACATTCACCTCACATGACAGAGCAAATAAACCCAAACAGACGAACAGAGGTGAAACTCACGAGTCTTGGCCATTGCTGAACTTCCAGGGCTCTGTTAGAGAAGAGAGTGTGCGCAGGTCGTAGGTTTGGTGTTGTCCTGCCAGTTTGCACTCCATCTTTCTGGGTGGACAAACCACATTGGTTCTCCACTGAAAAGTGGCAGAGCAACCCTGGGTATCGCTGATCAGCTGTGGACTTCCACGACCCGCCGCTCGATCACAAGTGAACAAGATCGAAGACTGACGCTTCCCTTGCACACCTGTGACACGCAGAAAAACATCATCTTAAAATGAAGCACATTTACTTGGCATGAACACACATCTAAATAAAACATTCAAATAAACAAATAAAATATACATCAAATGTTCAAGTTACATGCAAACAAACTGCAGAAACTAATAATTACACAACAGTTTTTAAAAATGACTCATTTAATTACAACTTATGTAATTAGCACTATTTGCCTAAAAAAACTTACATACATACATACAATTTCACATTTCAAGTGTGCCTAAAATTACTTATTAACGTAAAAAATTGTTTATTTATATTGTTTTGTAAAGACAAACTTTTTAAATTAAACAAGTCTGTCATGTTGTTGACAGAGTTCTTAAGGAGGAAACAAACAAACAAACAAGCAAGCAAGCAAGCAAGCATGCATACATACATACATGCATACATATATATATAATTTATTAATTATTATTAAATTTATTAATTATTATTACTATTTTAATATACATATTTTATTAGCTCAATAAATTATATGATTTACATAATGAATCAATCATACCGTCAGTACAAAAGCCCCATTTCTTATCTTTGTTATAGTCGTTTGTAGTTGCGCACCACTTCCTGCCATCAGTCCTGCTTTCAGTTGTGCATTCAGTGTAATTGTTACTCAATATCATAAAGGGAAAAGCGCATACTTCATGTTTATCTGTTACTGAAAAACATAAACAAACAAACAAACTGATATTATTCATTTAGGAAGAGCTAGATTTGCAACTAGATTATTTAGTCAGATTCCAACTTAGCCATCAACCTTGATTGATTGCAGTGCATTCTGGAATTACCTTAAAATACAATTTGGCAAAAAGGATGCCTCTTAAACTATACTTCATTTGTTATTTTGCAAAATAAAATGTCTTAAGTGTGTTTACATAAGTTCAAAGATTATATACGCTCATGAAATGTTTTGATTAACATTAGTATGTATAGTTTTGTATTATTATTTGAAAGATACTTAATTTTGCTATTTTTAATCTTGTTAAAACACTTTCTTAAACAAGAATACTTAAACAAGAACACTATGAATAATCAACCAATTTGACACATCTTGTAGACGGCGAGACTTTTTAGAAACAAGAGTATTTAATTGGCCAGGGGATACGATGAGAAGGTGAAGTGCTTGGTAATGATTATAAATAACTGATTCTTATTGGCAGAAGTGTGAAACTGCCATTTTTGAAGGTTTATATCGCGTAAACTCAAATGTTGGAGCATTCTAACTTACAAATAACCTTAAAAATAACATATTGGCATCTTGTCTTTATTGTAGTTTGTCCTACTAATTTTTTTAAATTTACTTTTTCTTCCCTGTAATTGTTTTTTGATTTCTTTTTTCCACCATCACTGTTATGTCATGACATGCATGACTACAGACTGTTTAATTATTGTATTTGACCCTAATTATTGTGTTAAGCTGCCTTGGGATGTTCAGGTCTTGGGTTAAAATGAAAAAAAAAAAAATTGAAAGGAGGAAACTGTAATGTTTACTGTTGTAGTAATTGGGGGGGGGGGAGTACACATTGATGCTAACACCCTTTAATTTTGATTTCTGGGTGATGTAAAACTTAAATACATAATAGGGCTGTGCGGTTTGAAGAAAAGATCTAACTGGGATTTTTTTTTTTTTTGGCAGATATTGTGATTTCGATTTGATTTGTGATTTAGATTAGATTGGATTCAACTTTATTGTCATTACACATGTACAAGTACAATGCAACGAAATGCAGTTTAGGTCTAACCAGCAGTGCAATAGCAGCAAGTGCAGGATACAGGAATAAGTTATAAAGTGCAGTTATAGAAAAACTATGGTGATATTTACAGATGGATGTACTATCAAAATTATATACAGGTTGGATAAGCTATGAGCAGATTTACAATATATGAATATATGTGCAGGTTGCTATTAATAATCAGTAGTGTGCAGATAGATAAACATGATTACAAGTGTATATGTTACAATATATGAATATATGTACAGGGATAGATGAACATGATTACAAGTGTATATGTTACAATATATGAATATATGTACAGGGATAGATAAACATGATTACAAGTGTACAGTATATGTTACAGTATATGAATAGATGTCCAGGGATAGATAAACATGATTACCAGTGTATATGTTACAGTATATGAATATATGTACAGGTTGCTATTAATAATCAGTAGTATGCAGATAAATAAGCATGATGACAAGTGTATATGTACAGTGGGTGTGTACATAATTACAAATGCCCATATGCAGTGGGTATGTACAGTTCAATAAGTAAACAGTTCAATGTGGTGCAGTGAATGTGCAAATTTTAAATGTGCAAATGTTAAACAGTGCAGTTATTGCGAGGAGTTTAGGTTAGAGGAGAGTGGGGGGTGTATTGGGGGGCAAAAGAGTCAGTGGGGGGCAGAGTTCAGGAGGGAGACAGCTCTGGGGAAAAAGCTGTTCCTCAGTCTGCTGGTTTTTGTCCGGGGGAGCCTGAAGCGCCTGCCGGAGGGCAGGAGAGAAAACTGTCTGTGAGCGGGGTGAAAGGTGTCCTTCAGAATACTGCGTGCTCGGCGCAAACAGTGTTTCTTCTGGATGTCCTCTATGGCTGGCAGTGTGGTCCCTGTGATGCGTTGGGCAGTTTTCACCACCCGCTGCAGTGCCTTACGCTCAGCAACAGAGCAGCTTCCATACCAGACTGTGACGCTGTTTGTCAGGATGCTCTCTATTGTGCAGCAGTAGAAGTTCACCAAGACGGCTGATGAAAGCTGGTTCTTCTTCAGTTGCCTTAAGAAGAATAGGCGCTTGTGAGCCTTCTTGATCAGGCTGGAGGTGTTGGTGGTCCAGGAAAGGTCCTTTGAGATGTGGGTCCCCAGGAACTTAAAGGATGAGACAGGCTCAATGGCCATCCCATTGATGTGGATGGGATCATGTGAGCCTGTTCGTCCCTTTCTGAAGTCCACAATGAGCTCCTTGGTCTTGTTGGTGTTAAGGAGCAGATTATTGTCGGTGCACCAAGTGGCCAGATGCTGTATCTCCTCCCTGTAAGCCGTCTCATCATTGTTGCTGATTAGACCAGATTTAATTTTGTAGTCTAATTTGCTTGCTACTAGATTGAGTGTCACCAGCAATACTTTTAGTTGACTTTTTAGCAAGACGCGTCTCATATACAGTAGCCGCCTGGGGTGCTTTTTAGGTGCTGGTTATTGTATTTCTTCGTGCTGTGGCAACAATTCTACGACAGCTCTTACAAATTACTTGGTTTTGTTTGGTGTCTGATTTTGAAACAACAACATTCCCATATTATCGACATGCTGTTTTACATTGATATTAATTTGTCTGTTTGTGTTTCTGAAGCGGCAGATGCCATTATCCCACTCATTTGTGTTTTCCTGTTTGTATGTTTGTTTTTATTGTGGATGTTCCGCATAGTTCGGTTGTGCAATTCTGATTGGGCAAAACGAAAGTGTGCTCACTCAATTGGGTAATAAGACCGTCTCACACAGATGGCAGTTAAATAATATTTCAAGAGTTCACACTTCGCTGATGATTTATAAAAGCTTGTTTGGCATGCTGTCCTGGGAGAGAGCCCCAAGCTCAAGGCATCCTCGAGTCCGGGGCTTCCTCCCGTTGGCAGAGCGAGAGGGGAGCCTGAGCTCGGTGGATCTCAGAACTCCCCGACTGCGATAGCTAAGGAAACAGAGGGGTTAGACAAATGCTTGACTGTTATACGTGTTGAATGTCTTTGGATGGTGAGAGGAAACCGGAGAACCCGGGGAAAACCCACGCGGACACGTGGAGAACATACAAACTCCTCACAGAAACACCCACCGGCCCTAAGGGACCAGGGCCGGCATTGTTCTTGCTGTGGGGCTCGCAGTGCTAACCACTGGGCCGCCGTGCCGCCCAATCAGAGGTAAAGGAGGAGAATAGGGGAGGAGGGGGGTTTCTTCCAAACGAAGATAAAATGAGCTGAAAACTGTGGTTATTTATAGTAGCTTAGGACTCATATGATTGGAAGATAGTGATTAGCAAATACAGGACCGGCCGTGATAAATCATAAGCACGTGATCCTCTCAAAATTACTTTATGAATAAACTTCACATTTTTCATATTGCAGCCCCTTGTGATTACAGGGTTTCTGCAGATATCAAAATGTCAAATTTAAGGCATGTTAAGACCTTTTTAAGATTTATATCACAATATCAAAAACACCCATACATACAAAAGAGAAAATGCAAAATCAGAAGTGCTAAAATAAATGTATTCAAATTGAACAGTACTAAAGACAGGTTAGATGCACCATTAAACTACTGTAAAAACAAACAAACATCTTAAGGCTGATTTATACTTTCGCCTCACGCACCCCACTAAACGAGGCGTTTAAACTTGACGTGTTCTTCATTGAGTCTCATTGGGTTCATTGGGTCTAAAGAAACAGACAGTAAAATCAGACGTATAAACAGAGAAGTAGAAAGTTTCCGGAGCAAGGTTATATTATTAATATCATTGAAGATTCTTAAACTAATTGTTTTTTATCATTTTTTATAATTTATTATAATTATTATAAAGATTTTTATAACCATTCAAGATTTTTTAAATCAAACTTTGATGCAACACTTGCTTTTGTTCATATCTTGGACAGTTCTACCTATTAAAGTTTAATACTAATGACAACAGAGCATATAGCATGTGTTGCTCTACAATTATTTATTTTGGCAAGAATAAAAACAAATAAAAAAGTACACTTACAAAAAAATACTGAAGCTTTTTGGATTTTATTTTGCCCACTCAACAATTCACACTTTACTGTCTGGCTAGTTTCTGTTTTCTACTTATAAGCTAAAAAGGCAATAATTGTCCAACATTCCTGACCATCATCACTAATAAAGCCTAGAACTAGGGCATCAGTATACTGTAAACTGATAGGTTCATATAATCCTTTCCAGATATCAAAAACATAATTTGTTACTTCATTTTTGTTTGCAACTGGTAAATTGTTTTAAATTCAAAATTGTAATATAAACATCAGTGTAAAACTTGTGAATGGTGGAAAAACATATTCTGTAAGATTAAAACCACATGGGTCTCCACTTTTGCAGGGCCTCTTTTTTTGTTTTAACAAACTTATCCCTCAGGTTTTTCCAAACTTTCACAAAAACTTTCCTCCTTTTCCACAGCGGTTGCAATTTCTAGCCAAGAATTATTGGTAATCTGGTTCTTCCTATGATCACGCATGGACGGATCATAAAAATGTCTGTACAGTAGAGCTGTAAACCTACACTAGTCTCACGGTTCGGTTCGGTTATGATTATCATGCCATCGATTCGGTTCAATTCGATATTTCGGTGCCTCACGGTGCATTGACGACGCTTTCCATACACAGTTTTATATTTTCTTCACAGCAACAGTTCTTGTATTAAAATGTATGAATATATTTATATTTATATATTATTTGTAATACAATTTTGTCGTTTAATACAAACAGTCAGATATATAAACTGTAACTTTAAACAAAACAAGCATTAAGCAAATAATATAAACAAAAATAAACATCCAGCTCAATTTCTGATCCTTGTCTAGTTCTCTTACACCTCTTTGATTGGTCACACCCTCAAAATAACGGTTGCTATTGGCTCTTGCGTGCTGCGCTCTTCAGATAAGTGATACTGATAAGCGGCAGGCGGCAGCGGCGATCTCACAGCTGATGCATGATAGACACGGTGGAGAAAACTCTGCAGACACGCGCTCGTTTCTGTATCCAAATGTAATGCTGTAAAACAGCCGAGAGGACAAGAAAAGCCACCCCAGCAGGTCAAATGGGCCACTGGGTGTGTGTGAGAAAGAGAGAGAGAGACAGAGACAGAGCGAAAGCGAGAGCGAGAGAGAAAGAGAGAAATGGAGTAGGCTACTTTCATTCTCTCGATCTCAGTGAAATAGGGGCTATTGTTGTATATGTCAGTGAAAGACTGATCCAGCAAACACACAGTGAAATTGTGCACAGTTTATGAGTTTTAAGTAGTTAAAGCGCTGTAAATACTCGCGATCGCCTCCCTTGCGATAGAGCGCATATGAGGTAAATGACGTCAGTAATAACCGGTTATGATTATTACTGAACCGATACCGAATTGTCCGCGTCTGCATCGCAGTGTACCGAAGAAACGATTAATTTTGACACCCCTACTGTACATACCTGTTTCAGAGAAAATCTCTACAAAATGTTTCATATTCAACTCAAATCAAATGTCTCAAAAAATTTAGTGAGCTCCGCCAACCGAAATCATGTCGCACACACCCAAAGCTAACCTCCGCAAACACGTTGATGATGTCACATTCGCTGTGGCACCGAGTTCAATAACAGAAAGCTGATTGGTTATTGCATGTTGGTCTCATTTGTAATTGTAATACCGCAAATTACATTTGGACAAGTGAAATAAAGAACTACAACACCATGAAAACCAAGCAACAACAAACAACAAAACAACAAAAAAGAATTAATAAATGAGCATTAGATGTAGCGTTACATGGACATCGGAAAAATAAGACCTGTGCAAAAATATTTAGGACCTGGAACAGTGAATTTAAGACTTTAAGACCTCAAATTTCGATTTTTATTTTAAGACCCTGCAGAAACCCTGGATTAGCTAATCGCAATGTTTCAAATCACGATTGCGATTCGATTTCTATTAATCGCACAGCCCTAATGTATATTATTTAAAAAATGTAATTAAACATGCATATATAAATACAACCAAGCAAAAATAAAAGTTAAATAAATAGTGCTTTATGGTTTTCTGGGCAGTCTAACAGCATTCAAATACAAAAATGTAACAATCAAATGTAAAATAACATAGTTGTCAATGTATAAATGACTATTGGAGACACATCTATTGTAATATCGATGCTACTTAAATAATGCTCATACACTCTTTGCAACGATAGAGAGACTCACAAACCCCCCCAGTCGGATTCCAGGTGAACTACTCTCTGAAAGCAAATGTAATGAATTTGCTAATTTCTTTACTGATAAAATCAATAATATCAGAAAGGCAATCAGCTCATCCAATCAGCCAAGTTGTGTCGATATCAAACAAGCTCAACCACAACTTAAGAAATCAGACATTATGTCTGATTTCATGGCAATTAATGGTAAAATCTTAGAAGAGATTGTGCAAGTTATGAAAACATCAACCTGCAGTCTTGACACGCTCCCCACATCATTCTTAAAAACGGTGTTTACCTGTTTAGAAATGGATCTTCTAAAAGTGGTAAATGCTTCACTTCTTTCAGGGATTTTTCCAAACTCACTTAAAACTGCAGTTGTTAAACCCCTCTTGAAGAAGAGCAACCTGGATAACACCCTATTGAGCAATTACAGGCCAATCTCAAATCTCCCTTTCATTGGCAAAGTCACTGAAAATGTTGTTTTTAACCAGCTTAACAAGTTTTTAAACTTAAAGGGGTGTTTAGACAATTTTCAATCTGGTTTCAGAGCACATCACAGTACAGAGAGCGCTCTTATAAAGATAATCAATGATATACACCTAAATACAGATTCAGGCAGGCTAACAGTGCTGGTATTGCTCGATCTCAGTGCTGCATTTGACACTGTCGATCACAGCATACTTCTGGATAGGCTGGAAAACTGGGTTGGGCTGTCTGGCACGGTCCTCAAATGGTTTAGATCTAACCTTGAAGGTAGAGGTTACCATGTCAGTATTGGTGACCATAGGTCGAGGTGGACACCCATGACATGTGGAGTCCCACAAGGTTCGATTCTGGCACCTCTCCTGTTCAACCTTTACATGCTCCCTCTGAGCCAAATAATGAGAAAGAACCAAATCTCCTACCACAGCTATGCTGATGACACTCAGATCTACTTAGGCTTACTGCCCCATTTACACCCTCTGCCAATGCATTGATGAAATTAACAATTGGATGTGCCAAAACTTTCTTCAGATAAACAAAGAGAAAACTGAAGTCATTGCGTTTGGGAACAGAGATGAGGTTCTCAAGGTAAATGCGTACCTTGGCACTAAAGGTCAAACAACAAAAAATAAGGTCAAGAATCTTGGTGTGACTCTTGAGTCAGATCTGAGTTTCAACAGTCATGTCAAAGCAGTCAGTAAATCAGCATACTATCATCTCAAAAACATTGCAAGAATCAGATGCTTTGTTTCCAGTGAAGATTTAGAGAAACTTGTTCATGCTTTTATGAGCAGCAGGGTGGATTACTGTAACGGCCTCCTCACTGGCCTTCCTAAAAAGACAGTCAGACAGTTGCAGCTCATCCAGAACGCTGCAGCCAGAATTCTAACCAGAACCAGAAAATCAGAGCACATCACACCTGTCCTCAGGTCTCTACACTGGCTCCCAGTTACATTCAGAATAGACTTTAAAGTATTATTACTGGTCTATAAATCACTAAATGGCCAAGGACCTCAATACATTACAGATATGCTCACTGAATACAAACCCAACAGATGACTCAGATCTTTAGGATCATATAAACTAGAAGTTCTAAGGGTTCAGTCAAAGCAGGGTGAATCAGCTTTTAGCCACTATGCCCCTCACTGCTGGAATCAGCTTCCAGAAATGATCAGATGTGCTCCAACATTAGGCACATTCAAATCAAAACTAAAAACACATCTGTCTAGCTGTGCCTTTACTGAATGAGCACTGTGCTGCGTCCGACAGATTGCACTATTATGTTTTTCTCTTCTTCTTCATTTTTTTATATCACATTTTACTTGTTTTTATGTTTTTTAATCAGTTTTATTATTTGTTTTTATTTTTTTTACTTGTTTCTTTTATTCTTGTTTATGTAAAGCACTTTGAATTGCCACTGTGTATGAAATGTGCTATATAAATAAACTTGCCTTGCCTCAAACAATAAATTGTTCATCCCTACCTTGAGGACAGGGGTCTCCCCCGCTGTACTGCATTATCACCGACTGCTCTTCTCTCTTGTAGTCCAGGTTCATGAGTTTAGCGTTCCCGTATGAAGCTCTTGAGCCACTGGAAATCAGACACACTGCACTGTCTTTACAAGTCGTGTTCGCCACAGTCCCACACACGTTGATGCTGAAAGAGCCAGAAGTTACAGGAACCTAAAAATGAAACACAATCCAAACATCTCAACAGTTACCCTATTAATATAACACAATATACAGTAACAACAGTCGTTGACCATTGTGCTGTACACAAATTGCATAAAATGATCAGAGAAGATTAAAGGAATAAAACAACATTCAATATAGGGCTGTATGATATCGGAAAAACTTGAGCTCAATATTTTGTTTTGCTGCGATATATATTGCGATATGAATATAGAATTAGTTCACCAGATGATTTGAATAGCTCTGTTATGGAAAGATTTTATTAATTTAGATCAACTGGGATGATCAAGTCTTTTTCTATGCAATGCATCTGCATACATTAGAATAAATTTCAAGCATATAGACATATATCAGTTATTTTATAGTGCAATAATATTTCACATTTTTACAATTTGTACTGTATTTTTGATTAAATAAATGCAGCCTTGGTGAGCAGGAGAAGCTTGTTTTAAAAATCCTACTGACCCCAAACTTTTGACCGGTAGTGTATACATATTTAATATTATCCTTATCTTTTAATCCTTAATAAATAATCAAATAATCATGTGATGCGAGTATTGCGGACTAACCCTAACACAATACATAAAACATGATTCCGGTATTAAAAACCTTTTCTTAAAGGTGAAGTTTCAATTCCCTTTAAGCATAGTTTCTGTGGAGATTATTCTAACAGAAAGAGGTCGACTATTTGGGACCCGAAATGGGGAAAACCCGGTCTCCCTTTTTCTTTCATTTGGATCTAGGAACCATAACAATTTCTGACTTGATGACCTTAAACATCTAGCAGATATAATAATAATAATAATTCCTTACATTTATATAGCGCTTTTCTGGGCACTCAAAGCGCTTTACACAGTGGGGGGAATCTCCTCATCTACCACCAGTGTGCAGCATCCACCTGGATGACACGACGGCAGCCATTTTGCGCCAGACCGCACACCACACACCAGCTGATTGGTGGAGAGGAGACAGCGATGAAGCCAATTGAATATGGGGATGGTTAGGAGGCCATGATGGACAGAGGCCAGTGGGCAGATTTGTCCAGGATGCCGGGGTTAAACCCCTACTCTTTTCGAAGGACATCCTGGGATTTTTAACGACCACAGAGAGTCAGGACCTCGGTTTAACGTCTCATCCGAAAGACGGCGCTCACTGAGCAGTATAGCCTCCCCGTCACTATACTGGGGCATTAGGACCCACACAGACCGCAGGTTGGGCGCCCACTGCTGGCCTCACTAACACCACTTCCGGCAGCAACCTAGCTTTCCCATGTGGTCTCCCATCCAGGTACTGACCGGGCGCAGCCCTGCTTAGCTTCAGTGGGTGACCATGTGAGAGTTGCAGATACCTGTAGCTAGCTGCCGGCAACAGATATGGTAACAGTCACAAGACCAGATACATAAGAAGGTGCCAGACCATTACAAATAATTATATAATTATATTATATTTAGAAATTATATTCATATAGCAATATACAGTCAAAATGATTCACGCTGCAGTGATTTCTTTTCTCTTTCAAATATTTCTCAAATGATGTTTAACAGAGCAATGAAATTTTCACAGTATTTCCTATGATCTTTTTTCTTCTGGAGAAATTCGTTTAGTTTTTTTGGCTGTAATAAAAGCAGTTTTTAATTTTATTAAAACCATTTTAAGGTCAATATAATTAGCCCCATTTCTTTCAATTGTACACAGATCAAACCATCGTTATACAACGATTTGTTGTACCCTTACTTGCCTAATTAACCTAGTTAAGACTTTAAATTGCACTTTAAGCTGAATACTAGTATCTTGAAAAATATCTAGTCAAATATTATGTGCTGTCATCATGGCAAAGATAAAAGAAATCAGTTGTTAAAAATGAGTTATTAAAACTATCATGTTTGGAAATGTGTTCTGACTTCAACTGTGTATCGTGATCAGATTTTCCCAATATCGTGCAGCCAAGCTTATGAATACATTTCAAGAATTTATAAAAACATATTAATTATTATTTTTTAAAATTTCAGTCTATTTTGCAGTAGAAGCCTCTCTTCTCTATCTTACCTGAACAGGTCCAGTCAGTGCTGAGAGGTCAAAGGTGTAGCGCAGCTGAGAGACGGTCAGATTGCAGCCCTGCGCCTCGATGATCTCCGGACAAACCACAGGAGTGGCCCATTCAAACACATACATGCAGCTGTGAGCCCGAATCATCCGAGGAGAACCCTGATGTGAACAAACACTTACACTCAGGTACAACAGAAATTACGGCAAAAAATAAAAACTGTACCAACATCCATTCAACACAACTGATTACGGCTGGACTATATGATAAAAATCCCATATCATAACATAAGTAATGTCATATCCTGATAATAAATTTAGTGCCATTTCTGCAAATTAAATTAATTATAGGTTTATATTTTAATTAATGTTTAATATGTTGAATAATTATTATTATTAGGCCTATAATATTCAAAATAACACTGTACTACTTTTTGTATTTTGTCTTTTATCATCTTCTCTATTTTTACACTGTTGGTTTATTTATAGATCTATCCATCTATCTATCTATCCATCCATCTATCCATCCGTCTGTCTGTCTGTCTGTCTATCTATCTTTATCTGTTTGTCTGTCTGTCTGTATCTATCTATCTATCTATCTATCTATCTATCTATCTATCAATTTATCGTTGAAGTCAGAATTTTTAGCCCCCCTTTTGAATTTTCTTTAAATATTTCCCAAATAATGTTTAACAGAGAAAGGAAATTTACACAGTATGTCTGATAATAATTTTTCTTCTGGAGAAAGTATTTTTGTTTTATTTTGGCTACAAAGTGTTTGTTCTTCAGTTATTATTAGTATAATTGTGTCATGTGAGCTCATATTTTTATTTTAAAAGTATTTATGTAAATAATGTATTTTGTGGCACCATAGAGTATAATAAGAAACGACAGATTTTTTTATACTGATGACAGTAATGTCTTACCAGCTCTGCTCCTTTCTGGCAGGTGAAAATGATCTTGGAGGAGTAGTTGGAGGTCCGATTAGAGGCGCAGACAGTTGTGCTGCTGAAGGTGATCTCCACCTCTTTAGATTCACTGTTATAGCGAGGAGGAGATGTGATTCGTCCAATGTCCTGCACAGAAAGGAGAAAAACAATAAACCTGCAACACTGAAAAATCTGTTTAAAATATGTCTCTATAGACAATGGTTAATTAGGTATCAACTACTGGTTCTTGGAATCATATTTAAATACTTATAGATTGACTGAAATAAATATTAATCAGGGCTACATGGTGGCTCACTGGTTAGCACTGTCGCCTCACAGCAAGAGAGTTGCTGGTTCGAGTTCCAGATGGGTCAGTCGGCATTTCTGTATAGAGTTCTCCCCATGTCGTTGTGGGTTTCCTCCATAGTAGAAAGACATGCGGTACAGGTAAAGTGAACTAAATTGGTGGTAGTGGATGTGTGTGAATGAGTGTGTATGAATGTTTCACAGTTTTAGGTAACCGATGGAAGGGCATCCGCTGTGTAAAACATGTGCTGAATACTGGAATATGGTTCATGCCGCTGTGGGGACATTTTCTTAAAACAAAAAATTAAATTCTGACTTAAAACACATAAATAAAAACCTAATTAGCTGTTGTTTGTAGTTTGATGTGAATTAGGCTTGAAATACCACTATGAGACAATATTTGAAACTGTACAAAAATAATTAATCCTGTAAAATTACCTTAAATAAAAAGTATTTAAAACAAATTAGTTATTACTACAAATTTAAAACTATATAATAATAACAACATTATTACTATAATAGCTAATAATATTTCAACATATAATACTAATATGGCTACTATTACTATTAATTATTATAATAGACATGACATTTTACTTTAATATTTCTTATTTCCACTACTACTAATAATAATATATTAATTTTATACTAAGCAAATTTATTTTAACTTAACCATCCTTTTAGCAAATCAATCCACCTTTTAAAAACAGTTCACTTACGATTGGTTCTCCATTAATTAATCCTGTAATATTTCATTATAATTAAAAAGTATTTAAGAATATATTATAGTTACTTACACAAAAGAAAGGTAACAAAATAAGAAACATTACTATATTATCTAATTCTTCAGTGTAATACAGTACTAAAATGACTACTACTACTACTAATTATTATTATTATAGACATGAACATTTATTTTACTATTTATTTTGTACTGCTACTACTACTACTACAACTAATAATAATAATCATCATCAAAATAATAATCATCACAATGGTCCCACTTTACAATAAGGTTTCATATGTATTTCTTAACATGAATTAATTATAAACCCCACTTGTACAGCATTTATTAATCATGGTTCAACATTTACTAATGCATATTAACATCCAAGTTCATGCTTGTTAACATTAGTTAATGCACTAGTTATGAACAATGAACATCTGTATTTTCATGAACGTTAACTGACGTAAACAAATACTGTAATAAATGTGTTGTTCATTGTTTGTTTATGTTGGTTTATGCATTAACTTACCATAATCATAATTAAAATGGACATTACATTTTACTTTATTATGTCTTATTTCTTCTTCTACTACTACTACTACTACTACAACAACTACTACTACTACTAATAATAATAATAATAATAACAATAATTATATCAATATTAATACTACTACTACTAATAATAATAATATTAATGATGATAATAATAATAATATTATAATTTTTCAAAACTTACTTTAACTTATTAACCATACTTATTTTGCAGACCAATACACCATCCAAAAAAAACAAAAACAAAAGTGGAGATTATAGTTTGACACAACACTTACAATTGGTTCTCCATCCACAGGGTCCATGCACACAGCGGCCCCTGGAGGACAGTTGACCCTTGGGATGGGGTTGAGGGGCTGGCAGATGTTAATGTAGAAGTCAGGTGATTTGTCCCGGTCCACATCCTCATCTATAGCAGTGTAGTAACCGGTTAGGTGTATTAGAGGACTGAGGTCAATCTGGTTGGTACCGTTCCAAACAGAGCACTTCACCTGCAAATGAGAGACAGCAAATTTAAAGGGCACCTATAATGCAAATCGAGCCGTTTGGAGAGAATTGTGTGTAGGTATAGTGCGTCCACTGTCATGTCATAGTGAAGTGAAATTAACACAAGTCTCTTTTTTTAAATTTGCTGACTTAAAATAGGAGGGAGAAAGGCATGATGCTAATTTGCATTAAAGGCACAGGCTACAAAAACTGCATCACACTGCTTTGAGCACAAAATGGGCATATTCTGGAAGGTATAAGAAATGATCTGAAGGGCATTTTAAGCTGAAAATTTACAGACACATTTTGGAGACAACAAAGACTTTTATTACATCTTGCATTAAAGGGCTCCTATTTTACTCCTTTTGCAAGATCACCCGAAGTGAGGTTTTCAGTAGAGATTCAATTCAATTCAAGTCAGCTTTATATGTATAGCGCTTTTACAATGTAGATTGTGTCAAAGCAGCTTCACATAAATGGTCATAGTAACTGGAACAGTGTAGTTCAGTTTTTTAGTGTTTAAGTTCAGTTCAGTTTAGCTCAGTTCAGTGTGATTTAATCATTACTGAGAGTTCAAACACTGAAAAGCAAATTCATTGATGCGTAGCTCTACCAATCCTGAACCATGCGAGCCAGTGGCGACAGCGGAGAGGGAAAAAAAAAACTTCACCTGATAAGAGTGAAGAAAAAAAACCTTGAGAGAACCAGACTCAGTTGGGCACGACCATTTTAATTTCTCCGCTGGCCAAAAGTCTTGTGCAGAGCTTCAGTCGCCGTGGTGATGCATCGATCGAACATCTAGAAATATGAACCGCTGTTTGATTCGTACTCGTAATCAGGACTTCGTGTCGGTCGTGAAACTGTATTTCAAGTTTGTAAAGTACACCCATCGTAAATTTATCAGTTATATTCAAACAGACAAAGGAAATGTCGTGTCTGTGTCTGTTCTAATCACAGATTTTGGAATTGTACCCTTGTAAAATTACAAGTACGTTCCGTTTTCCTTTGCGATTTTATAATTACGGATGTGTAAATTTTATTCACGCACGAAATATTTAAGACAGTGATTTTATTCCATGATATTTAGCTTTATTTTGTTTATCCGTGCTTGTAGATTGTTTAATATATTTTATGCAGATGCACTCTGTCTTACAGAGTCTTCCCAATCAGTCTAAAATGATGAATTCTTTTCAAACAGAGATATATTTAAGTCATCTGGTAAAATCATATCCATGTCACATTATATAAAATCGCAGAAAAACAAATTAATCGCAAGATTTTCATGCAGTCCTACTTTAATTGTCACAGATTTCAGTGCATTTCTTATTCAAAATTTGAAGTAATTTCAACTGAAACACGAAGAGAGGGTGAGGCATAGAGTAGCTATGCGTTATAATAGCTATAGCAGCCAATAGTGTTTTGTTTTTATCACAGCTCTGTCAGTAAAAGTGGTTGATCACTGTTCATCAAATAAAAAATCTAATGAAAAGTGTCTTGAAGGGGGGCATTTCAGATACTAGAACATTTGATTTGGTGATGTAATAAAAAAAAACACTTATACATTTCAGAAGAAGTGATAAACTGCCAGTTTTGGATGTTCATATCAAGTTTATATCCTCTAAATGTGAATTTCGTCAATGTTTTGGACCACACCAGCTTATAGACATCCTTAAAACTAACATATTAATATTAAAATCAAAAAAAAATTTATTTTAATTTAACAGGAGGTATAAGACTTTTGGTTACCTGTTGTTCGCAGACTAGAGGAGTGTGCCAGGTGAAGAAGTGAGTGCAGGTTGTGTCGTCTGAGTAAACCAGCACGGGTCCATCAGTTCCTCCTCCTTCAGACTTGCAGACGAAGCTAAAGATGCTCTTGTGTTTGCGGGAATTTGTAGAGCATGCATCCCCGTCCTCATAACTGAGCTCCACCACCTGATTCTTATAAACCAGCTTTCTTGAGGCTTTTCCAGCACTTATGGCCATCTGATTGTCCTTGATGCACACGCCTGCGCCAAAAAACAAAACAAAACAAAATAAAATGTTAGCATTAACAAGTGTGGTTTATACTTGCTTAATGCTAAAATATTTTTTGAAGAACTAATTGAATCCGAGTTGCTCAGTAAAACCAAACCACCTCTATATTCTTAATAATAATTTAGGTAATAGTAAATTACCTAAATAAACAATATCTTTAATTTGTTATGCTTCTATAACTTAGAATAATTAGATATTACCAATAAAATACTTTAATAGTATACTGTATAGCAAGGGTCACCAACCTTTTTGAAACTGAGCTACTTCTTGGGTACCGTTTAATGTGGAGAGCAACCAGTTTGATACACACTTCTCAAATAACAAATTTGCTCAATTTACTTTTAATTATATATTATGTTTATTAATTAATGATATTCATCCTAGGTGAAGACACTGATCATATTAATGATTTTTCATAATAGTTGTCAATAATAATTTAACAAGGAAGGAAACAGAGAAACATCAATATGCAACACTTTATTTCTATAAATCTCAGCAATATTTACATTTTTAAATGATCACTTCTACAATATTTTCACTAATCACTAACAAATTTTAACAAATCTTGCACTACGTTGTACCATGTTTGTACAGATTATCAATTCTATAACATAAATCAACTTTCAGATTTTACTAAAGTTATCACCAAATCAACAGTAATTTAAACATGGCCGACACTCTCCCAACCATTGTAGTTGCCCAGAGTTGGACATCAGAGAGAGAGGAGATTATATCCGTTCCTGTCTTTAAGCACAGATTTTGCCTTCCAATATGAAAATGCCTTGTTTTTCTTAATAAAGAAATGTGTAGCTCGAAATGAGGCTTCGGTTTTTCACTGGTCTTATGAATAAAGGCTGCTGTTTGCACAAACCTTCCTTTAACTCACAAGCTTTTTCCACTTGTAGTGCCCATTGGGTAGTTAGCATGGTAGCTTATGAGACACATTCTGAAATGTCTTTTGTGCCACTTTGCTGTCGCCATAGTCACCCCACAAATTATGTAAAAAGAACTTTTCCTCCTATTCACTGTTTTGTAACTTATGTGTTTTCTTCTTTTTTCTACCATGTTTTCGGTGGTAAATCATCTCTTCCCATTTACTGCGCCCACTTGCAGTTTCCTTGACACTGTTGCTGTGAAGACCAGCTGGCTAATATTTTTTTGTTTTATATATATATATATATATATATATATATATATATATATATATATATATATATATATATATATATATATATATATATGTAAAACGATGTTATTTTCAACTTTACTCCAATGCAAGTGTGAAATGAAAATAATAGCTACAATTAGATGAAGCTTACTGGTAAATTGCTATGATAAGCTATTTTTAGAACAGGCCCGCAGGCAATTCATATGGTCCTGACTGACACACGCACGCACGCACACATGCATTTATAAATCTTCTATAATTTAAATCTGATTATATAAATTAATACCGTATAACAAGCTATAACTTTAATTTTATATATTTATCATTTTTATGTATTATGACATTAATAAATAAAATTATATGCACATACTGTAAATTATTCATCAATTAACTTGTATTGAAATAAAAAAAGGCCAATTATCTCTATGTATAGATTGAAATAAATATATACTACCTGACAGAAGTCTTGTTACCTAACCAAGTATTAGGAATAACAAATAATAACTCCACTTCTAGTTGATCTTTTTGTATCAGAAGTGGCTTATATAAAAGGCCTCTAGATTACACTTATTTTACCAAAATAAAATGATCATGCCTTAATATTTAATTATTTAATTAGGACAGTAAGATCTGACTTAGCAAAAGTCTTGTCACTTACACAGTATAGAATATAAAATCATGGTGCCGTGGAAAAAATAAATTATATTGTGCATGGCTGCCATGAGCTTTGAGGACTACATCCATACATCTCTACAATGACTCAAATAATTTAATAAAGTCATCTGGAATGTCAAAGAAAGCGTTCTTGCAGGGCTCCCAGAGTTCATCAAGATTCTTTGGATTCATCTTCAATGCCCCCTCCATCTTACTCCAGACATGCTCAATAATGTTCATGTCAGGTGACTGGGCTGGCCAATCCTGGAGCACCTTGACCTTCTTTCCTTTCAGGAACTTTGATGTGGAGGCTGAAGTATAAGAAGCAGCGCTATCCTGCTGAAGAATTTGCCCTCTCCTGTGGTTTGTAATGTAATGAGCAGCACAAATGTCTTGATACCTCAGGCTGTTGATGTTGCCATTCACACTGCAGATCTCTCGCACACTCCCATACTCAATGTAACCCCAAACCATTATTTCTTCTTCACCAAACTTGACTGATTTCTGTGAGAATCTTGGGTTCATGTGGGTTCCAAGAGGTCTTCTGCAGTATTTGGGATGATTAGCATGTAGTTCATCAGATAACCCATCAGAATTAATCAGATTCAAAATTTTCCTAATGATCAACTAGAAGTCAAGTTATTATTTGTTGCTCTTACAACTGGGATTGATGACACGACATTTGTCAGGTAGTGTATAATTATAAATAATTTTAACCAAACAGAAATTGTTGCTGGTTAATAAATAGAAAACATGTCAAATAAATTAATTAAAAAATGTAGTTAAAATACGAATAGGGTTTACTGCTTTTTTATGTAATTGTGTGGTAAAGCCAAAGATAAATTTTTACTAGTGGAGACTAAATAAAGTCAGAAAAAATATGAAATTAGATTTTTTTTCACTCTTTTTTTTTTTTTTTGCTGAATAACCTGCCCATAGGCAAAGATACAGTACCTGTTCCAGTAGCACAACCAGCATTGATTATTTCACCACACACATTCAGTCTGAACATCTTTCTGTGTGATTCAGGATCATAAACCGTATATCCACCCGCCCGACTGAGCGCATTAAGATCAAACAGATGACCTGTGAAGACCAAACACATGATTTAGGGACAGACATAAATAAATCCACTTGCTAAGTATAAACATCCGGTTACACATGCATGTTTCTAACATTGTTCAGAAAAGACAGGAAGTGTCTGGACAAGATGATTCAGTGTTTCTGGTTGAGTCTGCTCATGAGCGTTTTCTGCTCGTGTGTGTGAGTCACCTGTAGCAGGATTTGTGACTTTACAGTCTCCATGCTCAGTGCTGTTGAGAGGACAGGCTGCGGCTGTGAACCATACGAAGCTGTAGACACAGTTTTCCAGAGCTGTGATCAGAGTGGGTTCAGAATCCTGCAGACAGACAGAGATTATAGGTTATAACTTTTACATTTACTCACACTACAACTTTTTTTTAATTGCATTTATTATATTGACTGTATATTAAGTAAATAAATTTTATTTGAACAGACATGAGAGCTGAGTGATACCCAGCCTTAACACTAGTATATAGTTAAAAAAAAATAATTGTTTCTTCAAAATCTAAATATTGCATGAGGTTTTTTTTGATTGTCTACTCTCTTAGGGCTCTAGTTCAATGATCTAGGCGCAAAATCTAAAGCGCATAGCGCAAAAGCATTAGGGCATGTCCAAATCTACTTTCGCTATTTTAAGGATGAAAAAATATGGTCTGCACCCCAGCGCATGGTCTAACAGGGTTGAGCTTATTCTCTTAATGAGTTCTGTGCATGTTTTGAGCATAGCCAAGTCAGAGTCTCATCTCTCATTCCCTTTAAAAGTCAGTTGCATCACTTCATGGCGCATTTACTATTTACATGACGGACTTTGTAAGTGGAAAAACTGAAAGCTTCACTAGCAAGAAAACAGTTAAACAGACCATCTGCAGTGCAAGGATAAAGAACAAGCCTCCTTCATTCGGCCTCTTTACTTTCTCTTTACTTTATTCCTTTACTTTTCTGGTGTAAAAAAAAGGTGGAAACTCACTCCACTAAAGACATCCATTAGCCTACATATGTAATTTGAGTTGTTGTTTCAAAACTATTTATAAATTCATTTCTATTTTACAACAAACGAATAAATGAACAATAGTAACAAATTGTGACAAAAAACTGAGTTATATCCAAACACGCAACATGTTCTTATGCCCCATATGGTGATGCAGACGTCTCCAAAACCTGACAGGTGGACAAATCTAAACATGTTTTTATTAAAACAAATATAAATATGCGTATAATAAATAATACTGCCAATAGTGATAACATTATACAAATGCAAATTGTCATGAATAAACTGAAAAAAAAGCCCCCCCCTAGAGAAAGGAAGCATGGAGGCAGGGGTTTTTATATTTATGAAGAAAATAATTTTGTTAAAATTTTAATCCTTTAATTGTTTTCATAAGTAAAGATATTTGTGTATTGCTGTGCATCCTGTGTGTATTAAGCAATGTGCAAGCGTTTGGACCCACATAGGCGCATAACTAACATGCTTTGTGCTGCACTTTAGACAAGCTTTTAGTTGGTCAATAGCGCGGTCTATTTCAGTTCCTCAAAACAGCATTGCACCAACAATGCGCCTTAACACACCTCCTTTATAGACTAGTACACTCATAAATCCACAAAGTAGCGCAAATGGATTTACTTATTAAACAACGTTGCAAAAAACTTGAAAATTAGGGTTGCGCTGGTATGAAAATAGCAACAAATCACGCCGTACACATCTTACCCCTTATTGTGCTGGGTGTATGATAGGGCTCTTACGAGTTTTGTTTTTCTGCTAAGGTTAAAAAAATAAATAAAAATAAAAGAAGAAAAAAATAATAACTCGTTAAAAAAATTATAATTGGTTTATTATTTATTAAAGTATCAGTGTCAGTTTAAACCACATCTTCAAAGTGACGTGATAGATAACAAAAGTTATGAAAACTCATACTTTATGCTTTATTAAAATATATAATTAAATAATTAAATAAATATTGAAAAAAAAATGTTGACATAAATTTTATAAGCATTTCTAAGCATAGTTGTGTTTGGAGATAGTAAAACTATTAGAGTTTGAAAATTAAGTAAATTGAAAATAAAATCATTAAATAATAATTTAAAGGGATAGTTCATCCAAAGATGAAAATCCTGCCATCATTTACTCAACCTTTTTTAAACATTATTTGAGTTTCTTTCTTCTGTTAAACAAGAGAAGGAGATATTTTGAAAAATAGCTTGCACCCAATGACTTCAACAGTAATTTTTTTCCTACTATAAAGTCTATGGGTCCCATCAACAAGCATTCTTCAAATTATCTTCTTTTGTGTTAAGAAACCCAAAAAGGTTTAAAAAGGATCATTTAAAGAGTTAATAAATGACGAGGTAATTTTCATTTTTGGGTGAACTATCTTTTTAAATGTCTGAAACCTTTATTTTATTACTTTAGTCAAAAAGAGTGCCTAAATATAAAAGTTTCATTTTAAATCTGGAAGAAACAAAAAATAAAATACAAATATGTATATATATAAACACTTTAGTGTTTCTATTTGTGATTTTTCACTAAATACATAAATATTCAAATCACAAACCACTTTGTCTGGATTGCATTTGAAGCGAATAATGGTGGTCCGGTTTCTCTTGCCATCAGGACAGGCTTTTCCGTTGGTATACTTCAGAACCAGGACGTTTTTATCCCACTGTGGACCAGACTCCGCCTCCCCCAGGTTCACATACTCGTCCCCATCCTTCAGACAGGCTGCAGCACTGGACGGGCAGCTCCACAAACCTGAGACAAACACCAGTTATAAAAGCCAATGCTGACTGATAAATATACGCTAAACATGCTACCACTCACCTGTCTGAGGGACCAGAGACTTGCACACATTGATATAGTAACGCTGCTTCTGATTCGATGATTCTGGCACAACAATCCAATTAGATTTGTGCAGGGCCAATGAGGAGAGATCGTAGGAGTGGCCACTGCCGTCACTGCCAGACAGAGAGGAGTGATATTATTACAGGTGATTTAAAAAAACAAAAAACAAAAAAACAAACAAAAAAAAACAATATTAACAATATTCATTCATTCATTCATTTTCCTTCAGCTTAGTTCCTTATTTATCAGGGGCCGACACAGCGGTATGAACCACCAACTATTCCAGCATATGTTTTACGCAGCGGATGCCCTTCCAGCTGCAACCCAGTACTGGGAAATAACCATACACACACTCATACACTACAGCCAATTTAGTTAATCCAATTCATCTAAAGCGCATGTCTTTGGACTGTGGGGGAACACGGGGAGAACATGCAAACTCCACACAGAAATGCCAACTGGCCCAGCTGGGACTCGAACCAGCGACCTTTCTGCTGTGAGGCGACAGTGTTAACCACTGAGCCACCAAGCCGCATACAATGTATTTTTCTTTTTAATACAGGGTTTCATCAAGTGAAATTTAAGACTTTAAGACCTTTTTAAGAACATTATGAATTAAATATTTCTTCGAATGGAAAAGTAATGAAGTCTTTTCAGTCCAAAAGAAAAAAAAATCTTTCTTAGCTACATTGTAAATAGTGTATCAAAACAAACAAACCCTAGTTGCATAGATACACATTTTATCAACATAGATTTATTACTTTTTTAAATGATGAGCTTAAAAAATATATAATAAACTAAATATAAATAAATTTACATTTACATAGCCAAAAAAATAAGACCAATTTAAAATTATTTAAGACTTACAAGAGATTCTGTCAATACATTTTTACAACTAAAATTCCATGACTTTTTTCATGATTTTTTCAAGACTTACAAGTAAATTTTCATGACCTTAAGTTTCATGTAATCAAATCAAATCATTTTTATTGTCACATCATTAGCAGCACGTGTGCTATGATGAGTAAAAAGCTTAGGTGCTGGCTCCAGGCAGTACAAAATACAGTATTGTATTTGCAGTTGAGTGCAAATACAACGATAGTGCAAAATACAGACAGTGCAAATACAACAACAATGTGAAATTGACAGCGATATGTACAATGAATAGGCGTCCACATAGTTGTAGGCAGTATTGTTTCAAGTATGGATTGGTTAGTGCAGTGCATGTTAGATATTGATATATATTGCTACATATCTACATATGCGTGATAAAAAAAAACAAACAATTATTGTAAAACACGCAACAATCTATTTAGTTTCAGCTTATATTCATATCTATGTAAAATTGATTTAGATTATGCTTACGCCGCACTAATAATGTGAGAGTATGTGATTGGCCAAGGACAGAAAAGAAGTAAATAACCTATATCCAAGTATACAGATATCGGTTTTCCATGACTTTTCCAAAACTTTGTGGGTTTTTCTGTTTTTTCAAAACTTTTCTAGGCCTGGAATATGCCAAAATGTCATGACTTTTCCAGATTTTCAATGACTGTATGAACCCTGTATTGTGAATACGAGCAGTTAAAAAAAAATTTAAATAAATAAAAAAAAATGTATAATGCATTTCCACTTCCTACTAAATTAAAGCTAAAATGTCCCAAACAGGATGCTGTAATGTTTTGGATTTGAACAAAATCACAGGTACACAATCACGTCTTCAGCCTGCAAGTGATGCGCAAACACTGGTGCATTAAGTAACATTTAATGTTAGCCTTTATGAATAAAACAATGTTTTATGTAATAAGCAAGAATAATGCAAAAAGTGTTTGTTTCAAGTAGCAAAAATGTAATGATCAGGATACCACCTCCACCTCGGAAAAACCCTGACTAATGTAGATAGTTGTATTTAATGACTGTTGGGTGAATTACATTATCATTAAAAAAACACATTGGCTGATTAGTAGCAAGAAAGTTGCTCTCACTTGTAGGAGCAGGTTGTGGTTTTAAAGGAAGGGCAGGCCAAAGCTGTGTGCCACTCAAACAGATATGTGCAGTCTGCGGTCTCCTTTATGAAATCTGGCTTACCCTGACAAACAAAGAAATAATAAATTAATTAAAAAAAATACAAGAAGAAATTCTTTCAAATTTGAATTTCTGAAAGAAACTCACAGGATTCCGGCTGTGGTCACAGGAGAATAGAATAGCTGTGGACCGCTCGTAAATCTTGTGACATGTTTCCCCGTTTGTATAGTTGATCATAATGATCCCATCGTCAAACGTGAGGTTTTGATTGGCTATTCCTGCAAATGAGTATAAAAACGAGAAAACCTCGTGAAAGCACAGACCAAAACTGATTCTAATCAATAACTCTCAGCCATTTCCAATACTTACATCACGTGTGTGTGTGTGTAACTTTCAATGTTTAAGCCCATAACCATTTTGATTACGTGTTTGTTTAAATTTTGCTAAACCATCCATTAAACTTAAAACTGGAAATGGCTAATTTTAGATCTCCCCTAGAGTTAAACAGTTGAGTTTTACCAGTCTGAATCTAATCAGCTAATATCTGTGTCTGAAAACACTTAACTTTTAGCTTAGCAAAAAAAGTTATGATAATTTTCCTATTTGAAGCTCAACTCTTGTGTAATTATGTACTAAGGCCCACAGAATATAGCTGCTATTTTCTAGGTAAATATGAATAGGAACTAATCTTATTATGGCGTAATAATGAAGGAACTTTGCTGCCGCACCATGGCTGCAGCAGGAGAACTGACCCTATAAAATGATTAAAATTAGGCTATTTGAAAATTAAAGTGTTTTTAGAGGTAAAAATCATTTTTATTTTGCTTGTATGTTTTTATTTATTTTTTTAACTCTAATGCCACGTTAGCTGTTGACTGGTCCTTGTTAATTCATACAATGTCACAGTTTCAGAGGAAATATTCATGAGTTTATGAATATTCATCAAAAATGATAAAGAATGAATCAAATTATCATTCTTAAGAATGATCGAATCATTTTAATTGAACATGGATCGGATAGACCATATACACACTACTGGTCAAAAATTTGGGGTCAGTACGATTTTATATGTTTTGAAATAAGCTTATCCTGTTCACCAAGGCTGCATTTAACTCATCAAAAATACAGTACAATTTTGTTAAATGTTTTTGCATTTTAAAATAACTGTTCAAAAATAGTTCATCATTTAATTTAAGAATTTATTCCAGTGATTTTAAAGATGAATTTTCAGCTTCAGCATTTTCAGTCAGAGCCGCACGATCCTTCAGAAATCACTCTAATATTAATTATTATTATTATTAAGGTTATTATTATTATCGATGATAATTGTAATAAAAGCAGTAATGACTGAGGTAATAATTTTATTTGAAACTACATACAATAAGAAAGCAGTTATTTAAATAAAAAAAAATTTAACAATATTGTAAACATTAAATAAATTCTGCCTTGATGAACAGAATAATGTTCTTAAAAAAAACATGGAAATATATATATATATACTTATATATATACACACTTATATATATTTTTATATATTTACTTATTTATTTATAACCAAAATTTAATATTGCTGTTTTTAAAAACTTTGCTTTGTACAGATAATTTTTTTGGGCGAGTACTTAACTGTTTTACTTATAGAAAATTCTGGATTGGTTTAAAAATTGATCAAAATTACCAATAATATTACACTATAGCTGCACGATATTGGGAAAATATGCGATATGCAATATTGTTGTTTAATATTACGATAAAAATATTTTTAAAGATATTACTAAACACCTTAAAAAAACACCTTTTTATAAGCAAGTAAAAAAAATTGCTTAATTTAGGTAATGACCATATACAAATTATTAGGTAATAAATATTTTTTTTAAAATAAATAAAACACCACAAATAACTGAAAACCTTGGTGAAAATTCTGATTCTTATAGGCTGCTGTCATTTTCCTCTCTTGTCTCCCAGCACAAGTATTTATTTCCACTTAACAGGAATTACTGATGAGGCAGAGATAATAATAGTAAAGGAGCCATCTGATTGTTCAGACTTGAATATACAACTGACATGTGCATGCAGCAGATAAATACTTGACTTAATAGTAAATGCAATATCCATATCTCAGAAAAGTGCAAATAATTATTGTGATAATTTTTTGATATATATTATGCAGCCCTAATCACTACATTGACGTAGCTCTATTAGACATTAAACAGCTCACCTTGATAACAAACAGAAACAAATAAGCTCACCTGCAATCCTGTGCTTTTGGTTCTCGACCTGACAGGAGGACACAGATTGGCTGGCATCGTGAAGGCAGACAGAGGTTGTAATTGGGCCACAGACTGCGAAATGATACTCATAGGTCGAACTCTTCACTTCATAGTCCTGTCCAGCCAACGGTGTGAGATTGTACTCATAACCGCTCTTGGGGTCTGTGACTTTGCAGTTTTCACCTGTGACAGCAGAGAGCAGCTAAAATTAGTCAAAATCCAAGTATTTTTTCATTGCCTTCAAATGGACTGACTGTTCATCTTACCATGGACTCTTTTGATTGGGCAAGCTTCTGAGGTTCTCCAGATGAAAACAAACTCACAGCCATCTTTGCGATCGAACATCGGTGCACCCTTTTAACAGAAGAAAGGAATAAAGGTTAAAGAACAATATATATTTTTTTTAATATTGGAGAAACGTTCCATAATTAAAATACAACAATGCTGGAAAATGATTTTAAGTCACTTATGATCTTGCTATTTGATCTTTCGGATCTTTTGATCTTTCTGCACGGTAATTAATTTACACTACTATAAGACGGGGCAAGTATGATTTTAAGCTTTAGCCTTTGTTTACATTAATACGTTTTAGTTTTTAAATGGCGTTTGAGAATTAAAACGATCCACGTTCACACAGGCGTTTCACACTGCATCGCTGAAAATGCACATCACATAACCACACACACACTCTGGCATGCGCTGAGTATGCGGAGTTCTGAGCCACAGCCAGTTGGCGGGTGCTGTGAGCACACCTCCCCAGGTGAGAGCAGTGCACGCCGAACAGTTCATCGAGGATCTACCTCTGGATCTAATCTCACTACAGTTGTCAAAAGCAATATTTAATTAATCTTGTCTCTATCTAACGACTCGTCTTTTGAATCTATTACTTTTTCTATTAGGTAACGCGTTTTGGCTGAGCGAAAAGATAAGTTTATATATTAATGTGACCACGTACACTGATTCTGCACATTTGACTGATTGCTTGTCTTTATTTCCCATCTTGGATAAACTTATTGTGTGTTATACTTTTACAATGGTCATTATTGATTGTGAAACCTGGAATTCAGCAAGAGAGAGGATATGTTTCATATTTTTCAATAAAAATGAAAGGAGGCAGTTATGTTATAGGCTTCGTTTTGTTATAAATATGCATACAGTAAAGATGACTGTGTCAAGTCTTGAACTGTGCGTAGGCTATTTAACGTTGAGGAAAAAGCACCAATCAGATGTCTGTGAATGTCTGTCAGAAACAGGATGTTTTACAAAACATCGCCAATTGGTGAAGTTTTTTTTCCTCGCTGCTGTCGCCACTGGCTCGCATGGCTCGGTATCTGTAGAGCTATGCATCTATGGATTTGCTTCAGGTTCAGCTTCCAGGCTCCGCCGCTGAGACTGCAGCTCTGCACAAGACGTTTGGCCAGCGGATAAATGAAAACGATCTTGCCCAACTAAGTCTGGTTTCTCTCTATGTTTTTTTAATTCTTCACTTTTGCCAAGTGGTGAAGTTTTTTTTTCTTGCCGCTGTCGCCACTGGCTTGCATGGTTTGGGATCTGTAGAGCTACGTATCGATGGATTTGCTCTTCAGTGATTAGACTCTCAGTAGTGATTATTAAACCACACCGAACTGAGCTAAACTGAAGTGAACTTAAACTCTGAAAACTAAACTGACAATGTTTCTATTTACTATGATCTTTTATGTGAAGCTGGTTTGACACAATCTACATTGTAAAAGCGCTATACATATAAAGGTGAATTGAACAACACGACATGTTTGAAACGCCTCTCAGGCAAAATGCTCGGGCATTCTGTCTGCATGGTGAAACATCAAATTCTCCAAAACTTTTTGCTAAGCTTACGATTACATTACACTTTTGCAATCACCAATAAAATGAAACAACAACCGTCTCATAAATTTAGTTTCTAAACGATCAAACAAAAAAATCTGCATTTTTTCAGGTTGCCCGAGCTAATGCACATGCGCACTCATCAGGAACAAGATCACAACATTAGCTTCATTTATGGCCATTCTACACATTATCATATTTTGGACAATGCTTCATCTGATTGCGCTGTAATCCACAACTTGGTCTTAATAGCGAATCTCCTCCAGAAATGGCAGCGACTCTTTGTTTACGAGTGTGTGGCCGGTTGAGTAGTTGCCGTCATGTGATGTGCATTTGACAAGACTGGTGTAGCTTACGTTCATTTCATACAGATTACAAAACCAGAAAACGTTTGTTTTCAAGTGTAGTCGGATCAATTAAAATGACAGATTTCAAGCTTTATTTGGATATATTTCTTATGTCTGTGATACTGAGATTGCAGTGCATTTGTTGACCACCAAACTGTCATAAAAGCACACGTCTGGTCTGAGCTTTCCCCACCGGAGAAAGATCAGTCTATAGCAATCGATGGTAGGCTCCTGTAGTAGGCAGGGCTTCAATCACCATATTGACCTTTACATTTTTCCCCATTCAAAACTATACTGGTGACACGTCTTGTGTATTTTATAGTCTTTGGTATAGAGTGACATTCAAATACCAGCAATAAGAAGGTAATGTACATCTTGTGCACCTACGTACTGATACATCTATGGTTAATAAACAATTTTAACAAAACAAAAAAACATTCTAGATATCTAGAAATAGCCCTCCCATCATATCATGCTGTGTAACAAGGACATAGATTTATTGCTCATTTGTAAAAAGTGCTATGGAGAAAAATCTTTTATCACTTAAAAGAGAAATATATATGCTTACAGGACTGTCATCACACTGGAAGATGATTCTGGTGGAGTAACGTCCTGATGTCCCACACTTGTCCCCGTTCAGATAAACAATACTGATGGAGCCGTCTGCTGCGGCCTGGAGGTTTGACTGCACGTATCCCAAATTTACAAAACTGCTGTTGATTTGTCCGCAGGCTCCAATTGCACCAGCTGTCAACAACACAGGACCATTCATTAAATGTGTGTTCATTAATGTGCCAGCCCTTTATCTGGCACAAAATGAAATGTGCACATGAAATTTATTGCATTGCATGGAAGTCACTATGGAAAACAAATCTCCTGGTATGCAACGGTACTCCAAACCAGGCTAGAAACAAGGTACTTTCCAGTATCGAGCCGTACAGTTTTCTTTGCTTTACCTTTCCATTCCATGTCAATCCAGTTCAGTCAGCATGGATACAATTGAATGTTCCACTGATGTGCTGATAATTGAAGTATTTGGAATATAATACAAATGTGCCAGCCATTGCCTTGATAACGCAAGTGTAATGTAAACAGTGATATAGACAATGATCAGATATTTCTGTTTTTTTTGGCACTATATAAAATTTAAATAAATAGCACACTTCCTTTTCACATTTGGCACCGATTCAAATGTGTGGATCATTTATTCTGACATTGACTGCATTGCACGGAAGTCACTATGAAACTAATCTCCTGGTATGTCATGGTACTCAGATCCATGCTAGAAACAAGGCACTTTGAAAGCCACTCTCATCAATTTAAGCTTAATGTTCCACTGTTGTGCTGATAATGAAACTCTTTGGAACGTAATACAAATGCGCCAGCTATTACCTTGGTAAGGTAAGAGCAATACAGACAATGATCGGATATTTCTATTTTTGGTACTATATGAAATATAAATAAACAGTGCACTTGTCCAACCATACCAAGAAATTCTGTCCTCACATGGTCATACTACTGGAACTGACATTTATTCTAACCATTAGACAAAATAGTGGGAAATCGGCTCTCAAATCTGCACTGTAGACACTCACCAGGGCAGCCCTGAACACGAGGCAGTGGTTTACACACATTTACGTAAAACTTCTGAAACCGGGCCTGATCCGAGGTGTCCAGAGGAACATATGACTTCTCATCCAGACTGAGGTCACCCAGGTCATACTCCCGGCCCTGTGAATCTGGAAATGAAAGAGGAATTAGTTTGACTTTCATATCCAAATCATGATAACAGTGATACATAAATGGCACACTTCAGCGGGGCTTCAGACTGTGACCAAATGGTGACATTTTGTGACTTTCTTTTTCTGGTGCTACAACTATATTTTGTTAGAGTAACGATTCCAGTACTGATTTTGCCATAAGCAAAGACATTTTACTGCATATTAGATACATGTACTAAAGGCAGAACAGAAAACAGCACCTCTTTGTTAGAACTTTGCAGTGCACAGGCCATTTATTATCTTGGTTAGAAAGAAAAGACGACACAAAGATTCATTGGATCAGTTTTTTACAGGACCATCAAATACCGTGCTATGAAATCAAGTGAGAAGTGATTTCATTACAGCTCTCTTTGATGCAGTCCACAAATTAAGCTATTTTAAAGGCATGTGAAAAAGAGCCGCACCGATGCAGAAAACAAACAAAATAAATGTATTAATGATTAGGTTAGGAGGTTTTCCCTTTTACAAATATATAACTTTTCCATGGTTTTGCTGTATGACTCGAGAGGGGTCTGAAAGCAGACCTGGTGCAGTGCATCCAATGCTTTTTAATGCGCTGACCTAACCCACACCCCTAACCCTACCCCTCACAGTCACGTCACTAGCTCCATTAAGTGCATTGTGTCTGACATTGCATCATTGAGGCCCTGTTTACAATAATATATTTTAGTTACGCCTTCCGTCCACACTATCCCAGAGTTTTCGAGCCCGAAAATGGAGAGATTTGAAAATGAAGAGGCTGAAGAAGCCTTTGATTTTAAAACGCCGTGTCAGTGTGGATGGGCGGGAAAACAAAGACATCTGAAAATGGAGGCATGGCTGCAGACACCTTCCTATCTGATTGGAGCCTTTTCTCAACATCAAGTACACAAAGTTGCATCATTTCCTAGTAAATTCAGACTTTGCAAGATTATAACAAATTCCCAGGGACATGGGGACACGTCGGGTAAATCTTCAAATGTAACGGCAGTGTACTTTTATAACGTCATTCTCTCTGACTGCAATTCACTATCTTAGCCAAAACACGCTAACTGAGAACAAGTAGGCTAATTCAAAAAACTGACTTGTTAGATAAGTCTAACAACAACTACAACTACAAAGAGATGAGATCCAGCTGCAGATTTGTGATGGACTAACTGACGTTTGGCTGCTCTCAGCCTGGCAGGGGTGCTCAGAGCTCCCGCTGACTGTCTGGAGCTCAGACGCAAGAATTAATTTTTAAAAACAAAACATATTAGTGTGAATGGAGCCTGAGATATGCAGTCTCAAGGCTGATTTATACTTCTGCATCAAACGCCAGTGTATACTACGGCGCTGACGCATAGCCCTTCGCCGTGGCCGTGGCCGTCACTGACATGCACCTCTCAAAAAATGTAACTACACGTCGCAACGATGCATAGCGTAAGCTTTGTGATTGGTCGGCTTGGTAGCGCTGACGAGTCTGGGCGGGACCGAGAGCCGCGCGAATGGCGCGAGCGATTGTTTACAAGTGTGGAGTACCGTGAAGGAGCTCCGGATGGAAAGTTTTGTTTTGTGTTTACCTCATAGTTAAAGTTGTTGCACGTCCGCCAATTCCTGCCTCAAAATGAGCGAGTTTGAGCCACTTGTACATCCCGGAAGTGTTCAGGAACAGCAAAAAAGCAGAGAAGAAACTCGACACAGAGGAACATTTACACCTCATTGCCAACTAGCGTTTCGGAAGTGTTAATGCAGACCGACAGAGACAGCGCGCAGAAGTATAAATGCACAGCCACGCGCGTTGCATGCCCCGTGGGTTACGCCGGTCACTTGACGCAGAAGTATAAATCAGGCTTCAGCTTGCATCATCAAGACTGCATCCAGATACTATTGGTATGAATCATTATATTGTTAATGAGTCACATTAGTTGTGCATTTATACTGAAATGGCTTGATTATTGTTTTTCAAAATAAATGTCAGAGAAATCATAAAGTTCATTACTTTTTTACTATGGTAGTGAGCAAATAGCAAACAAAATTGACACAACAATCCATGATTCTCTATAGACAAAATCAAGTCCCGCCCAGGATTTCTTTCTTCTCACTAAAGAAATAGTTTCACACAGATATACATAGGCAACAATAAAAGGAAAATGGTGAAGTAAAGTGCGCATGTGAAATCTTACCAGTGACTGTGCAGTCCACAGGTGCAGGTTTACAGGCTAGTGGAGTTGCAAGCTCAAAAATCACATTATGGATTACGTGTGTACTTGTGCCCAGCTCTTCCTGTATAAGCTTCAGGGAGGGTGGAGAGGCCTTTTGGTCACACACAAAATTAATAATGAAGGTGTCTTGGGTACCTACAGTAGAGATGGGAAACAGAGCGAGTTCAGTCCAGTAAATAACCAGTAGAATAAATAGAATGTAAACTTAAATAAAAACTCTGCACAAAACTTGACAATGATTAAATATTTTTGTCACCCTAATATAATAGTGTAAGGGTGCTTTCAAGTTTTTCAGCTTTTCAAGCTTTCGAGTTGATTCATTTGTTCCGAAACAGGGATTAAAATTGTTACATTGTTGCTCTTTGTTCTTGGTGCGGTTCGCTTTCACACGGCAAAGTTTCTAAACGGACCAAAAAAGCTAAAACAAGTCACGTGTGAGTAAACTCTCCTCATATTGGTCAGAGTTTCACGGTTTATTTTGCAGAGTCCCACTCAGCTGTGAGGTGGTGGTTTGGTGGTGTTTGGTGGTGTAGCCATGCTCGAATCATATGGCTTTTCTCACTACAATCGATCCGTTCCAGAGTTTGTTTTAATCGAGCCGAGACCCCCTCATTCAGGTAATCTCAGACTGATTGTTTTGGCGCAGATCCGAGAGCGATTGCTGGATTCACATATGCCAAACGAACTGTGCTAACTGGGCCAATGAGACAGGTTTCCGAACAAAAGTCTAGTTGTGAAGGCACTCTAATTAAATACATACAGTAAAAATTAATGATAAATTTCTTTATTAATTAGTTTTTTTCTGAAAGAAATTAATATTTGTATTTGGCAAGGGTGTCATAAATTAATCAAAAGTGGCATTTAAAGTGAATTAATAAATGTGATAAAAGATTTACATTTCAAATAATTGCATTGAACTTTCTATTCAAGAACATATTCCCTGTCAAACGCACCTGTGGGTATGTCCATGACCCCCTTGTATGTGAGAGTGAGAGCCCCATCGGTGGAGAACTGGAGGGAACGCTCCCCCCCAACCTGACTGACCGGCTTCTGATCCTCGAGCTCACAGCCGGACACATTTTTAGATCCAGCAGTCTCACAATCCTTCACTGGACCACAAATGTTCACCTGCAACAGACACGAGGGAAGTCTGACCTTAAGTTTCAATTTTACACTGGAGACAAACTCAAGAGTAGTAGTGTGATAAAAAAGTGTATGTATACAGCTGAGAAAATAAGTATTGAACATGTCATGTTTTTTTGCTGGGAATAATATTTCTAAAGGAGCTGTTGACATGGAATTAAACCAGATTTTGGTAAAAACCCAAACAAATACAAACATAAAAATAAAACACAAAAAAAAATCTGAAAAATAAGTTATGTGTAATAACAATGAAATGACACAAGAAGAAAGTACTGAACTACTGAACATATTTAATACTTTATATAAAAGGAATTTTTGGTGATGGCAGCTTAAAGATGCCTCTCATATGGAGAATAAAGTCACATGAATTGTTCAGGTGTGAGTTTTTCATATACTTCAACATGTCAAAATCTTGATGGTTTTGTGGGTCTTGTCTATCAAATCTGAATTTGTATTTTCTATTGGATTTGAGTTCAGTGATTGGCTGGGTCATTCAACAGCTTGAGTTTCTTTCTCTGAAAGCATTCGAGAGTTTGCTTGGCTTGTTTGGCTCATTGACATAACTACAGAGAGATTTCAGCTGCTGTCTGGGCTTTCACTGCCTTTCTACAGCTCCCTTGCTTCATGTGTTCACTGCATTTCATTTCATTATGCATAAGTTAATTTGTAAATTAAATTAGTTTTCTTTGCATATATTAAT